AAGAACACCTTTTGATAGAGCGCCTTATTATCTGCAGCATGATGCATTTAAACTTTTTCAGAAATCGACAGAACAAAAGATTTGTTTTTAGCCAGTACATAATTCTGTCAAATGATAACAAAACAGCGATTGATGTATTGTAAATTGTGTCTGTTTTGTACCTATTAGTGTTGGTGTTGTGGGGATGCTTGATTATCAAGGGAAATTGTGCTTGCCATTGGGTGTTGCTTTGCGCAATATGAGACCATTGGTTCCCTGCCAGGATGTATGTCAAAGTACCAAACATAATTCTGATTTTTACCAATATAAGCTTATAATCTGTAGTTTCTCTTGATTTCAAAGAGAACAGTCTAATAAACAAACTAATATTCCTAGAAAAATACCTTTTGGGTGAAAATTTATACCCATGATTCCATCAAATATCATTACAAAAAATCCTGGCACATCTTGCTCTCATTGTAACCAGAGGAGGGGCGTGGATGCAGACGCTCCCCCGAAAACGCATTCGTAAAAAGATTTAGCAAGATGAGTTCAGGCAATGCTAGTTTAAACTTCCTTAAAATGTATTCGCTATAGTCCAAATATTTATAATTATCGAAGGCAATGGTAAGAAAGCCTTACTTCGGATAAAAAGCTTTCATAACTCGTACCCGCGGTTTTTTTCCTCTTCTAAAGACAGTATTTGTGGAGCCTTCGAAACATTAAGAATGATGCTTTGTTGCTTTGATAAAAAGACAACTTTATTCCTTTCAGGGATATTTTTCATTGTCCAATATTTGAGCCAAATGTTTTTACAAACATGTTACCCTACGTCAGTAACGAAAGACAAGTTTTTCTTTGAAACAGGAGATTCTCCAGTAGAGACAATGAGATTGGCAGTAATCTCACCAGTCAAAGATCTTTTCTTTCATTTCTTAAATGGATATGACTTTTCTTTGCAATATATTAAACTCTTTGACTGAAAGATCGCTTTGACTGAAACAGTTCTTTCTGTTCTTTTCTCGAAAGCCAAATAGCAACTAATACATCATGTTATTAACCATATTTTCTGTAATCCTATTTGACTGTAGATAAAAGACGGCTTTTTAATTGGCTCCATGGTTTGGCCTTCCTATTTATTAGAAGAGAGAAATCGAAAACAACCATGGTTCCTCAAAACATATCTAAAAAAGCCAAAAATGCTTTCTTGAACATTTTGAAAACAACTTTTTAATACTTGCATTAGTTGAAAGAATACAACCAGTTCAGTCAGTTCTCATTTTGGTAGAAATTGTTCTCAAAATCAGGCGGGACATTTAGTTGAGATTTTCATTAATTTAAAAGGCTTTTATAGCTACATTTGTTGTCAACGTCACAGTAAAGGAAGATAGTTGTTTGTCTGTTCTACGAATGTAATACCTGTCAGAAGAAAAGGGTTTGATTGGTACGTTATCGGACATGGATAATGAAAGAATTTGGCAAGGATATCCACAAAGACTTATAGGAGAGAGTGCGTGTAGGAAGTGATAAGAGTCATTTACTATTACTAGGTTTTAGAAGACTCTTGCAACCAACACAAGCGCACTAATAAATAATTTAGGCATTCACTAAGCTACGCTTCCAATTTTGCCAATTTGACCATGTATCAAAAAATAACTCAGATTTGTTAAGATTTACAGCTCTAGAAATCTACTTATGTAAAATATTACCTTGCTATAAAATATTGTGTTTTGGAGGACTTATGATGGTGATACGCTGAGCGTCACAAATCTTAGCATGCAAAGTATTATTACTGTTTAAACGTCAGTGTTCATTCACTCAAACATCTTATCTGCAAAACCACCTTGGACTAATAAAATAAGTACTGTAAGTCACATTTTCAATAGACAAAATAGGTAGATAGACAAGAACCAAATTATGATGAAATTGTTATTAATTTCATTTCAAATACCTAACCACGTCATCATGGTTCCAGAATGGAGAGCGCAAATGGGTTTGATAAGATTGTGTTACCCACAGGTTAGGCTCCAAGATATCTAAAATTCAGGGTTATGGAAAAATCCAAGATATTGGAATATTAAATTAAAATGCTGGCGTTAAAAGATACAGCATAAAGCTATAAGAATAGTTAGATTTTTCGTGCGCGCGTCATAGTGCATGAGTAAGCATATGCGATGAGATATACTTTGCAGTTCTAGCTACTCAGTTGTATACGAAAGTTTACCTTTAAGTAAACATGTTTTTTCTTTATAAAGGAATTCATCATTACCCAGGGGCGGATCCAGAGCAAATTTGAAGGAGGGGGAGTCGGTAGTAGGGGCGCTGAAAAATTTTCAAAAATTGGTAACGAGAGTACGCTGTATACAACAATTTCATAACAATTTCATATCTATTTTCAGAATAAACAACATAACTTCGAGGTAATTCTTGAAGTAAATTAGGTCTCAGAAACTTTTTCACCTGATTCTCATTCTTCAAAAGGGGCGCGAAATTTCCAAAAAGGGGCGCCAGACTTGCTTCAACTCGTTGAGGGAGGGGCATTTGCCCCTAGTTGCCCCCGTTGAATCCGCCACTGCATTACGCTACCATTCAGAAAATAGATACAACTTCGTTGTGCAAAATCAGTCACATTTTATGATGATTTCTCGAGATGTAGGAACCTAAAATCGAGTCCTTTCCTGTCAAACCACTGTATTTTGGCTTTGATTCTTAAACTTGTGCACCAGGTCAGAACATCAGTAACACATTAGCAACAATTGAGTCTTTCTGATCTCAGGAAATCTGTAATATATTCGATTGGTTATGCATACTTAAGGATTTTCTTTTTGCTTATGTGGTCAAATTCAAAAAATTATAAAAATATTTTTGTGACGTCATCATTTTGCTTGTCTAATGCTTTTGCCCCGTAGGATAACCCCAAAAAAGTATACCTGGAGGGAATATTCTGTATCAATTCTTAATTTTAATATTTCATTAATAGCGTTTCGAAGGAAATTTGTAAGATAATATCGGTGGGAAAGCACGAATTCCAATAGCTGTAATCAAAGAGTCCCTGTTTAAGTGTCAATTTACAAGCCCTTTATTGGCAGCCATTATTAAAATCAACTTCTTATTATATCTTGCACCCAGCTATGATCACCTTTGTTAGTGAAGCAGCGTTCATTCATTCGGAGTAATCGCAACCAGATGACAGATACTTCACTGTTAATTTCAGCTGACCTTCTTAAAGTATCAAGAGCAAGAAACCACGTCCATCTTGAAAAGATATCCCAACCGGTAGCCTCATTCATGTGCAACGAAATTGCGTCAAGTTGTCACGTAATAATTGTAACAGTATAATGTAACTGTTTAGAGAAAACGTTCGCTCTAAGCGGATGAGGTTCAAGAAGTCAAGTAACCTTTATTGGATTTCCATTGAGTTTGAGGTTCTTCCAACTGCCTGTATTAACAATTCTTTTCCTTTCTGGGTGCTTGGGGCATCATTAGAGTCAACATGTTGAGAGAGATTGAGAGTAACGGGAGGGTGCTCTGAAATTCAAAATTTTAGAGCTAGAATGAATACATTTAAACCTTAAAAAAACAATAACATCCACATTTCAGTGATCACAAGCCATCAAGTAACCCGTTCCTAAACATAAGCTTGTTACGAAAGCGTCATGCTCAGCTTGGTTTTGAGCAAGAGAGGAAGGAATTACCCAACTTATTGCAGGCTTTTTATCTTTAGAAACTTGTTTCGGTATCCGAAATTGAAAAGGCAAGCAAATATTAAATATTGCAGAATTTGGAGGAGGCACATTCAGGCACCTCTGAGAAAAACAACCTAAAATGGTGACGTAACAGCAAAGACCAACAAGTAAACATTGACGTAAGGCCGAAATCACAAATTATGTTTATAGAACAAAACGCGGAGTGCTAGAAAAAACATCAACTGTACACCCTATTGTTTACTAATCGTTCTGCAGCCTCTCCATCTGCAGCCAAGGTGTGATCAACCTCTGCTATTTGACACTTACCTTTTCTTCTCTGCAAAACCATAACGTATTTGGGGAAAAAGCTGTGATTTTATTAAATCCGTAATCATTTGGGAAAATTTGAGAGATAATATCAATTTACAATAATTACTCTTTCGTCAAATATTGTGGCTTATTACATTATTGTCGTTGTTTGAAGAAGTCCAGAAAGTAGATCTCGATTGGAAGATGTACATTTACACGATAGTGGCTTATTGTTCCAATGACACGGGGGATAGCCTAACCAAGAGTCGAGAGAATCCATAAATGTTTACAAACTGCTTTCCGTGAAATTATTACGTTCTCTGGTCTTCAAGCAGCTTATCTTTTTGCTGGTGAGTCCCTGAAACCAAGATGGTAGCTAAAGGTTTTTTTCAATAATTGAATGTCCAATGCGATTGCAACAGATGTTGACAAAGCTAGTTTTGCGTTACATTTGAAAACCTAAGTGCTGGTTGAGAAATAAATCCCTCTTTATCGCTTTGACAGTGATTCACATACACAGCATTTATCGACTTACATTAGAATTTATCGAATTTTTCTTTATCTGTACAAAACTTTTCTCTCAAACCACCGAATCTATAAAAGTTGCAGCAAATTGCTTTTTTGTAACTCACTAGCTTTAGTTTTTTTAGCTACTTTTAGCTTTTTTTATGAGTGACATTAACAGATGTTGGTCTTCGACAAACTTATTCTCGTTGCATCCCCGTCGATTAATCGCTGATAGTGGTAAATCTGAATTTAGTTTTGACAAATTGTTGCTTTTTCGAGGTTGGCATCACAACTTAAATGTTTTTCCGATACAGCCACCCGGAATTTTCGTTATAATTGTGATCTGCGTTTTCCGGGGGACAACAGGTCAAAATGTACCTGTTCAATCGCGTATTCTCATAACGCAAGGTGAAGCCGCTTGAGAAGCGTCAACTGAAGGATTTGATTAATAATCATATAAACCTCGATTTAAGAAGGCCTTACACAATAAATGTTTATTGCTATCGTTTCTGTTCAAAGCTTTGAAATAATGGAAACTCGATTGTGATTCGTCCTGCCTACACAACATGAACCGATTTAAAGGCACACATGTCTACTGACGGAGTGCGAAAGAGGCTGCATAATATGTTGCTACAAATGCCTTAAGTACAGGAGAGTACACTGCATCACTTCACAATGAGGAACATGGACAAGAGCTTCAAGGGATATGCATGGCAAGGGGAAATTGGCGAAGGTGCATTTGCAAGTGTTTCGTTGTGGATGGGAATGAAAGATAAGAGGCTTTATGCGGCCAAAAGTATGCATTTCGGAGCTAACAGAAGACTGAAATGGGAAGCAGAGAATGAAATTGAGGTCAGGATTATTCACGAATTTTTAAACTTTCAACTACATGCAAGGTTTCAAAATTTTATCAAAGTGTGATTTTTTTCGTGTGAAGCATGGGTGTTAAAATGGATCACCTTTTTTTGTTATGACTCGTTGAAGCTCTCCAGGTACTCCAAGATAGGGGGTATACCAACGTTTATGTGTAGCAGATCCCATATCAAATAAGTCCTTGGCACGTTGTTTACCTTAGCTTAAGACAGTTTTTAGACATGAACGAACGGCTATCTTTACAGCCAAGTCTGTATTGAATTTCCTGACCTGGGAATCTTTTTTTAATTCCAAAGCAAATACATCGTCGACAGTTAACCTGGCTACTTCGACAAATCATTTTCTTTTGATCCTGTTTACCAAATTGTAAGCTCCATAATGCCTGTACAGTTTTACGTTACAACCAAGAGATCTTTAGGAAACAGATACATTTAGTGAGATAATTTTCATTGCAAAATTGTTCCCGGACCCAGATATGACTTCTTACATTGTAGCACCATAACGACAGGACCGTCGAAAGTGGGCGGGCTGGGGAGGAATCGGGCTGCAGCCAACACAATTGCCCCAAAATGCTCTAATTTTACATAATAAAATAATTGTCTTGAATTGGAAATGGCAACACCTCTTCTCCTCAAATATTCATTTCATTTCGACTGGTTTGAACTTCTAATCGTTTTTGAGTAGGCATGGGATTTCGCCAGTATTAGAGAGGACGTAAGATTATCCTCGTGGATATCTTCCCAAATTACTTAGCCCCTCTATCTGGCATTGCATTGCATTCTAGTTTCGATAATACAAATTGTCCCTTTCTGTTGCTGATATGAAAACCCTTTGCATGGCCTTGGGGATGGACTCACGTTTTGATAGTGAAGGCGAACAATGTGTTTTAAATGTATTCTGCTGCACTCGTTGGCAGTGAGCCTTTTTTATGTAGCTAGTCAAATGGAAAGATGGTCTTTGGGCGTTGCACCCGATAACATTTCTAATTCACATCGGCAAATCACTTTTAACAGTCCAAGTGAAATGTCCTTCTCTTCACTGTCACAAAAATACATCTCTGTTAGTCTACATCTAAAAGCCAATCCACTTGCCAAATTCTTTTTCGAAGCTCTTACCAAGTTTTCGTTTTTAGCACTTTCAGGGTTTTTGCATTTAAAGGCAGACGGACAATCAAGAGACTCCTCTAATAAAGATATAAATTAATTCAAATCAACGTCAATTTTCTAATTTATTTTGAAGAAAAGGTGATCTACCTTTTAAAAGCTTCATTAATCTCGACTTCCAACATCCCTTCCTTTGGAAACACTGATTAAAGAAGGATTAGATACTGCAAGTTGTCTTTAGCCTAAGTCACTTGTCCACGTGTTTCCTATTATTTTAAAAAGAGCCAACATTATATGTATTTTTGTTGTGCAAATCCTAAATTTTTCATATCTAGAAGAGCTATAGCGTTATTACTGAACATGAATGTATTGACTAAATTGTGTTTTTTTTCTGATTGCTTCAGAACTCATCATATAATCAACATCAAACCTACTTCGTGACATGGATTGCCAAATCAGATCAGGCCAATGAACTAGCAAGCTAATGTAATATTTCTGCAAACATTTGCTTACATTTCGCTAAAAGCATTATGTCGGATTTTCTCTACAAATCACCAATCTTTGAGAAAGGACTAGCTCGAATGCATACAGGAGGCTTGATGTGTGTTTCCATACACGGGCTCATACGCTGGCAAAGCTAATAGGTCTTCTTTAACTCAGATAAGCTACAACAATCCTCGACAACATGTTGGCTTATCCCTGTTTTAAGCGAACCGCAATACACTGGTCTTTTGTTCTTTTAATACAGCATTAAGGGACAGAAGCAATGAGACCGTCCGCGGTCCGTACAGGATTTCTAGCTTGACTGTAGTCAGTGATTTTGCAACGGTTAACGCGCTTTACTGCAAGCGCATGATTCACAGATACACTGTCCATGGCTTTTCTCTAGCGGTCCTATTGGCACACTTATCGAGTATCTATCTAATTCGAAATTCTTGAGGCTAGTTCTAGAAAAGATAGCACTGTAATTTGATTAATAATCCACAGATACGCAAGGAACGCCTCCTCAAAAGTGCAAATTCAGTTCTGCGAAACAGACGTTGAAAAATCTATGGCTAGAAGTACACTAGAAGTACGCAGACTTTGAGTCTATGGTCTGCGCTCAGTCTTCAAAAAAACATTCTTTCCTCTCGTATTTTTTAAGCTTACGTAAAAGCGGATCTCTATATGTTCTTGTTGCTACTAAAAATGTCGAAAAACTCGATATTTTGAAATAAAAAGATTGATTCAGTAATCCAGTCTGTATCTGTTGACTAAATATCTACCTAAACTGACTCTTGAATGTGATTGCCGAGCATACGAAATTGTTAGCTACTGTTCGCTTAAATTCTATGCAGTGGTGCATCCTGCGCGGACGCTTTTGCAATGCAAACCATATTGAATCTTGTCGTACTAAAGAATGGAACAGAATAACTTTTCATCAATACGTGCGAGTAATTGCGGTAAGGTTTCCAGTTCCGCATAATTATATGGCAGTGTACAAATGTAATATATTCAGAGCAAGCCTTTCCGCCATTTTTGTCAGTTAAGTTTGAGAACTGGCATCTCAAATGAAGTCTGCACAGATTTACTTTGGCAAATAAAAGTCATACCATTGTTACTATATCCAGTTTATCGTCGAATTTAACAAAGACAACTCTACATGAAAATAGTCGTAAGAGAAGCGAACAATTGGCTAAAATGTTGTACGCAAATATTTTCAGGTTCGATAAACTCTAGTTTATTAAATATTTTGTTCGAGATAATAGAGGCTAGAAGCGTAATCCTTGAAGCTGATTAAACATTGAATAAACGTTAGTTTAATCTTAGAGATGCGTTGAACAACATCGCGGATAATGACAGAAATAACTCTAGTAAACACGAAACTGAGGTGATTGTCCGTTTTGCATAATTACAAATCGCTTACTTTTAAAAGCGGATTAACTTGGTGTACAATTAAGAATAAAGAATACATGATTTTATGCTTAATATCACACATGTTACCGATGACAATTTGTTAGCTTGCTCATTCTTGTTGTCCTTCTACAAAACAGCATTACCAAAGCAAGTTTACAACTAATAAATCGAATCCAGTCACTTAAACAGCACAAAAATAAAATATATCACACAAATAGCACTGTATTTGGAGATTAGACATCTTACTTTCCTTTGTTCAAAAACTTGCTTTAGTATAACCAACCTCATTCTCGACCCAGCTGTAACCCTGTGAGCTGGGTTCATGCTGGCTTTACCGTGCCTACATAAATCACTGTCTCCATTGGTTAATAAATTTGCCTGTCCTGTCGTACATTTCTCTGAAGTATTCCTTATTTGTTTTTTTTCGGAACCTCAGTTCTCTCTTCGTCCATATTTGATCACCTTCTCTAACGGAGGTTGGCCCACCTTCCCCTTGACAGCCCTGAAGCCACTTCTTCTCTAAATCCACCTGATTTACTTATTATAAAAGGTTGCAGCTTATGGCTTTCATGCATTCTTTAAAGCTGTATGCGTACTGACCATGTCAGGGCCGTCGTAGCCAGGGGGGAGGCACAGATCCCCCCTGATTGCAAAAAAGTGTCAAAAAATTTCACTGTCAGATACTTTGCCTCTAGCAGCTAAGTAAAATACCGAAATCTAGGCGTTCTTGGACAACTATACACTGAAATTTCCTTAAATGTTTCGATGATCATGCTGCAAAAAGTGCAAGCTCCTGTCATAAAAAATATCAACTGCCAAGATGGCTGTCTGTTTGGTGAGAAAATTCCCTAGTATGTCTTCAGCAACAAACGCAATAGTGAAAGGTCAGCATCAAGTCTAAGGAGAGTTAGAAATTATTTTCGTTCATCAATGACCAAAGGACGACTTAACCACTGCATGATTCTTTCGATTCACAAACAAAAAACTAACGAGATAAACTTAACGTTGCAAATTATTTTTGCTACGACAGTGAAGAACATGTCCACACCTTCGGCTGATTGTGTAAAGATGACTCAAACTTAAAATTCTATAGCTTTAAAAAAGTATTTTATGGAGGCAGAAAGTTATATGTTTCAAGTAATGTAGGAATGGGAAGGTGCAAAAAACCAAGGGGGATTAAACTGCTTAAATTTTAAAAATAAGAAAATCAAAACCATTATTCGAATAGGCTTTAGATAATCATAGAGACTTGAACTTTGAAAACGATAGGGACTGGATTTCATTTTGAAGCGCTAGAGTCTAAAAATTCAAAAATTTCTTCCAATTCCTTACGTCATATTTTGGGTTTGAATTTTAAACGTTTTTATTAATATTGCATCAATATGGATTCAATTGTATATTGCAATTAATCTGATCATTTACTGATTACATTGCACCTGTCACAAGTATGGGAGAAGAATGTGTGCCTACCGCTTAACCGGGGTCAAATCCACTTACAATATAAACTATAAGAAAATAAACGTATTGTGATAGAAATATGAATCGTACGTGGAAGAACGATTTACGCTACAAAAAACTTCAAAGCCCATGAGATGAGGAGTTATATAGTTAGTTAAGGGTGTTCAAGTGTGCGTGATCCCTAAATAGAGTACATAGCCAAGTCCCCTTTCAGCAAAGATTGTTCCCACTATGCTCAATGTGTTTCATTTTTTTATAAATATCTAAATCACAATGAAAGCTGTACCATTTTTGGCACATACTAATGATCCGGAAAAAAGATTGTTGTGCCCTATTTACTCGTTTTGGCCCCCCTCCCCCTGTTCAATTCTGCGTTTGGCAACCCTGCATGTGGAATAACTTTTATTTTCCTCGAGTGATATACAACCACCTTGAAGTTTCATAAAGCCATTTTGTAACAATTGAATTTTATTCTGTTGATAACTTATTTGTTGATTAACTATTAGTGTCGTATGCAAAACGTGGTGTTTGCAAATCATTGCAAGCATTCAATTTTTTAGATAATGAAAGATCTTCGTCGTCACCCATACATCGTATCCCTTTGTGACGTAATCAGGGAGCAAGAATCGACTACGCTGATGTTGGAATACGTTTCAAATACCTGCTATCTGAATGGGATCGCTAAATGGGCGAATTTCACTGAAACAGATGCACAAGTGTCTATGAAACAATTGCTGCAAGCAATCAACTATTGTCACAGACACAAAGTAATTCACAGGGTATGCTACTTTTATGAAAGGCAAAATTCTTATAGAATTTTTTTTCTTGTACACTCTTTTTTTTATAAGAACAATTTTATAAGAACACGAGCCTCAAACCAGGTCAAAAGTTAAGAACAAATTAAGAACAAGCTGAGTCTGAGCTTCTGCAAAATGCAATTTTGAACAACGTTTTTTCTCAAAATCGAGAATTTTTAGCGATGTGTGGGTGCTTTTTCGGTGAATATTCAAATTTGTCAGCAAATTAAGGCTGTCTTACTCACTTTGTTGGCAAATGAGGCCTGAACACCTCCTTAGAGCGAAAAAGCTAGCAGTAGCACTGCTTACACCCTCTTACTTTAAGAACAAATTAAGAACAATCCAGCCTCAGATTTTCGAAAAAATTAAGAACAGTCAGCCTGAACTTAAATTTACTGGTTCTTATAAAAAAAGAGTGTAATTGATAGATCTAATTGAAAGAGAACCTGCACACTGCAAGGTACCTTGAAAAGAGCCCAGTCAATAACAGAATTTCTTTTCTCTGCGACTTCCGCGGAATACTCATATTTTCTGGATACAGCTTAGCATAAAATCTTTATATGGAAATGCTGGACCCCCTTTTCTGAATCCATTATATAAGCCTGCAAATCCTTAAATAGTATTTGATTCTCTGCTTAGAACTGAAATAAGAATCATTGAAAATGTGTCAAGAGTATAATGAAGCCTCGTCAAATACGCACGATCATTGCAAATATTTCCAGGGAAGACTATATTTTCCAAACATTAGAGAAATTTCTCTTTGAATACAGATAATATAACATTGTGACATATTTTGCTAGCAACTTCGATAAACGATAGATTCGATTCAGCTTAAGTTTTATAGCTTTCGACAGAGCGAGAAGAACTATTAGCGTGTGACTGAAAATGTCGCATGTTTTGGATGTGTTATCAAGGAGAACCTGCAGTAATAGTCACGCTGCCTAGCAACATTTCCTGTTGCCAGAACTATTTGACTTGACCTGGTGATTGTAGGAAGTTGTAGAAACAAAGATGTGGACGGTTTAACTTTGTTGGCAATGTTTCTTGGTTTCATTCAAAGTTCAACTAAGCAATCAATTTAAAAATAATTGAGAGGAATGAAAGATCACAATTCTGTTAGGTTGTTTACGATATCTGGAAAAATAGTTAACCGCGACTGTGAAATCAAAATCACCAATGCCATTTATTATCAAATAATGTTGCACCGAATTCTAATTTCCATTTTTGATTGAATCTTTCGTAAAATAGGGTAATGTGCATGTTCTATGTTTCATCTTCTATGTTTACAGGATCTTTCCCCACTAAACATTCTTTGGGTGCAAAGACCAACCTTCATGAAACCTGATGTTTCTCCGTGGTTAAAGTTGATCGATTTCAATTTGGCCAGAAGAGTATCTGGTAGGTGAACATATTGCGTTATAGGTCATTTTAGTATCAAAACTGTGGTATCTTTTAACGCTATAGGTCGACGCATCAAGCATTGTGCTTTCCTAGCAATGGTAAAATTCCTTTGATTTTCTTTGCAAACGACAATACTAGTCAACACCCTAAGAGTATTGCTACTTTGAAAGCTTCAGTTGGTCTAGAAATCAACAAATTGTGATCTCTTAATTTAGGCAATACGGCTCTTTTTCAAAATAGCGGTTAATTTGGAATATTTTACGAAGAAATGTTCTTTAATGGCATCAAATGACCAATTGATTAAGCATAGTCTGAAAACTGACTCAGTAGATAAGACACTATTTATATCTGCATGTCTTGCTTTCAGATGGCAAAAGTATAATAGAATGTGATCCACTTGGCACTGACCTGTTCATGTCCCCAGAATCGCTGAAGGACAAGTGTCAAATTGGACTTTCGAACGATGTTTGGTCACTTGGAGTTTTGCTTTTCTTTACTCTGGTAAGATTGCATTTGCTTAGCTGCTTCTATTAGCACCAGTGCTATGGAAGAATACTACCAGTTTTAAGCTCACTACCAAAGAAATAAAACCGACAGGAAAGTTCAGCTCACTAACGATGTGTCTATGTTTCCTATGGGCTCAAAAATCGTGATCTGGTAGATATTGCGTTAGTGTTCATTAAACTACTCTTACTTTACACCCGAGACCAGAGAGTGCACCAAAGGCAAGTGCCCTACTCCAACGTTTGGAAAATCGTCTTTTCTTAGAATTGACCTCTTAAAAAAAGCCCCACGCTGTTCCCCTGCAACATTGAAATGCTTTAGATAGATGTCTATTAATACTAAACTTTTAAAGGTGATACGATGCACGTGAGTTGTGAAATACCCACGACCTTTAGGGAAATTTTTTGCGCTTCAAGTAAAGGGTAAGCAACTCCTTTTCAGGTTGGCTATCCTCCATTTTGGTGTGATAATTATTCTCATTTATTGAAAAATATCGAAGAGGGAAGCTACTGTATGCCAAAAAGATACTGGAGTTCTGTGTCTAGCGAGGCACAAGATCTTGTTAAAGAAATGGTAAGTTAGAACTATTCAATCTATTGATGTTTATGTCTCCATCTCCATGAGAGTTTTTTTAGACATATACCGTTCCTAAACATATTCAATGTAAAATAAGAAAAATTTAGAAGCTTGTTAAAGCTATAGTCAGTAATCCTCTTTGTTCAATCATGCCATTGATTTTTCTACGGGAAACCAGCTAGGGGTGAAGCCTCTGTTTATATAAAGAGGAGGAAAATAATATATCGTTTTAAACAATTGGAGGTTGCTGTGGTTAGATGGGCAATTGCACGCCCCCACACACTATTACAATACACACTTATACACACAATACACACAATGCAATTGCACGCTTACAATACACACTATATACTTTAAAGTTACTTTATTCTCAACGATTTGTATAAATACATACGTTTGTTATTTCTCGTTATAATCTCTGCAACAACATTCATGATTAATTTGATGATTAATTCTCTTTCAACGAAGCTGATAGTAAAACCTTCACGCCGCATAACTGCCGCAGATGCATTAAAACATCAATGGTTTAGGAAGAATTTGAGCGATGACTCAAAGATGAAAACAGAGCTCAGCATTGTGCAATCTCGTATAACTGTTCACCTAAACAGAACAGCGCCGTCTAACAGGTGGGAATTTGAGATTTTTTGTTGCACTAAATGCGTCTATAGTGACATGCCGAAGGAATATTGTACGGAGACTGTATTGCTAAGAATGTGACCTACTCTTCCTTGCCATTCATCCAGGACACGATCCCTTTTATACCCTGCCTTCTGCCCTCTCCCTTTTGCCCTTTCCTTTCTGCCTTCCAAATTCGCTTGCATGATCCTACTTACCATAACTAATCTTGTTCTGGCGTTTGTTTGCCGCAATTGAATCGACAGTTGATGTACCATAGAAAGGGATTGCACGTGTCAAAGTTTTGCAGTCAGTTAATTCGTCTTCTCTTTGATATACTTAGAGCTTCAATATTATGCCCTTAGCGGCAAAAACTATACGATCTGTGTTCAAAATTTGTCATATTCTAGAGGGATGGCTTCCAAATTATACAGCAATTACTTCTTTATTTCAATTGACATATATAAATATTTTTAACACCCAAAATTATTTTTTGCTATCGAGAGCCGAAATATTGGCTTCTTGAAAATTTGGTTTATATCGTGCTTGAACATTAGGAATTTATAAAAGCAAACCATCTTTATTTTCTTCTTTTTTTCTGTTTTTCTTATCTTCTTTATTTTTTCAACTTTTTTTCCATCGAAAGGTTTTAACTCTGCAAATGTTTTTACTCTTAATTTTCTTTCTACAGGCAAATCAATAACACATCACGTGTATTTCCAAGATTATCGACAAGAAAAGCACATGTTCCTGATAAGGAACTTGACATGTTGGCTCTACAGATCAAAGAAAACAATAACATTTAAACACATGCTACTCTGTGATGAAAATGTAGCAATTACCAATGCTACGAGAGTGAGGTGTCTGAAAAAGATCAGGTGTCGAGATGGCCGTAAAAAATTGTCACTGCAGCAAGTGCTAAGGGAAGATTTGAATTGAATCGATAATGTTCGAACCTAAGGCAAGGTGTAATATGGCTCTCATGTCAGCAGAAGTCAATTCAATCCACTATTTTATGACCATTCGGATGACTCATAATACTAATCAGAAGCAAAAAGAAATCAAACGTGACTTGCTTGCAGGTTTATAACAGCTATTCTCATCAATGATAACCTAGGATGTATGATTCAACAGTTCTCTTCTGAAGACGACAACAAACATTTTTAATTGTCAACGCTTTGGTGCCGTGACCAGTAGCTCCTGCACAAATAACTCATTGAACTGCATTGTTATGCATATGTCCAGTTGATATAATTGAAATCGCCGGGGCTCAACACCATCAGCAATTACATACACTTTTCCTGAGGAAATTGTTGTTGAACAAACATATTTGCGCAGTTTTCTAACTCAAAGTTGTATATTAAACTAGCATTATTAATTTGACAATAAGAACTTACTGCTTTGTCAAGCAGTCGTTACCACCAACACCCTCTCTCCTCATGAAATTTTTCTTTTAAAACAAAGCCATCCTGGTAAATATGTTTACAAAAGTTTGATGCAATTTTCCCTCCCGTCTCGAGCAGCGAATCTGACATATCTGATTTATTTCTTTTGCTTTTATTCAGTGAGTTAGGTAAAACTAAATTCAAGAAGCTTGCATTTTTTGAAATTGAATTCTCTTCACTTTCAAGCGTGATAGTTATCAAAGTTTTACCAAGACTCATTTGCTAGAAAGATTGGAGATCAAAATTTGACTGAAGTTTTACTAAGCTTATTATTCAGTCCCTATATAAGACATTAACCATGCTTTTATGTTACCATATGCAAAACCTGTTCAAGAAATTGCTTTAATATTGAGCTTCATGCATGTAAAATTATCAAACGGTGCCTAAAAAAATCTGCAAAATTTTAAAATACCATGAACATGTATAAAGCTTTATTTGTATTATATTTGTAAATATGTGTGATATAAATGTGATATATGTGAATTGTTAGAAAAAGATTTTATACGAAGAGATTTTAAAAGTGATAAAAGTTTGATTTTATATAAGCTGTAAATGTATCGCCTAATCTGATCCAGCGAATGAAGTTCTTAACCGCTTTCTCTCTGATTGTATTTCATGTTGACATTCTAAACGTTTCTGATGAAAACACAGCAAATGATTCAAAATCCCTTTTTATCCCGTCTCTTTTTAGCCATTAGTAGAACCTGCGATTCTGCCATCGGGCAGCATTTACTAGAAAACCCAGATTGTGCAAAAAACTATAATGGCGACATGTTTCGGATTATTGGTAAAGCCCGATCGTCGTTCCACCTAGTAGGTTTGGAATCTATCTACAAAAGCACGAAAAAACCGCTACTGTGAAGGAGTTCGTTTTCACCTTAGGACTCCATTGGTAACATTCTCAATAGGCAAGCGGCACTGATTGGTCAACCTGTACAGTCATGTGCTCGTGTTTCTGATTGATCTATTTCGATCCACAACTGGGTATATATATTTCCTAGTGTAGAGTTTTCGGTCTATGTTCTGACGCTTTAAACTCTGAAGAGTATCAGACGAAAAGCTTTAGTTTACTAAATGTTTGCTTTTTTCAAAGCCATTAACAAGTAAATTGAACATCGATAAATTATCGATTGCCAATAGGATGATGATAGCTGTTATTCTGTTGCTGCACACGTTCCCAACATCATAAGGGAAAATGTAGGCAACGTGATTATTCATCTCGCTTCTGTATCTGTAAAATCTTTAAGTATGAAAGCAAATTGTTCATAGCTTCCTGTCTACCTTGCATTGACATTTGAAGAAAGATCCACACTACGACTGTTAATCTGAAAGAAGTCTTCTAAAATATATTTTTAAAACAGATGATACGAATAGTTATGCTAAATAGTTTTTAAAGTGCAAACAATGGAGATGATCCTCACTTATATCAAGAGCATTGCACATATCGGTAAAAGCACAAGACTACGTGAAGATACCTAGCTGAATGACCGAAAGGTTAACAAACATGATGAAAAAATAGTTCCAGCTTAAGCTAGTCTGCAAGTGAATTTCAGCATTTCTCTCACTTACTGTCGGCATTGACAACCAAATTCATTTCACATCCTAAAATAAGCTCGAGTATGGATTGGCATAGTATGGATATATAGGCATTGTATGGTTTTAAGATAATACGCAAAGGGAGAGAAATTTCAAAGTAAAGTAAAGAACAAAATAAAGTTTATGTTACACACAGGGGCGGCGCTTAGGGGTAATCAAGGTAATCGCTGATTACCTATTTTTTCCAAAACTTGAAAAAATTATGCTTAAACCTAAACTGAAGTATTTTTATATTACGACCACAATGAATGTTATAAAGTCCTGATTGAACAAGACTGTTACGATTTAGAGAGAGAAAACTTGAAAGATCTGCGTAAAAATTACAAATATAACAACAATTAAATTGGGTAGTTTTTAGTTCATCACAACATTTTTGAGATCTAGTTTACACCAACAATTTACAAGAAAAAAAGACTAGTTTACAGTTCAATATAAAACAAAATGTAAAGTAACATAGGTATAGGTTATGATCAACTCTGTAACATTACTTATTATGGTCCCTTGAAGCAAATTGTTCTTTTTCAAAAACCTAAAATAAATTCAAGTTGTTATACCAATACACCCATCGACGTTTGTCTAGTGGTGTTTCTTATTCTATGAATATCCCTATCAGTTCAGTTCAGTTCAGTTTTAATTTTAAAATTCCACTACATACAAAAATCTTTCTAAAATACATAGAATTAACTAAAATAAAAAATTAAAACAGATGACAAAAAATGACAAATTTTACAATAAGAGTACATATAATTTTGTATGGAGAGGAATTTCTTAAGGAGGAGCTCTCTCAGTAGGTAGACTAATCGAGGAGAGAACATTTTCTTGAAGCTTTGATCTGTACGTTTCTGCACAAAGCATAAATGGTGCAGATACCCTTTAGCTGTAGACTTTTATCATTACACATAACCTGCTCCTTTTTAAAGCAATCGACTTGGAGAAACTTTCATTATATCCTCAATAACATACTTTAGAGTAAGAGCTTCAAAGATCACCTTTTTGAACTCTGTATATAATATATATAAGAAAAAAAGCCAAAGATTGATGAAGGTTTTTATTAAGGATTCAAAAATTATTAAAGACCTTGTTTATTTAAGTTGGAATTTCTTTATAAGCATTTATTAATTTCTACCAAAAGTATGAATTTGTTGTGGTAATTCAATAAAACATCATACGCAACCTCAGATGACAAAAATCATCAAATGGAGGGGTTCAATTCGAGAATTTACGGTAGCAGTGGGGGCTTATTCGAGGGGGGGGGCTTATTGACAATTTGTAGCTCTAGGATAGAGGCTTATTTGGCGGGGGCTTTTTTAAAAGGGGGCAAATTCGAGGATTTCCGGTATTATCTGCTTCTGCGATCTTGCCAGGTTATGCAGAGCATTCGGCGCATTCATTTCAAAGGCATCAATGCATCGATCTTATCTGTCACTGTCCAGCTTTCACATCCATACAGCAGAATGCTCGTCATCATTGCTTTCATCAGCCTCGTCTTGCTTTCCTATTTTAGTTTCCTTGCTTTTTAAATTCTTTAATCTTTGCTAGGGCACTCCGCACTCGTTGCTGCTCCAATTCTTCTTTTGACTACAGTTTCACTCGTCATGTTCTCTGCGATGGTCACCCCTAAGTATTTGAAGTCTTTGACATATTCCAAGATATCATCTTTCTACTTGATTGAGACCTTTTCAGTAATGTTTTTCCTGTGACCTTAACTTTGCTTTTTAAGTACTTATCTCAATTCCAAATCTGCTTGCTGCTGTGTCGAGCTCGGATGTTATTTCTTCAAATTATTTCTCTTAGTCGATGTCGTCAGCAAAACGGAGGTTGTTGACAGTTAGTCCACCCCATCTGATGCCTCGTATTTTTCCAGTGGAACGAACATAATTCTTTTCTGCAAAAAGGTGAGCAGGACAGGAGATAGAAAGCAGCCTTGCCTCACTCCTACAATGCTTGTAAACCAGAACTATGTTCTAGGTAGGTGACATATCTTGATTACGTTTAAACACTTGGTAATACCTCGTCCTTTAGACAAAGGCGCTCCTTTCTATGGATAATAAATCAGATTTCGAATAGCTCTTCAAAGTGGTAGTTGTAATTTGTAAATCCAAAGATATGACGAACTTATTGTTGGACAATGACGTAGCCAGCCTCGTTTCAGTTGTGATCCTTCTTGGAAGACCGAAGACCCGAACTGAAGTGAAACTCTTGGTTGTCCATCCAAGACCTAGAACAAAACAGTGTTAAATAACTGTTGCACTCAGAGATGTCTGGAGACTCATAAATCTAAAATTCTCTAGAATAAAATTTCCTCTGTTATTGAACACTCATTTGCGCATCTACACTCGATTGATCCTCAGCCAAGGAAATGGAATCGGAAGAGAAATTTCAGCGGGCCTAAGTGGCTACTCAAGTGGTATCATCACCAGGGGTGCATCTCTATCGATTTTCGTGCATCCAACAGCAAAGAAACATTTTATACTTTCCTAATCAAAGTAATTTTGGTCCACAGTTGATAAATAGCTATCACTGCTGATGATATAATTAATTTCCCATGATGAGTTGGAACAAATTGCTTTCTTGCAAAGGGACTGTGCATAGATATGACCTATCAAAAAACACTTTTGAACCTCTCGTTAGAGACCTTTGCGAAATCCAAGTTTGGGTTTTTCATAACGGAGGAACTGGCAGACAATTGGGCGAAGTCAAAGTAGTAACAGGAAGTAATAATCAAGTATGTGTATATTTTTTTCATTTAAAATATAGTACGATAAAAGAGATCTACCCCTGTATGTAAGAAACTGGTGTTTGATTCCTCCAATAAATGGTAATATTTACAATAAAAAGGGGAAGGGGATGTCCTCCTGGAAAAATTCATAGATCTGATTTTGCTAGTGGCTATCCCTCTTCTCCTTTTTTCTTATAATCATTTTATGAATAAATGGCCAAGGAAAGAAATATCTTTATTTATACCTCTGCATGCATCTAGAAAAGGCATAATGATGTACGTTTAGAAGAATACTTTTTAGTTTTTGTTGGAATATTTCTTAGAAATCAAAAATAGGGTTTTAGTCATTGCAATAAACTACTTAAAACACCCTGCGAAAATTTCATTGCTCAACCATGGTATTCCATGGTTCCCAGACTGGAAACTTTGCTTCTTGCGCGGGCAAGTTTATTTTGAAAATTTGAGACTGCGTGCCTGAAATCATGCACTCTTAGTTATTTTTATTGTTAATAATGTTAAATCTTATTGTCAAGGGATCTAGGGGATTTTGCGCGGCCAATATGCAAAAGCGCGCAGAGGTGTGCGCGGGCAATATATTGCGGGCGCCCAGCAAAGTTTCCAGTCTGGCATGGTTCTACCATTTCCCCACCATGGTTTTGGATCATGGTTTATCATGGTTGGGAGGTGAAATAACCATGGCTGAACCATGGTTACACCACAAATGTCAAATGGAACACACTGCCCAACCATGGTGTGACCACGGTACTAAAATGTAATATTGAGAGAATAATTCTTAAAATTGACCTAAACAAGCAACTCTTTTACCTATGTCTGCTACTCACCCATAATTTCATCATGCTAGAATTCAACAGCTGTTCATCAAATGTTTCCAAAAACCAGGTAGCAAATATATAACTTCAATAGGCTCCCGTGTCAGATGAAAATTAATGGTCATTTAATTTTGACTGGGATTGAAATCAGAAACGATTGGTTTTATTTACCAGAGAGTCAGTGTTGATAATGTTGACAAAGTGTAACTCGTTTTTGCTAAATTTTTCAAATATTACCATGTTTGTTCATTAACTGTTCAAAAAGTAAGATCACTGTCTTTTTCAGATTTTAAGGCTGCAACTTAGTAAAGTTATAGCTCTTCATCCACCACCACTCCAGGAGCCATCTTGGTTTGTCCTAGAACTAGATATGGCAGTTTGTTTTGAGAAATATGGTTTGAAGATAGCTGATACTAAGCAGAACATTCAAAGCTTTGGAAACCTGCTTCATAGATTGATGGACCAGAAAGGTATAAAATTATGTTTGCTTCATTTGCTGCTACATCTTTATGATATACTAGAGCTGGCTCTCGATATGCTACCATCCTTGCCAAACGTCTTCGAAACACTAAGTTGCTTAAAGGTTGTTTTAAACAATAATCTGTTTCCTACAAAACTACAGCACTCCTATCTTCCCCAAAACAATGTTTTCTTTCACCACAAAATTCACAACATTGCAACTCTTGTAAATCCTATATTAATCCCTAGGAATCAACAATTTTTAAGTGACATAAGATGCTTGATGCTTTGAAAAAAAGTAGATGCCCTTAATATCAATTCCTGAAGCATCTTTAGGCAGAAGCATTCATGATAAGGGGGCATTTTAAGCCAAAAGTGGGTAATGAGACATTTGAAGTCATTGAGTCAAGGTAAATAGGCCTTCTCTATAGGGGGTCATCTGGTCTCGGCGTGATCACTACAGTTTCATGATATTGGCATCCGTTGTTGAAGACTTGCTTTTGATGGAAACTGTTTTGTTAATAAGTACGAAGTGAATTCATGTGACCAGTTCCGGGTTAACCAATAGTATCTCAGTCATGAAAATTGTGACTCAGGAGATTTTGACACTTTGGTGGGTATACCCAATCCATTTTATAATGACTCAATGCCTTTAAAGAATGGGAAATTTATTAACATTTCTGTCTACATCCCATTTTTTCTTAAACTTCATCGTTATTTAATTCTATGCTGTTAAATTCTAATTCTACTGTTTAATTCAACATGTTGCTTTTTTAGATGGCAGAATTCCTCCAGAGGCTAACAATGATATTTATGCTCCTCCATCTAATGTTCAACAAGCTCCACCAATTTATTATAGAAAAATTGAAAGCAATGTTCCATTCCCTGCTGATGGTAGCAGTTTTTCTGATTGTCACACTTACGATAAGCTAAATCTACAACCACAACATTTTGCTCCATTACGAAGAGTAAATCCTACTTCATTTCCCTTGCATGGTGATAAAGACTATGTTTCAATGCACGGAGGGTCTCCTCAGGTTTCTGAAGACCTAGATAATCACTATGAATCTATTTTAACATATCAAAATCCAACTTTGGTAAGTCCAGTGAATAGAAAGGTCCCTGAGCTACCTGCAAGGCCACCAAGATTACAGTCAGGAATTACACAGACACAAACATTAGCTGCAATGGAAACACCGGCACAAGGACCAAGAAGAATGCTGATTCCTATTTCTCCAGAAATTAACATGGAAAAAGATGAGAATGTAAGCAGCAAAAAGATATCTGTAGCAGATGCTCAGACAAGCAATAAAAATCCAGACAGTGTTGAAAAACCTGCCTTTGATTGTGATAATGCTGGTATGTAGTCTCTAGCTGGGTTATCAGTTTTCTTTTGCAGACTTTTTCTGTAGTGGGTTGAGTAGTGAATTGGCTTAGAACATCTCTTCTGTTCAAATGTTTCAATGAAAGTTCAGCAAGTAACTAAGCTATACTTCTGTAAGCAGTTGAAGGAGGGCAAGTGAAAACAATCTCACTCTCTTATTTATTCTTGGCACAGGTCAAATGTCCTGTCCTGGCACCCTTCATGGAAGTCCTTTACAAGAAAAAAGGAAGTAATTATCAAAGCAAAGTCTGCCTAAGTTAAGATTTCTGTTTCAGTTTCAGTTTCATGTATTTTATAATTCTATCACATACAGTACAAAACAACAAAAACAAACTAAAATGAAATACAACAAATAGAACTACTCCATTTTGTTCTGTAAAAGAAGCATTACACTTAATTCAATAGTAAAATTCTAAACAGATAGTTGATTCCATGTCTTATCATGTATAAGTTGAATCCTCTTTTCTAAGTGCTTGTAAAGCATGTGTATTCATGTTTCTTTTGAATGTTTAAAAAAACCAAGAATACTAAATAAACAAACTTTAAAGAGGAAAATTCTTTCAAGCCAAGTGTGTCAACCATTTTGTTTAGAATTATCAGAATAAATTGACAAGTTTTAAAATCTCTAAAGCTCTTCTCCTTCATTAGTTCACCAAAAAGGTCCTTCCAGTCTTTTCCAGGAAAAATAAACCACTGTTGCTCATCAGGTGCCACCTAGTTCAGTAAAGCAAGTAGTTTTCCCGAGTTATTATGCTTCAACTTTAGGCACTCACTCAACCTTTGCTTTTAACCACCTTTGTACATTTTTTTGAAAGTTGATAAAACCGTGTATAAAATGCACCCTCGTACAGTAATTACAGAATAAAAGACAAATACTGAAAAAGAGGTCACCACGATAAACATATTTCTACTCTACATCATGAAAACCAAAGCATTTTATTTGATTCCTTCATTATGATTTTATGGTTTTTGATTTGTGTGTTGTCTTTATGTTTTTGTCAAATTTACGTAACTAGTGAGTTATTTTGGTAAATATATTTTGACAGTTGAAAATAACTTGAATAGCAAATAACAAAATGAAATAAACATAGAGATTGTGGAATTGTTGCCCATTGGCTAAAAATATACAATAGAAAAAACCATCTCTGCTATCTAAATACATTTTTCATTTTTGTTCCTAGGTAACCTGTGATGTAAAAAGATAATAAATACGTTTATTTTTCTAGACTTCCTGTGTGATATGTTAGCAGAAGCAATTGATGTTGGTAACACAGTGCAAGCAGCCAATATTGCTGAAAAGCTTGCAAAGCAAAAACTCAAAATAACAATACAAGCTTTATTTTCTGAGACTGATGAAAAGCCTCCAGAATGTACAATCAATATTACAGTACAAGTAGAAGACAAGGAGAGTGAAACACCCACTCTAATTAAGCTTGATGTTGATCCAAATTGCAGCATTGGTAAACTCAAATACATGGTAAGTATCATTTTGACCCTAAGTCACTCATTTTTTCAAAAAAAGAATCATTGTTAGAAAACTTTACACAGTTCTAAAATTCCTAAAATTTTAAAACTTCACTCAATGAATTTTAAAATTTTTCTAGAATTGTTTCAGTGGTTTTTATACCAGTATACTGAACAAGTAGCCTTTGCCTTTCAAGTTGCATTCTAGTCCTTAATGCTTTTTCTAACATACCAACTAGAGGGAGGTAATTCCCCCACAGTCACATTTCCTTTTTGGGGAAAATTTCTATGACTAAAACTATATGTTAAGTTTGGTTTCCATAACAAAATATTTCAAGCAAAAATGTTTTAGAATATAGAGATTCAGTTCCGAAACAGTATGCTCTTGCTGTACTTATCAGACTTTTTTTACATGTCATTGACTGTTTCCCTATATATACTTGATCTATAAAATGTTGTAAAGAAGAACAAAGTTTCCATGTATCCACACCATAGCTCAGTTCTTTTATTGCTGCATCAGGTGTCAAGAAAGACACATAAATTTTTGTTTTGATAATTTGCAATAAGATCAATATGTTTAAAAGTATGCCAGAAAACAAGTGATATCTTAGAAGCTCTGACTATTTTGAATTTACAAAAAAACTATTTTTTTAAGTTTTGTCTCAAATTGCAGAATACCTTTTTTCTAAGATATACACAATCTGTAATAGGTCCAACAGTTATTTGGCTTCCCAATAAAAGTCCAGCGCTGGGTCATTGGCAAACGCCTACCAAAAGATGTTGAAAGTTTGAAGCAGTTGAATGTAATAACAACTGGTACTGTCATCTTTCTTTACTTGCTGTCTGCCAAAGAGGTTGGGATTGATAAAACCAATTTGTCTCTCCAAGACCCTAAGAACAGCCAAAGTAGCGATAAATTTCAGTTGCCACCACGAGACTACTCTCCAGGCACCAACTTGAATGGGCCACCAGAACTAAATGCAGCAAGACAGCAATATCCAAGTGCCCCGGCAGCTTCTCCCAGAAATTCCCCTTTCCCCAATCCTGCAGGACAAGATTTTGTTATGCCGCCTTCACTACAACCATCTGCACAAAATAAAAATTCTCCAAGAAATTATTTCCAGGATTTTTATGGAACACCTCCTCCTTTTAATCCTCCATATCAAAATGTGAACAATCCACAGGGAAGATATGGCAGACCTGGCCCTCCTGTACCACCAGTACTGTCTAGTACTTCTTCCCATATCCCAGATGCCACTGCCAGGAAGAGTGCAACCCAAAAAGCTCTTATAGCACAACAAAAGTCAATAATGAAAAAAACAGGTACGCAAGAGAATCTATTTTTCCTTTATCTGTGTTCTTGTCCCTCTGTTTAACATTATACAACATTCTTACCTTTCAAGATAGATATAGCACCATTTCTCTATTGTATTGATATTAAATTGTCTTCTTATTAAATTTAACTCAACATTATCTTTAATTCTCTTTTATCTAACACCTTATAACCAAATTACAATAACTTCTAACTTCTTATTGGAACAGTTTTAATCTAACAAACTTTTCTTATCAAATCTATTTGTATTAATCCTTTAAAATTTCCCTTCAGTTCCCTTAGCCAAATCAAACCTTTGCAATCTCATTTTACATCAAAATCGTACAAACCTGCTGCTAGCCATTGGGCTTGGATGGGTTTCAAAACATACTACTCCCATAATTGACTGGCCAAGATTTATATCATGGAGATTTACACAATATGGAGTCATAAGAAATGCTAGTTGGGCTTCTATGGTAATACCACTGATTGATGATAATGATGATGATGATGATGGTTATGAATGAAAATTAAAGTGATACTAATGAACAGGAAAGCAACCCTTGTATCATGACTGGTGACCCAGATGATACCAAGGAATGTTGGAAATTTTTACTGTCTGAAATTGTGGAGGATTAACATAGCACTGTTTTCTTGTCTTGTAGAGTTGACCAAACATTACGTTTTAATATATTTTATCTGACACTTTTTTCCTAAAAAATTCAATTTTGTAAATTGATCTGACACTATCTTCTCATCACATCTCTTTATGTCAATTTAAAGCTATAAAGCTATATTGTTGTATATTTATATACAAAGCTATAAAGCTATATATATAAAGCTAAAGATATAAAGCTATATTGTTGATATAAAGCTATCTTCTCTTCTCATCAAATTGACATAACACTATCGGCTTCTAAAGATTCTCTCACACCTTTTTTTAATTATTTTGATCTCTTGCATTTTTTATTCATCTCCGATTCTAGACTGAGTGTTAACGAGTTTTCTTACAATAAATACTATTATTGATACCTTGAATACAATATACGAATTAAAAAACTGTAGTTTAGGATGTTGAATACAGGTTTTTATTTTTAGTCATATGAACATGCACATAAAGAGCTCTGTGAATTTGGTCACTTATAGAATGACAATCAATAAGTGTTGCAATTCCGTGCTCGATTTTTCTCATATAAAAAATAAGCTAACATCATTTTCCATTTTCAATTAACCATTTCAAAGGTCTGAAAATTTGTCTGAATTCGAGCACAATAGCTAGTGAAGGTCCCCTCAGCGCCGCAATTTTAGACATACCAGGCATGTAATAGACCATTTGTGCTCCGTTAAAAGAAAACAATAATAAGGTACAGCTTTTGCAATTTAAAGACTATCATCTCTAGGCTGGACATGTCCAAGGTGCACCTTTATCAACCCACCAACGCGTCCTGGTTGTGCAGCGTGTACAGCCACGCGTCCAATTGACTATAAAATACCTGCAGATTTTGAAGTGGACGATTCAGAGAGGAGGCGCCTCGAGGAAGAATATATGCTGGAGCAAATGGCATTTAATGTACGTGTTCAGTTTATTTATGCTAGCAATTTTGTGATTTCATTTCAATGAAAACCTGTCTTCTTCATTAAGGGTAGTGAGTCTAGTGGAGTGTTTCAATTTTCCTTTTCATGTTTAATATACTTTTTTACAATTTTTTATTTCTATCGCCAAAAGCATTTTTTGAACATTGAAAAGGACAGAAATTCATCGGATACAAAGATTTGAAGCATCATTGAGTTCCCTCTAAGGGCTAGGCAATGAGATTTTTCAGGGAGGGGGGGGGAGGGAGCAAGCACCCTAACCCTACACTTAACTTGTCTTCTTTACTTATATTTTGAGGAATGTCTTTTACAAAAAAATCAGATTATTGTTATTAGTCTTTTGTAATACATAAACTCACACTGAGAGTATGTTACATTTTATAATTATTGCCAGCTAAAGAATTAAAAGATACGACTAAAACTTAAGCTAATGGAAACGTCCCATCTATGCTTGGATGATTATCTGTTTGATTCTTTTACTTCTTTTGATTGTTTTAGTTTGAAGAATCCCGAGAAGAACAGGACCGCAAACTAGCAGCAGAAAATTACCTGCAAGTATTGGCCACCGCTCAGAAAAACTTGATTCCCAATACAGAGGAATTTGAATGTCCGATTTGTTTTACCCCGATCGAACCGAATGAGGGTATCCTTCTCCGAGAATGCCTGCATTCTTTTTGCAAGTATGCTGCTTCACCTTATTAATTTCTATTTTGTCAGCATCTTATCTTCGAAAGGTCAAAATTTGCAAATTTCTAAGGACTATGCAATAATCAATGTTCATTCCATATTCTCTTTATGGTACGAAGGTATAAAATCCTCTCACAAAACTAGCAAAATAATTTAATATTGTAGCTCTGTGAAGCTTTGCGAAGTTTTAGCTTACAATAAATGTCATCTTTACTGCTGTGTTTGTGTTTCTATCAACCAACAACGATCTTCCTTGTCCCTATGTTTCAACAACTAATGCCCCGTTTGAACTTCGTTTGAATATGAGTTTAATTGTCAGAAATGTTTTTGACCCATGATTTCTTTCGAGCAGTTGATTTTATTTTATTTATTTTGATTATTGATTTTATCTCTCTCTCATACAAATCTTGAATCTTAAATTAATTATTTCGTTGATATTTCTTTAAATGTGACGTTACCTAATGGATGGTTGAAATTTAAACAACTTCCCTGCTACAGACAACTGAACAGATAATTTTTCAATTGAGAACTTTTCAGCATTTTTAAACGTTTATTTTGCATTTCAGAGTTTGCTTGAAAATGCATATTAACCAAAGCGATGATCCGGAGGTTAAATGTCCCTTTACTGATGGCACGGTGAATTGCCCTGAGGTCATAACAGCCCAGGAAATTAGTTCTGTAAGTCATGTAAAACATTCCATATCCTTTCTTTTTTGTACGTTTCAATCAATTAAATAGCAAGTTGGATATATCATAGTTTGCCAGGAAAAGAGTCATAGGCTTGAAGAAACCGATTATTTGTTGGCGTTTCTCCCGTAACCCTACAGGCTATAGCATTTTAGTGTCTTCACTGTGATGGCCAGCAGTAGCGACGTGAATAGGCATCCTCAACACGCCGCTGACTTGCTTCTTTAATTTTCTCACCAAGCAGCACTTCCCTTACCTACAGATTATCTATAAGTTATATTTCTCATTTCAATCACATTTTTCTTTCAGTATTTGAAAATTTTTTTCTACCTGATTATTCTTTGCTGCGAATAACTTTAAATACTGATAGTAAAACATTGATAGTAAAGTTCTGTAAATATGTTGTGTAAGTCCATTAGTGATGTTGATTTGATAGCTAATCAAATTGTTTGTAGTGTTCATCTGATCAGTTCAGCTGTAATATTTGCAAAATTTGGTTTAATATTCTTTCCTCTTTATGTAACTAATGCAAGAACTTTTCAAATTATTTTTTAAAACCGAACACCAAGTTGATTTGTATTGAATGTCATCTGCCTCACATTTTAAGACCAATAGTTGGATACAGCATGTCTTCTTTTCCTGTAGATTCTGAACGAAGAGGAATATATGAACTACTTGCAGAGATCTGTCAATGCCGCGGAGAACAGAGCTCCAAACAGCTACCATTGTAAAACGTTGAATTGCAATGGTTGGTGCTTTTATGAAGATGAAGTGAATTGGTTTGACTGCCAAGTATGCAATAAACGAAACTGTCTAACGTGTAAAGCTATCCATCTTAACATGACGTGTCAGCAGTACCAAGATGACTTGAAAATAAAGTCAGAGAATGATGTTGCAGCGAGGCGAACACAAGAGATGCTTGAGGTACATGCTCTTGCTTCTAAAGTGTCTTCTCTGAATCCTACAAAGTGGCTTTCGTCAATGGGGCATTCCTTTTTCTACTTATCATAACGATGCAAGAAGAATAATACTTACACGTTGAAAAATCTTGAAATGTCTTCTAAACAAATAGTTAATACGCTGAAATGCCACATTGCCAAAAACTAATCGCCTCATAAGGATTTTATATCAGTTATGAAATCTACATTTTCTGATGAGTAGGCATCTCTTTCAAAATAACTTTAAAATGAATTTTTTTTAATTAAAAACTAATGTTTTTTGTTATTCTATTTCAATGCTGGTTTCAGTTTTTTTGGAAATGGCAGTTACAATCTTTGTCAGCAATTTGTTTCTAACTGTTGATCAGCAGTGGTCTGGCTAGGGATGATAAACTGGTAGTCACAACCTGTTTCCCCTTCTCTTCCTCCCCTTCTTCCTGCCATGTTAGCAGCATACCTAGGCATTTCCCCTAAAAGGGATTACAGCCAGGTTTTGTCTGCAGTCGTAGGTAAACAATTGTTGTACTATTTCTTTGCATCATATCTAAAGCTTCCATGTTTTCGTGCTCAAAGGAACTTGTTCGTAAAGGCGATGCTATGAATTGCCCTCAGTGTGCTATAATACTGCAAAAGAAGGATGGCTGTGACTGGATGCGGTGCAGCATGTGCAAAACTGAAATTTGCTGGGCAACCAAAGGACGGCGATGGGGTCCTAAGGTGCGTATACCTTTGTGCGTATACCTGTATTAAATCTTGAATGTAAACAAGTTGCATCTGCTGTAGCAATATACATTGTATCTGCTAGAAAATGCTTTTCAATGCGGGCAGAATGGTACCAACAAAGACCCTCTTTCTATTCAAAAATGATGTAATTCGAACCAGTTAAAATCGTTCATGTTATTGCATCTTCCCAATTTGCAACATTGCTTTTTTCACAAATTCTGTCTATCATCCTTCCAAGCATACTAATAAGAAAGCATTTAACCGCCTGTAACTATTGCTCTCTCGTTTTTTTAGATCTATTTCTTTCTCACTGATTGTATTTGTCTCGAGTTGCAATTCATATTGACAAAATGCATTTAACATTTCCGTTTATTTGCTTCGGATGTTAGGCTTATCTCTTTTAATCTTGTTTATGTATTGATGTTACTTCAGGATAATTCACTATCTGATAAAAGTTATTTTCCATATTGGTGCAAGAAACTACGCGATTTCATTGTAAACAAACTCAGTTCTGGCCATTTTGTCATCCCTCTATTATTGCCATTTTGCAATGTCTTTGTAAAGAAACTTTGTCTATAAACTACTAAGCAGTCTTGGCAATACAAAGCACCTCTAGCTGAAATCAGAATTTTCCTAGCAGAAATTTTTGTATATTGCCAAGTCAATTTGTCGTATAATGTCAGTCAGGTTTATCCCAATGTATCTGCATTTTAAGCATACCGACCAACCACGAAAAGGGAAGAAAATGCATTTTTGCTGCCAACCTCGATAAAGCCCCTCCCTTGAGTAAGCCCCCAACTCAAAATGTATTTTCCGAAATAAACCAAAAATGTATTTCTGTTTCAGAGTACGATCAATTTTCAAGTTTATTGTCTGTTTCGTTATATTTTGAATTTAAATTGTAAATGAGGGCTGTTTATAGGGTGAAAATGTACATTGTTAATTCTATAACGATTGACCCTAACACTTGGACACTCATTCGTTGAAAGGTTACCTGTATCCGGAGTCCATACGTAAACTGTTGTCAACGTAAAATCCCGTGTAAACAAAAAGCGTCACAAAAACAAATTTATTACTTCATTTTCTTTTTAAAGGGTCATAAACCATAAAATTGTTATTGAAGCCTTCCAGTGATTTTTGAGCCTTCTGTGATAGAAGAAACTAAAACATTTAAAACAATCATGATTTGACTTGTGCTTCAAGAACCGAAAAGGGATTTTCTGCCGTTTACGGAACAGATTATTTTATTCTTGAAAATCATGCGATTTAAGACTAAAACAATCATGATTTGACTTGTGCTTCAAGAACCGAAAAGGGATTTTCTGCCGTTTACGGAACAGATTATTTTATTCTTGAAAATCATGCGATTTAAGATATACTGAAATCTCATCAGGCAGTTACGCTGGAATGTTGGGAGACAAATTTAAGATTAGTACGCTTGTCATTTAATTTGCATCAAGGTTTTTGTTTGTTTTGAAGATTTACCTTAATTTCTAAAGTTTTTTTCTTGATAGGGCAATGGGGATACAACTGGAGGCTGTCAATGCACTCCTGCAAAGCGCTGCCATCCGAACTGTGGCAATTGCCATTGAAACGCTGGCGTTCCTTTCCTGTCTATAAAACATCATCATTTGGCCATTGCGGAGACGGAAACCATTAACAGTTGTATTGTGAACATTTTTATCATCATAATTTCGAAGATCTTACTTTAATTTTTTAGAATAGATGCTAAAATCTTCGAGATTAAATTTGGCTATTCCTTTTGATAATTTAGTCAGCTAGGAATCAATTCAAACCTTTCAGTAAAACCCCACACTAAAGAATCTGCAGATTAAAGACAATCGATAGGTTCTTTGGCAGTCAATCAAGAATGGGCCAACCAGTAGACGTGTTACCCCTGACGGGCCTATTAATTGGTTAATTTTGATTGAATATGCCTTATTGCACTTGAGTCCACCGTCTTTTACAACTTCCAAGCTGATTTTGTTCCAAGCTTCGGTAAAAAGCACCTTTGATATAATAAAAGCTTTGTAAAACAGCCTATATGAGCAACTTTTGCCTGTTTGCCTTGAGCAACGAAACCACAGGTTCCTTTTATGCGGGTTTTACTGTATATCAATTTTTGTTTTAATAGGCTTTGTTTTTCAAGGCAGTAGTCTTAAAAAGATTTACTGGGAAATGGCATCCCTTGTTATAGGGCTAAAATATTGTCACAGTTTCAAAAAATGCTTAAATCCATAGGTAGAAGGGATTAAGTATGGGATCAAGTATGAGATTTTCCTGTGCGAAGAAACTTTTGATTCATCACTAGAATAGTTATTTTTCACTTCTTCAACTGATGCTAGCTGGCCTAATTGTAATTTGCCACCTAGAAGTGACGACAAGGCCTTTATGATTTGTTTAATTTTGTTCTCCGATATTTTGATGAAATTTTGTTCTTTTGCGATAATATTTTAATGTGTAAAAGTATGGATAAAGATTAATGAAGCTAGGCCAATTTTGGCAAAGATGTACCAGAAGTTTATAAGATATGAATCAAAAGTAACACAACATGAAAAACAACACGTCTGATTGGTTCCTTGTTTTTGACCAATCGGAGACAACTAACCTTTCATCTAGTTGAAAGGTTGAAGAGTCTCACAATTTTACTTTCCATCCGAATCTGTTTATGATTTACTCATACTACTTTGAGAAGTGTCGGGCGAAATGTACTCAAGAATAGTATCTTTTCGCTTTTCCATACTATCTTCAAATTTTGTGGTAATAAAGTAGCTTTACCTTTTATATCGTAAATGATCTGCATTTCTGTTAGGTTAAGAAACCCGCTTGGTTTCATCGTTGTTTTAATTACATATCTAGTAGAACACCCTGCAAAGTGGTGTTTTGTAAAACATAGATTTGAATAAAGTCATGATATATTTCTGTAAACGTTTAGATTGTGGCCATGCTTGTCATGTAGTGACGTAGATGCTATTATACCACGCCTGATTGATACATGATAAATGATAAATAAATTGCTAGCGAATAAAACAAGAAGACTGTTGACTCTAAGCCTCTTCAGGGACGTCGGGTACAAAGAAGCTATGATTTTTTCATGCATCCCATCCGCACTTCAAGATATTTGAATGTTCCTGGGCATGGATCGTAACCAAAGAACAAATCATTTGCTTGCATTTTGCAATATTGTTTTCCCTCGCAAAGCGCTCTAACTCGTTGAAGGGCATCTGGCACTTTGCAGTTTATAGATTTCACGGGTCCCCAGCGACAGTACATTCCAATTTGTCGTCCATACATGGCATACTCTACTTTCACCTCAGAGCCAAAGGAGCAACTGAAACTTCGTGTGCGATTTTCACATACCAGCACTATATGGAAGCGGAAATAGTTGGCTTTATGTCAACATGATGATTTGCTCTCTTACACAACGAATGACTATGGTATTTAATTATATAAAAAAATTTTCTTTCTAAATCTCATCTTCTTTGGCTTCAAAAGATGAATTTACAAAATCAGACTTTATGTAAACCCATTGTCAAGGAGTTAATTGCGCGAGAATTAAATGATATCGTTGACCGTCATTTCAAGTACAGCAACATGGTTAGCTATTTCTGTAATTATTTCGTTTGTTAATTCTGAAATGTAAATTCCCCAATGCAAGAATGGAAAGTAAATTCATCTCTAGTCCCGCTAGCTCAAAGGAAGTTATTTTTACAATTAATATTTTTATTTATTTTTACTATTTTTCTATACCGTAAATCCTCGAATTAGCCTGGGGGCTTATTTATTTCTGATATTTTGGATGGGGGCTTATTCGAGCGAGGTGGTTATACGAAGGGGGGCATGTTAAACTATTGTAGACATTAAGAAGACATTATTGAAAGATCTCGTTTATTTTAATAGAAATTTCTTTATGACCATTTAATTAATTACTACCAAAAGTATAAATTTGTTGTGGTAATTCAAAAAAACGCCATAGGCAACCTCAGAAGTCATCAAATGGAGGGGTAAAATTCGAGAATTTACAGTAGTAGTGGGGGCTTATTCAAGGGGGGGCTTATTGACAATTTGTAGTTCTCGGGTGGGGGCTTATTCGAGGGGGGGGCTTTTCGAGGGGGGGGGGGCAATTCAAGGATTTATGGTATTCTATTTCCTATTGCTGTTGCATTTCCAGTGTATGCTATTGTAGACACGGATTTAGGCCTTGTGATGTTCTTAGCGAACTCGAAGACTTCAAAGAAACGATCGTATTTTTATGTTGTTTTATAGAATTAAGAGCTTGTATGTTAAGGAAGACCGTGAAATTCCTAAAAAATACTCACGTTGTCTGTAATACACTGCTGGCGTTGTCTTTACCGTTGTGGGTTTTGGCTTTTGGGTCCGGGTTGTTGTTTTCTTCAGTGTTGATCTTGCCATACTGGTTGGTTCAACTGTACTCAATTTAGTTGTTGGCTGAATTGTTTTCAATCTAGTTGTTTGTTGCTTTGTTGGAGCGTGAGTTGTTGGCTTTTGTGAAGACCCCTTGGTGACAGGTGGGCGGGTAAAACCTGTTTAAAAACGACAAATTATTTCTTCTTTACCAGTGTCTCTCCCGAAAAAGTCACCTATACACAAAGTTAGCTAAAGACCGCCAAGAGATTACTTTGTGAATCGAATACCCGGCCTTTTCGTTTTACATTGAGAATCTGTAACTTAGCTTTGTTTTGCTCGATTTGATGCGCAAGAGATGACGTCACGAAAATATTTTTCTAGCATTTTTAAATTTGTTCTCATAACCTGAAAGAGCATCATGAAATCATTCTAAATCTGCAAAATCAATTAAAGGTATTACGAATTTGTTGAGATATGACCAGATGTGGCTCTGGCCCCATCAAATCTCTATAATTTGGTCTCAGTTCATAACTTTGTGAACTGTGCCAAAATAACTGTAGTCCGTTAGCAAACTTCAAATCTTCTATTGGCTATAACTGACCATATTTTTTACAAACTTGACTGATTTTGTATATATGGATTTCTTCTATGTTATGTGGTCAAAATTCGAAAATTCTAAAAATTGTTTTTCATGACTTCACATTTGAGAATTCTATCATCTTTGCTTATTTACTGTGATTTTTCATCGTTGTTTCTCTTGTTAATTGAAGATTTTGCATCTTCGAAAGCATATTTCTCTTTTCTATTTTTATATCATTCCTTGCATCATCTTGTATGTCCCCCTTCTCCTTTTCAACATTATGCCGCCTGAAATTGATGGATATTGTTAATAACGACACGAGAAAGAGTTACTAAGGCGTAAGTGAGTTACTTGTGTCGCGTTAGTGAGTAACGAGACTAGCTGGTCACGCTTGGTGTTGCGGCATGAAGAGAAAGCAGAACAAGAAGAATTCAAGAAGAAGAAAAATCATTAACATGAATATTAAGACATAAAAATAGACATCTAGAGGGAAAAGGGATATTTAGAAGATCAATAAATACGGGTCGGTTGTTTCAATGCTAGTTAGATTAAAGATTGTTTAATTTTACATACCAGGGCAGTTATACATTATCCCAAACTGAAGAATGTCTTTTTCACTGAGACCATTTCGTTGTCCAATCTTGTATTTATATGCAGGGTCTTTAGCGTCTATCGTTGGCTTGTCACCTCCAAACTGATGTCTGTTGTAGTGCATTATTGACAAGTAGTCATATGGAACGTTTAGTGAATCGATGTGCTTCAATGTATATTTCTTGAATTGGTTTCTAAAATCTAATAAAGATACGCATATCTAATTTATGTACATTGTTGTAACTTTTCATTGACAACAATTTCATTGTACATAGATAATAAAACTTCAATATAAATTATACATTATAAATAGCCTTTTCGACACCAATAGCAATTTCGGCAGCCAAAAATTTCTTTCTTGTGCTTAATGGAAAATTCAGTTTACGGCTCTTCTTGCATTTCGACAGCTATGGGTGTCTTAAAAATGCATTAAGACTCAACAAGAGCAGAAGTACTAACATTTTGGAATATTTTCCCAAAGGATGGTAACATAATCGTCCCTGTCCGGCCTAGACTGCTCGTGAAAGAATCCAAGTGCATGAGCCATTTCGTGAATTACGATGCCCTTTCTCCAGCAGCCGTATCCCAATGAAATAGGAGCCATTTTGTTTGGAATATAGCCAACATATGACCAGCACCTACCGAAAACAAGAGCCGCAGTAAACAACATAACTGTTATATAGAAAGCAACTGTAGATAAATAGAAATGTTTTGAGATGCAGATACGCATGTGACTTGAAAGGCGTTCAGGTATATGATTGGTGACATATCATTAGAGAGAAGCATATAAGTATATATGTATATAAAGTTATATTGATCTATTGATCTTTAGTTATATGGTTATATCGTTATAACGTTATTTTCACATATAAAGCTATATATTAGTTTTTCATTGGAATTTCCAACAATTGCACTCTTGTTATAAATCTCAGCTCCAGCCATCAGACTTTGTTAATCACAAGGTTCTAGGGATTTCATATAATGTATGGTTGTGAAAAAGCTGTCTTGCCTATCAACGTACAGTTATGCATTATAAAAATTTATATTTTTATCGCTTGCAGTGAATATCAGTTTAGCTATTGTCGTATTTACTAACCCTTTTCCTCTATAGAAGTACAAAGTTTCATTTTCACCCTTTTTCTCCTCAAAGCGCAGCATGTCTTTTCCTCGTAGTGTTTGATGGCATCTTTTATTCCTTTTACAGCAAAGCTGTGTTTGCCTAAAAGCAAACAGAATTACTCATGCTTGGGTTTCTTTAGAATTACATTTTAAGCTCCCGGTTTTTTCTATGCCAGTTAAAACATCAGGACTAAAGGCATCTCTTTGCAAAGTCTTAGTGAAGGTATCAGTTACTGTGAAGCGTAAACAAGAGAGATGATTGAAGCCCATGAGAAATTTCTGAGATCACGCCCTTTTCCGTGATTTCGGTGCTACCCTCTCATGACAATGCTATATATACTTTCCCCAGGCAGGTCTTAGGAAAACGTGACCTAACCATCACCAGTACAGTTCCATCAATATTTAGAAGAGTTGTATGGACCATGCTTTGAATAAGAGGGGAAACGTAATTATTATTTGTAATTGCTACTTTCTTCGAGGAATTTTAACTCTCTTGACGTGTCTTTAACCGTATCAAATTTACTGTATCATCACATACTTAACCCTGGATCTATTTCATAATAGATAGGCATAGGCCATGGCCTTGTTTTGAAGGCAGCAAACTCAGCACCAGGCCCCCTTTGCTGGTCAATCTCTTTCAGCTGGCTCTTCGTCAGTATCATATCTCCTTCAAACAGATCTGGATCTGAAAAATGAGATAATATTTTGCTTTTTGTGTCTAAAACTATGCACAAATCAGTATTATACAAATAATACTAAATATATTTAAAGAATGTTATATTTTATTTCAAACGCGCAAGATTCGATATTCATTGCAAACTTTTGAATTGAATTTTTAACATCGTTGAAAAAAATTATCAATTAACGTAACAAGTTATTATCAAGTTAAATCTTAGTTCAGACTGCTTTTGACAGAAAAAAATTGGTAGCCATTGTTAATACATCAACATAGAATAGAAGATGGCAGTTTTATTTAAAATTGTTAACAATGATGCCAGGTAAATGCTAGATCTCTATTCTGTGCTAGCGTTAATAATCGTAACTAACGTTTTTAGTTTCACTAAGTCACAGAGCCTTGTGTTTTCCTTTACATTTCAAGACAATGACTGTTGACAGCTGCAGACAGACACTATTTTCATTAAGAACCAGTACTAATTACAATTATTGATCGGGAAACGACCCTGTGCTTTTTATTCTGTCTCAGCTAGATTTAGATGGGTTTAACTGTTTATCGCAGGTGTGACTGCTATATTATGTCCCGTATATGAAAAGGTCAATAAAAATTCTAATAGCAAGTTTCAAATACGTCATCACATCACCACTAGTTCATGACATGGAATATGTGCTTGCAACATAAAAGACTGACGAAAATTACTTGAAAAACATTCCGATTGTTATCAAAACCTAATCGAATACCTTGCTTATTTCCTTCCATATAAATATTTTTTAAGCTTGTGTTATGTTCAGAATGTAGAGAATGTATGCGTATAAAATCTTGATGGCAATGGAGCTAATTCATCTTCAATCTGACTTACTTTCCATTGGATCTATTCCAAAAACACACTGTAGCAATGCTAAAGCAACCGCTTGAAATGCGAATGACCTCATGACTACCGCAATGCTTTCACCCAAAAATACAAACAAATCCATTTTGTCTTTGCATTGGGACCTTATATATAGGTACTCTAATTAGCAGAGAAATTTTTCGTTTAAACAGCAGTTGTTTATATCGAAGATTTTGGCAAAATTTTTGAGATATGTCCTTATGAAATTACTAGCAAATGTGACGGTGTGTTTGTTGATCATTACGTTGCTGACGATATTTTACCAAGAAAACTTATTTAGCCGATAGTGTGTTTTCATCATGCCCTTTTTAATCAAGATTGTATGCTATCTTTGAGGTGTAAGTAGAAGCTGGACAAACATATTGAGAAAGAGCACTTGCTTATTTTATTGGTCAACCAACCAACCAACCAACCAACCAACCAACCAATCAATATACTAATTATAAGTGATTCTTTCAATTGGCAATTTATTTTCTATATCTATACAAGCTACGTGCATTAACTGCACTGTTGGCTTTACTGGTACAAGGTTCAAGAAATATGATAACGAAGGCGATAGCTTTGGCTTTTTGGCTTCCTTTTATTGTGGGACTGAATCCCTTTGAAAGTAAGTTCCTATCTTTGCTATGTATAATTTTTACTGCACTGAGATGATTCAACGAGATTGGAAACCAAATTTTCGCCATACATCTATCTTTTTCTCAAAAATCTCGAGTTACGAATTCTTATATTGACAGATATGCAGGCAATAGCCACGTTAATTGGTTTGAAAATCTGAACTTAATCTGAAAGACCTGAGACATGGTTTTACTTCAAAATGAATGTATTACAAAATCCATTACTTCCTTTTCAGATGAAGATCTTTTTGAAGGCGATATGGTCCTTTCTCAAGATCAACTCAAGGAAGTAGAAGCAGGGATGGTCGACATCCAAAATGGCTTTGCAGCTTCAAAAAGGAGACAGTGGCCATTACCAATTGCTTATGAATTTGATCCTTCAATAGGTTTGACTAAACAAAAATTCAGAATTATCCTTTTATTGAATAGAACCAAAATGCATTAGCTTTTGCTTTGGCAACTGCTCATTATTGACTTTAGCATTTCTGGATTTCGTACTCACAGTCTTTCAACTGTATCTTTGTACGAATAGTGACAAGCAATTAACACATATTTCTAACGCCTTTTTTGTCGAGTATGTTCAGAACTTTGACCTTGCTGAACATCCAACGCTACATATGTCTATTTCCTGCAACCTCAAGTCTACTTTGTTAATGTAAGAGAATGTTGCTGCGTTTCTTGGTGCATGGGTAGTATATGTACATTGATCCATATTTTGACGTTTTCTCAGCTAGATATCCTAAAGCCATTGCCGTCATAAACGCATCACTTGCTGAGTTTGAGGAGAACACTTGTCTTCGATTCAAAAGAAGAACAGACGAATCTGCATATATCTATTTCTATAAAGGAGGAGGGTGAGCTTAAAATGCTGATTTTCAAACACTTTTCATACGCCTGACCGGATTGCTATGCACAACTTGAGAAATAATCTAAGATATTGAAACAAGAGTTCGAAATAAAAAATTGTAAATATGAATTCGATGTGATATAATCAATTTATTTAATGCCTTTAAAATCGATTCATTGTTAATAGACGGTAATTTGTCTTTTCATAAGCCATCCTCACAACATGAAAGCTAAGTTGACGTCGCATTAAAATGCCATATACCTACAACGTACCTGTAGAATCTGCAGTGTTTTTTCACGTTGTGAGTAAGTAAAGAAGACATCATCAAATTCCATGGTCTTGTGCAAATGTCTAGAAGGATCAGGGTGGATCTAAATAAACATAGCACCGTTCACGTTATTATTTCTTCATTTAAGCCTTTTGAAATAGCTAAGTTATCCTACACATACTAATGGAAGTCAGAACATCCTGTTCTCCAGCAACTCTATTTATGCGTCTAGAAGATGAGTTTAGATTATTCATATAGTTTAATGCAATTATTTTATCCATTTCTTTGAACCAATGAGAAAATGCATCATACGGGTATGGACATTAGGGCAAAGTCATGTGGACAAAATTTGCATCTCGTGGCGCTTCACAGTATTAAATCAATATCATATATCATAGTTGCATCAAATAATCCAGAGTTTCTTTCTCAATTTCTCGCTCTTCTCTAACACCTGATTCTCTAGCTCTCATCGTCTTTTCATTCAAAATTAGTTTGTTGCTATAAGAGCCATGAATGTTCCTACCATAAAATACACTAGGCGATGTAAAAATAACGTCATTGACAATAACTGCGTCATATGATGCAAAATTTTTGAAAGCCAAAAGTCCATTGAACCTATTTTGTTGCTTCTCCCCAACCATCTTCAATTTAAACTTAGGATTATTAACTTACATTATCTTGTCGTTTTCGTGTAGATGTCACTCTCGTGTTGGCTTCGGATATGGAAAAAGACCAATCTCCCTTTCATCGTGGTGCTGGTACAAAGGTGCGGTCATTCACGAGATCGCACATGCACTCGGCTTCTATCATGAACAAAGTCGTCCTGACAGAGACAGCTACGTCAAAATTATTTGGAAAAATATCCCGAAAAGTAAATATCTTTCCATGTTTCTATTCTTGAAAATGCTCTTGTATAGTTCCTGGCCTATCGGGATGCCTGATTTTCTATGTAAATGTTTTATTCAAATTATCAGAAGCAAAAAATACTGTATGCAGTAAACTGAAAAATAATTGTAAGTAGATATACGACATGAAAATGTTATGAATAACTTTATGGATTAATGTTGATTCAAAGAATGGTTTTGTAGTTAACTGGTTCAATCAAACTGATTGAGACAAATTTATCTTTTTTCTTTCAGAGGCATGGGGAAACTTTCAAAAGTATTCAGTCCGAACAATCGATTCATTAGGTGTCCCATATGACTTTGACAGTGTCATGCATTACGCCAGCAAAGCTTTCAACGGAAGAAATGTCACCATTCAGCCACTTGATCCGAATCAGAAGATCGGGCAACGAAAGAAGCTCAGCAAGTTAGATATTCTGCAGTTGAATCTCCTCTATAGATGTGCAGGTATTCAATTTGAACTTCTTTAATTCTTTCGCCATATTCTGCCGTTGCAAATAATTCCTTGTTTTGTATCCAAGTTCGTGTGCCAACCTTAGCCTGTTCGTATTCAATTTTTCCATAGGATATACAAATCCACCAAAGACAGCAATTGTTTCTACCGTCTCTCCTGTTAAATCTTCATATGTAACAAAGCCAGTTAAAACCACTCTTCAGTCAACAAAACAGCCAGTGACAACGCCCAGCCTATCCACTGTCAAGCCAACAACAAAAGTTTTTTATAGGCAATGTGAGTTTTTTCATTATATTTGCGTCAAGTAATTTTTATCGACTGTACAGTCAAGTAATTTTTATCGACTGTACAGTTAGTAATAAGCATTGATCATATCTGTGTGTGTCTAAAGCGGATGCTTTGGCCATTAGATGCGATAGCAAAATCTAAGGCTCCTATTTTGAACTACTCTCAATGCATTCTTAAAGACATATTGTATAAAACCTAGAGTATTGTAAAATACATAAATATATGTATATATATTGTACAATGTGCCTTTTGCAATCTTGTCTTTGAACCTTGGGGGTTGGTTGCACAAGGACTATTATGATGTAATGACAAATATTTGTTCTAGTGTAAACGTTTCTAAACAAACTACATACTTACTCTACTGTATAGTGCTGGTATGTGAAAATCGCACACGAAGTTTTAGCTGCTCCTTTGGCTCTGTGGTGAAAGTGGAGTATGCCATGTATGGACGACAAATTGGAATGTACTGTCGCTGGGGACCTGTGAAATCTATAAACTGCAAGGTACCAGATGCCCTTCCACGAGTCAGAGCGCTTTGCGAGGGAAAACAATATTGCAAAATGCAAGCAAATGATTTGTTCTTTGGTTACGATCCATGCCCAGGAACATTCAAATATCTTGAAGTGCGGATGGGATGTGCAAGGAATTAAGTTCATGTTTGGAAATATTAGTTTGCATGATGTGATATGTAAAAAATTGTAGTAAAAGCGCTTTCTATTATTCACAATTACAAACAATAAGTTAGCTTTGACAGATAATTTATAGGTAATTTACAGATTATTTATAAATTATAAACATCTGGGAGTTTCAAGCTGTTAGATGAATCTTACAAAAGTTCTTGTCTTTATAATCTGATAGCTATTTAGATCACAACTCTGGCCGTGCGCTGCGAAGCACCTAACGTAGGCATTAGGAATTACCTGCGCCAGGTTGGCATCATGCCAGTACCGTAAATCCTTGAATAAGCCCCTAGGGGCTTATTTGCAAAAATGAATTTTTGGATGGGGGCTTATTCGACGGGAGGCTTATTCGAGGGAGGGGGCTTATTTCAAAGTTTAGTGTTTTCCTCAAAGGTCAAAATAAAAACGACATAATTTTTCTAACAAATCTAACAAAGAACTAACAAATATTATAATTTTCATATTATTATTATCATCACAAAAGTCGCTTTTTTGCGCTTTGGTCTCAAGTCAAAGGAAGTATTACTGTATAGCTATTGTCCTGTGGAGGCTTATTCAAAGAGGCGTATTTGCAAAAATGATTTTTTAGGTGGGGGCTTATTCGAGGGAGGGGGTCTTATTCGAACGTGGGGGCTTATTCGACGATTTACGGTATGTTACACCCTTGGCAAGATAATGGAATGCCATGCTTGAATGACGTGTTTCTTTTGTTCATGGTATAAACGTAAGACCTGTGAATAGATGAGTATTTGAGAAGTTGCAGTCTTCGCTCAATTCAAATTTTGTTTTCTATGTGCTCAAATCTGAGGAGAAGTGGCTATAGTTTCCAAAACAACAGCAGTAAGTTAATTTTTTTTCTGAATCCCTGGTGCATCTATCAACTTTCTAGACATAATTCCTTGGGCACTTATCAGAAAGAGGCGTGTTTTTAACGTGTTTGAAACGTGTATTTAACAAATAAAACGTATTTGAATGCCTTTTTTACTGAAGTTTACTTTTCAAACAGACAAGGACGATCTCTTTTTAAGTATGTAACGACAGGGTTCTTCTTAGAACGGTGGATAACCAGCGAATAACCAGCTCGTTGGTGGAGCGATAGGCTTGTCCAAAGGGCCTAGGCCCTGGATAAGTAGCACACAAAAGATACCCGTTCTTTGATCTCTAATGATCCAACAGTAAGACAGGCCGGACTGAAATTCAATCCGGCCTGAGTTCAGTTTAGATATGCTAATTTTCTTCGCGTTCACATGGATATTTAAAATCGGTTGGAATGAACTTATGAATACTGCGTTTTGATTGATACATTCAAGGATCAGGCGCTGTAACTCAGCTACAGGAAGTTTCTCAAGAAATTTAGAGTAAAAACAAGGTACAGACAACTTAGGAATAGGTTTATAAAGAAGGGAAGACATTGGAAATACACTGGACGCACAGAGAAATGATGGTAGGCACTAGATCATAGCCTCAATATTCACATGACATAATGTCTGGTTGATTTACAATAAAATATCTAACTAGCTGATAGCATTTGTAATCACCGATTGTACACTAAAGAGGTTTCATAAAGGAAGATTTTTCGATTAGTACCACAGAGGTGTTTGTTCACAGGAAAACAAAAGATTTGCAGTATGATTTTCGTCAGAAATACGTAATAATTATAATGTTACTGCCTTCAGCATTTATGTAACAGCGTCGAGATCAGGAGAGATGAGCATTCATTATTTAATTTTCTTAAGTTTTCTTGATTACGAATTTTTACAGTTTAGCCAGGGTCTGAGACCGATAATGTAGCAAGGTATAACATTGGTAGTCCTATATTTGAAACGAAAAGGACTCTCGAAATGAAATAATGCTGATTTATAGACTGTGGCAAGTTTTAACCTCGACTGCATCATTGTTTATGCCTCTCTTTCGTTTCTGAGGTGCATCAATATCATTTCCTTGGTGACATTGAAACCACTTCCTCTCCGTAATGGACATAGAGTACCATTACGTCATGTGAATATTGAGGCTATGATCTAGTGCCTACCAGAAATGATGGACATATACGATTCAATTCAATTTTCAATTCAATTCAATTTCATTGACAAATATACCTAAATACTTAGAGACTGAGGAAATCCTTAGGGATTACCTCAATATTGACGTAGAATATAACCATTTATGAGAAATTCTTTCAGTTTTGATTTGAAAATATTTAAGGACGCTGAAACTTTAATGTATGTCGGAATATCATTCCAGAGTTTAACACCAAGATATCTAATCGACCTGAGCCAATACAAAAATGTATTCCTTGAAGGTTGGAAAATATTACCACTAACTGCCTGACGCGTTCCATGGCTATGAACTGTGCTACTAAGCTGAAAATAGTTGTGGAAATGAGAAGGTGAAAGATGATTAAGTGACTTGTAAACAAATTTAAGAATATCCTAGTGAATCATATCCTTTAATTTGAAAATTTTAAGTGAGGCAAATATTGGTGTTGAAGGAGATCTATTGGGGTGAAATGAGATAGACCTCAATAGTTAATTTGTAGTAAGAAGAGCGGTTCCAGAAAGGTTTCATGTGAAAGACCCCAAGCTGTGGAGCCGTAGCAAAGAAATGAGGAGAAATTGGAATAGTAAAGGTTTTTTAAAATATCAAGGGGAAGGAAATTTCGGATCTTATTTGAAGCCACGACTTTACTTTCAGCAGCTCTCTATTAATTATATAAGTTAGTTTGTTTAAGTTATCAGATTCGTAATATATATTTGTATCATCTGCAAATAAAAAAAAAATAATTTTGGATACATTCAGCAAGTCATTTATATAAAGCAAAAAAGTAAAGGTCCTAGTACAGAGCCTTGAGGAACTCCACAGGTCATTTTTCCAGGATTAGAGGAATATCCGTTTACTGAGACAATTTGCAATCTGTCAGTCAGGTTAGACTCGAACCACTTTGAAGTAATGCCTCTTTTAGTATAATGATAATCAGTTTTTGCAGTAGGGTCATTCCATGTCAAATCAACACACCCATAAAACCTAAATCTCTCAGATTTTGATAAAATTTGGCCAGTAGATTTAATGTGCAAAGATATCCACTTCTGCCAATTTTTATGTTCCTGCCCCTTTTACATGCAAAATTATGGGCTTCTAAAGTTTTGGGGTAATGCGGTCGATACGCAGCCCCCCAGAATAGAAAAAAGTTGTAAATCCTTTAATTTGTTACCAACAGAGGCAAGCAAGGACTCATGTTAAAGGAAATTTGATTTCCTGGCAGAAAATGGAGTCTTCCACATCAGCAAATGCCTCAATGTTAATCGAAAGCGATAAATGAAGATTTCTCTTTCTACCTCCTCCCCTCCCCCCAAAAATATATCAATTTCCCAAAGCAAAAATTGGTTTTTTGTTGACCATTTGATATCCCAAGTCTGTGTGCAAAATATCTTTTTGGGGCCTCTTGTTGTTTTCAAGTAAGAGGCCTTTTAATAAACTTACCCTTAATGAAATGTATATTTTCAATTTCTTATATCAAGCCTTGTATATAATAATAGTGCATGTTTTTGTCATTCCTTGCATAAAGCTGTCTAATCTAAAGCAGAAGGAGGGTGGCTGCCAGTTTGCATTAGATGTTCTCTTTTTTTGTTTTTGAATCCATCAGGTGATCAGGTATACCTCTGCAAGAATTGTAACAGATGTAACATGTATACATATTATCAGGATTCAACTAGCTAAAAAATAATGATAATTCAAGCAACAGGTGTCAAGGGAATGTTAATCTACCAATCTTAAAAGTGCAAAAGTTTTCTGTTCATTAAAAATGATGAAACTGTTATCTGCATCATATACTTCCTTGATATATAATTTCAGACAAGTACTCTTCTAGTATGTAGTGCTGCAAAGTAGCCTTAAAGTATCATTCAGTTGATCAATAAGATAACTAGGGAGAGGGAATGCCGTTTCTTATAAACCATACAGAGTTTGGAAAAAACTTTCTTGGAGTTTTCTTTTCAAATTTATATCTGTCTCTATGAATTTAGTTTGTTCTGGTTACCTCGTTTCCAAATTCACTTTTTGACCTCTGACCTATGAAGCCTGAGCAATGCATACTCATTTAGAAATTACATCATACCACATCACCTGGTTGCACGTTTTTAATGTATAGATTGAGGATAGAAATAGCTTTCGTTGGTGTTTGTTTTTCAAATTTATATCTGTCATCATAAATTTATTTTGTCTGGTTACCTAGGTTATCTATCAGCTTTCTGACCTCTGACTTATGGAACCTAAGCAATGCTTACTCATTTAGAAATTACATCATGCCATGTCACTGTCCTTTCAATTGGTCACATGGTTGCAGGTGTTTGTGAGTGAGGTATAAAATGAGGGTAAAACTGGAGGTTTCTCAGATTGTTTTTCGGAGCTAACAGTGATTGATTTGCGTTGAGTAAAAATGAGTGTTTTAGAGAGTACTTGTTCGGTTGGTCACCTCCTAAATGAATCGTGTCAGACAGGTTCTGGAGAGGAATTCTATTATCCTGATGACCAGGAAAAAGAGCTGCTCTGTTGGCGATTGAGAGCTGACTTTGATGGAAATCTTTGTCAAAGACATAGAAAAATATTTTTAACATCATTCTCAATCAATCAGAAGTACTGTGCTAATCCGCTGGGGCAACACAAAGGAAAACTGCCAACAAAGGGCCTTCGGAAAGTTTCTCTTAGAAAATGTTTCCAATATAAGCATTTAAGCTTAATACCAGGGTCAAAATTGTGCACAAACTGTAGAAAGGGAATTCAAGCAGATGCTATGTTGGTAAGAGTGACACCATATGAAGAGCATGGTAGCCTGAGTGATCCTGAGGAACAAGATGACAATGATGAGTTCGAATCATTTGCTGCTGACATAGGTATCATTAATTCTTCTTTGTCAGGAATCGGGGAATCGCCTATTCAAAAGAAACAAATGATTGAGTCGAAGACATACTCAGAACAAAAAGTTGAAAAAATCACTGGAGCAATAAGAAAAAAATTGAAAATGGGAGTAAAGCAAATTCAGGAGAGCAAGGAAAATGAGATGGCCAAGTCGATGATAGAACTGGATGAAATCTTGAATCAGTTAAAGGAAAAGTTTCATTCCTCTGTTGGAAGAGCGGAAAAACCTCACGCCATTCCAACAACAACAACTTCGTTGTTCTGTTGAAGTAAGGAGGGCATTTCACTACGCTAAAGGAAGGAGCACGAGGGGCATTTCACTTCAAACAATCCCGTACACCCCTCTGAAAATCCCTACAGATCCTCTTGCGATCCTGAAACTTCTCAAATATTTTTTACGAGAAGCTCGGAAGGTGTAATAAAAATCAGCTAAGTATGTAGTGCCAGAACTTCGGCAATGCGACAAAGATGTTGAAGAAGTTGAAGAAGTTGAAAGAAAGGATGCTAACACTGCACTGCACTGCACGACACGGCACGGCACGACACGAGACGACACGACACGACATGACACGATCGATACGATACGATACGATACGATACGATACGATACGATACGATACGATACGATACGATACGATACGATACGATACGACAAGGTATCCTTCAAGGCAGCATACTTGGTCCTTTCCTCTTTCTTGTATATTTAAACGACATGACTCTGTCATAAAAACCTTGAAATTCCATCTTTTTCCAGATGACACAAGTATCTTTCTTCTTTCTTTCTTGCAAATGACACAATCACCTGACTAAGGTTTCTAGCTGGCTGTCTGCTAATAGGCTAATGCTTTATATAGATAAATAAAACATACTCAACATCTATCCCAAAAATACCAAGGATTCATAACCTGTAACCATTAGGATAAATAATAGACCCCTGACTGAAAAGAAGTTTATAAGGTACCTTAGAGTTCTCATAGATGATAAACTAAACTGGAAAAAACACATCCAGCATGTAAATAGGAAAATATCAAAAGATATCGTTATTCTTGCAAATAATCAACACTTTGCACCAATTGACATTCTAAAAAATGTATGCCTTGCCTTTATTGCTCCACATATCAACTGTTACCTGCATTTTTTAATATATGCTCTTGTTACCTGCATTTAAAATAAATCTAGATGAAATAATTCATAACCAGGAAAAGGTAATGTGCTTTGAAAAATCTAAAACTCGCTTTTCGTGCTCACTTTTCCAAAAGCTTGGCATCTTGAAATTTGAGGATACTTACAAACTTGAGTGTGCAAAATGTATGCAAGACAATTACAATAATAAGCTGCCAGATATTTTGACGAATTGGTTCAAAAAAGCTACCTCCAGACATAAGTATGCAACACGGCAAGCCAGTAAAAAACTTTTCTCTTTCCCCTTTGCCAGAACAAACATCAAGAAAAATGTTCTTACTTATATAGGTATCTAAAATTGGAATGAAATATCTATTGAGGTTTGCTCGAAACCTAATAAACCATTTTTTGCTAAAAAAAACTATTCTGAAATCTGATACAATTTATATCTGAATAATTGATATCTACAAATGATATCTTTAGATTTACATCCCTCATAATTGCCTTGTCAAATTCAATTGATCAATTATCCTTGTCTTTCTTTGTTTTCCTTTTCTTTTTTCTACCTATTGTTAGCTTCTAAAATGATAAATAATTGTTTATCTCACATTCAATTGAATAAAATTGCTCAAACGAGTTTTCTATCGTGACATTTTCCACTAGCGAATCCTTATATTGTATTAAGTAATTGAAGTACATAGGACATTGGGTTCTATAACCATACTGTTGGTTCTTCACAGTGTCTTAAGCAACTTATTGATTAAATTTACCCTACATTTTGTAAAAAATCTTAGAATTGTAATTTAACGTTAGTCGCTAGAACAAACGAATATATGAAGAAACATTTTTAATTTTTGTTCCATATTTAGTTTTGTGCTATTCTGAATAAAAATTTAGCAGTCGAAATGTTCTTAGGACTTTTCTGTGTGTGGATTGGTGCAAAATTAGTATTTCGAATATTCTTCTAGGATTAGTGGCTAAACTTTATTTCTTTGTCACATTTGAGCAAATGGAATATTTCTTTGGAGCGTTCTTTTGGTTCAAAGGTATTCAGAGATCTGTTTTAAATGCATCCTTATTTGAATTATATCTTGGTCAATCTTCGAAAAGCCTCTTATATACACTCCTTTCTAATAATTTCCTTTCGCCATTTAAATGGAAAACAGATCTACTTTCGTGTAAGGATTTTGTTTTGCAAGATTATTGTAACAGCCGCTCTCCATTACAATCTACTTGCCAAAGAGCATCTCATAAAAATGGTAAAGAGTATCAACAATTCAAAATTCAATCCTTTATGACTGCCGCACAGTTCGTGTTGAAACTCATAAATTTGTTTTTTGCTACAGACAACTAGAAGTGTATTCAAAATAATTGCGACCAATGCGTTTGGTAATATTCATTGAAAGGAGTAAATGATATTCAGCAAAAGCTTTTAAAACAGGCTTAGATATGTAGAGACTTTGTTCTCGTTGAGTTTTCATAACACGTTTGGCATAACACATTGATATCGGACTTGAAGATACTTTCTCACCCCAGGACAAGGGTCACCAAAAGCATCAGTTCTTGCAGTAATCTTGCAGCTATTTTTCATATGGCAGTTTGCTCGCACTACGCTGAGTGATGAATCAGATTTGCAATTCGTTTCCCTGTCCCATATGGTTGGACACACGTAAATAGATTGCCGTCCATACATCGCATCCGCAACATAGATGAGTTGTCCTACAGGACACTTGATTTCCTTCACATTAAGGTTGCAAGCAATAACTAAAAAAAATAAGAGAATTTTTTAACGACCTTTTACAAACTGAAATCATGTTGAAAGGTCTGAATCTTCATGCATTTCTGTTGATCGAATATTTCTTACATCAATTGAGAAAGCCCAGGCTTTCATCAATAAAAACATGCTAAAATAGGTTTCGTAAAGCAAACACCGCTCAGTTTTTGTATCACATTATTCCTTAATTATTTTCATACTTGTCTAATGCTAACTATTGCTAACAAAATAATAGTTTCTTAATGACAAAGTCGAGGGCTCAAATCTCTTATCAACTTACTCACATGTCCAATAAAATTAGTTTCTGCTTCGTTAATTTCAAATTGTATAGTAACCGCTTCATTATTGACTAGCATTACTTTCTTGATAATAATAACCAATAGATTCAATTTTTATTACCTTTTGTTGTACATCTGTACTTTATCTGCAAGTATTTAAATGTACCAGGACATGGATCACCATAGACTTCGGTAGTGACTTGCAATTTGCATACCATATTGTTCTGACACTTGCCACGTACAATTTCTGTAACATCTGAATGACAACTCATGTTCCTCAATGATCCATATCCACATATTTTGGTTGTCAAACGCCCATACATTGCGCTATCTATCCACATCTTTGTACCGTATGGACAACTAAATGTTTTGGTTCGTAAAGCACAGATGTTTTCTATGTCAAAAAAAATGTTTGCACGTCATTTAATTTCTATTAAACATTCAGTCAGAATATCGTATTTTGATAAATATTTAATTTCATATATATTATTTCATATATTTCATATATATTTAAACTCATTTTGCATAAAAACTAGATTGGTGTGGATAACGGCAGAAAGTGAGATAACAGTTACATCTGCATCAAGAGGGGGAGAAAACAACGGGTCTATCAGACTCCCTGTTCTTGAAATGTTTAAATTTGACGAATCCTGGCGAATTTTTCGAAATAAAAAGGGCTAGACTGACAATTAATTTTTCCCCGTTTGCTGGTACAAAATATTTCAGGAAAGTGGTTTCTTCGCAGCATCCCCTCTTCTAGAACTCGGTTGGTCACAATTCGATGAAATCCCGAGAGGGAGGGTGGGGGGGGGGGTAATCATATATTTTTAGGATAGGGGAGCTCTTGCTGGGGTACGAGCCATTGATAGTAATCATTTATAGCATAGAAATTGACCAAAAAAAATAATTATTCTTGTCTTGCACAACCAAAAAAATAACAAAGAAACTCTGCTCCATAGATGATCTTGAGATCATTTGCACAGCAAATAAGCAAGAATACTTTATATATCAAAGATATAAAATTTACATGATCTTGTAGTTTCACTTTTGCATTTAAGCTAAAAACCTTTCAAATGTTCCAGTCAGTCTGCTATCTAGGGCTGCTAATAAGGGCCAGTTTATGTTGTTATGTGTTGAGCTTTTGGCGGGATTTTTTTCGAATGAGAATGCAGTGAAGACTGTTAACCACTGTTTTTGATTCAAGACAAAGACCAGAAGAAACCAGAATTTTCAAAGAGAAAGAAACCATTCCTGACTGATTGAACTGTGTTTGGACAACAGGAAATCAGATGTTTAATTCATTGATAAATTGAATTATCCAATGTTAAATGCAGTATGAGTAATGGACAGAAAAAAAGAAGAATATACATGTTTGCCCCTCCCTGAAAATTCGGCCCTGCCTTAGATTACACTTACTACTATTCTCCATAAGTTCGAAACCAAGACGAGCATACATGTTAAACATAAAAAAGTACGAAATCAGTACGAAATTAAAACCATGTGATTCGATCACGGTTATTGTAAATTTTATATGTATCGTTATGATTCGATCACGTCTTGAAAGTTTTATATGGAGCTTAAAGAAGAATTTGTCGAATATACATTCCATTTTGCTTGTTGGTTTAATTTCCCTATCAACTAAAAGAATTGAGCAGATAACTTGAAAAGGGTATGAATTTCAAAGTATTCCTACAGCTACAAATATGGACACATAGAAATCAAATACACGGAAGTCTTTTTTGACTCAGCCAGTTGTTAGCTTTTTGGGAGTTCCTTATATCATTCTGAATACTCTTATGGCTATGAAGTTTTCATCTCCAATGAATGAAAAATGAATCATGTTTAGTGTGTAGACCACATTTTTCTATTTCGTAAAATTTTCCCACATACAAGGTCCGAAAAAAAATTCAGCATTTAATGAACCCAAGAAAGTAACTGTATAATTGGCTGATCCAAAAAATAACATTTGCTCAAATTCTAGACCCAAAAAAGTAGCCTGAGCACCCCTGTCCTAAACATATATGTGTAGCCCCCCATCCCCCCCCCTCCTGGGGATGAAATCTTCCAAAACACGATATATAAAACCATCGTGAGACCTCCTGTAGTGTACCGATGTGAAAGTTTACAAAACTTACCTGTTTGCACAACTGGTTTTGGAGTTGCTGGTGTTGTAATTGCAGGTGCCGGAGGCAGCGTGTTTGGTGGCCTGGTGAATCCTTTATTACAAAAGAAGTTCATTTCATTACTGATTGTGCCTAAGAAGATATTTTTCAATACGTCGGCTTCTAGTTTGCTAAAGATGTAGAAGATTTTTCTTGAAATGGTAGAAACATTTTCATCGCGTCCAAAAAACGTAGAGGCATTGAAACTTGAATTGACATGCAAAGGGTGTAGAAAGAATGTTCCCCCATTCGACAGAACTCAGAAAATCCATATTATATCAACGTAAATGAATTTTGAATAAATATATATTTAGACGAAGAAGCTAAACCAGAAAGGTATTACCAGAATCCTAAAACAGGCTTGATTAAAAATTCAGTATTGACATTTTTAAAAAAGGCTTGGAAATGCTGTTTTTTTATTTTATCCGGATTTACTAGAATATATCAAAGAGCAATCTGATGCAGTCTCTAAAGACTCAATTTTGCTGTGACATTATTAGTAGTTCGATACTTAATACACTCACCGGGGCAACGATAAAGTAAATTCAACTGAAGAATATCGGATTCACTAAGGTGACTTCGCTGTCCAATTGAATACTTCTTTTTGCGATCCAAAGCTTCTATTGTTGCCATTATGTTACCTGTAGGGGTTCTTTTACCGAGGTACCAACGATACATATGTGTAATGCTGTCATAGTCGTATGGAACATTCATTGAATTCACACTGAACGGATCTTTTCTGTAAAAGTCCTTGTGGTTCTCTAAAACCAATCGTCAAAGTATGTTACTGTCCAGAAATATGACTGGACATAATAAGGATATCAAAAATTTCGTTTGCGTTTGCTCTCATAGCTCTTTTTCAAGATTCCTTGCTAGGTCTCTTTTTGTTTCACTGTTATTAGTTACAAAAGTATGATAATTAACTTGCCTAGATAAATGATCAGATGAAGAGTGAATTTTTAAGAATTCCAGAGGCTATCAAGAAAACATTTTAAATAGAAATGAAAGTGTCGCCTGGCCCGAGCTTATGAGTAGCATATAAATATGAAATACGTTTAAAAACCCGCACGTTAAGGTGGTTTTCATAGATATTGGTTCCATGTAGCATCTTTTTTATTATAAAACTTTTATTTTAAAGCTCACCATCTCGTATGTTATCCCAAAGTATCTTTACAAAAGAGTCTCTATCTGGCCTGTTGTTCTCATGTGCGAAGCCAAGGGTATGCATCAGATGATGTAGAACAGTGCCTCTGTACCAGCAATATTTGTGCAAAGAAATCACTCTTCGGTATGTAGATACATACCCAAGTGGGGACCAACACCTGAAACAATGAGAAAAGTTTTTAATTTTTAACGTTGAAAGCAATCTCCTGTTGCAGCATTCAAGTGCATCACAGCATTGCCAATATAAAGTTTTATCAATATAGAGTTCCAACAATATAGACGTGATTTGACAAGGTCCTATTAACGATTTGAACGACACAGATTCTATCACGTTTTGACTAAATTCTTCCACCAAGCTATTAATTACTAGCAAAATCCATAAGCGGAAATAGTAGGAGTTAAGAAGAGGGTGAAACCTCGATATGACTCAGAAAGTCTAGTACAAAATGGAATATGTTTACGTAGGACGTTTGAGAGAATAGACCATTAAAGCAACTCTGAAAATTTACTGCACTTATCCAGTCCCCAAATCTCCTCAAGTGCCAGTAGCAATACTGTATCAATAATGATTCTGTACTGAATACTTTCAATACTGAACAGAAAAGTTGTTCACCGTAATTATATAACGACCTCGTCATTAACTGAATGGCTATATGCAAACCAAACTCTACATCTTATACTTCTACAAAAAAAAGTATACCAAAATAATTCTGAACAAACGTGAAGGATGAACTTGTCATGTCGTTTGTATCTATTTCATAATCAATTACTCTTTCTGCTCGGTTATCAAACACAGTTTTTAGAGTATTGCGATAGCAAGCAATTTAATTGGCTGCAAAAATATCACCTTTTTGCATCCATATTTGCAAACAAGATGTAACCAGCCTCGTCATCTCTTTTTTTGAACTTTAAGCATGTGTATTTTTCCATTTCGACGATTGCATCTTGAATCGCTTCGACGGCTTTCGGCTCCGAAGCTGCAAGAAAGCCATAAATACATTAAAATACACTGACCCACGTACATAGACAATAGGACAAAACCACATAACAGCATTTTCTACAAACTCAATTGCACAACGATGCTTGCTTAGAATGGATAAACAGATTATTTTTTACCGATTTCTGGTGCAAGGTCGTATGGTATCGTCAAGGGCCAAATTGAAGTTTTGATTACATTAAAAGCATTTCCTCCATCTTTGCCTTGGAGAATGTCCTGTTGTTCCTTTGTCAGTTTGATGTCTCCTTGATACAAATCGTCAGCTAAAATCACAATAGAAAAGCAAAGTACATACCTTATGTTAAAAAAGTTTGTAGCAGAAATATTTATGCATTAGCATTGCGACAAAAAATACAAAAAAAGACCAGCAGGTGCTAACTAAAAATTTCCACCACTTTCCAGAACGATGAGACATATTCAAATTAGATAAGAAGTAAATTCAAGTTGAGTTGCACAAAAGTCACATATTTTATTGCTGAACTTCATAGAATTATACGCTAATAAGAATAGCAGACAAATGAACAAAAACTGAAAGACAACTTCTACCAAAGTGACATTTATCATATTTCGAGACCAGATCTTTATGTCCTGTTTTACATCAGGTGTTGAAATAGCACAAAGCAGAAAAAACCATGGAGAGTTTAAATGAAAGGAAATAAATAAAGTGCTTTGCTAGAAATTCTATGCTAGAAAATTATATTCCTTGACGTTTTAAGTTTTCAAAATTTTTTTGACTCTGGGATGAAAATGCTATGTATTCCCAGTATTTTATGTCACAAGCATATGCATAAAAACAATTTTGAAAAATATTAAGTGTTGCTACAAAGGTTTTTAATAAATGAAAACTTGAATTGGCTTTGTCACCATAAATCGTGGGTTCATAGCTAATTTAAAGTAGCAGGTTGTCTTGTTGAAAATGGGGACCACCAGTAAACGCAACAAAATTTTCGTTTGACTCAAAACGCAATTAAATATCTATTGTTTAATTGCGGAAATAGCAAGCCAACCTGATATACACTCTGTATTCTATTTGACAACGATATAGAAGCATTTATCTGTTATTATCTGTTGCATTTATGGATTACGTTACCGCTTTAGACTTCCAATTAGTTTGCAGACAAGATTATATTTGTATACCATTAACGTTACACAATCACACTTTGGTTTTTCAAACGCCTTTATGAATATTAAACATGTATGAGAAGACCAAAGATAATAGTAATACTTCCAATCAACATAAGCAATTTATCTTTATTATGTTATTTAGTCAAGATATCAAAAGTAAGACGACAATAAGGCATACCATCTGCTATGATATTGACGTCACATTAAAATCAATGTACAAACCTGCGCAAAGGCAAGCCAACAGTAGCACTACTATGAAATGCTTGTACATTATACCTGCATGGACCGTCAGGCTATCAGACAACTTTCTTGGAGAAATCCACAGGGCCCGCTTTGCTTCAAATACCCTTGCAGCCGGCTATTTAAACAACGCTGCTTCCTTGAAATTTCGCGTAGAACTCATTGCAGCTATGCAAACTGGCTGACCAAAAAGCCAATGCTTTGCATGGGAGACCAACGCGTTAACATATGAATTTAGATATAACGTTAAAAGCTGAATCCACAATCAATACCAAAGCAATAGCTTTGAGATTACTTTGCTGAAAATTTGAGCAATTTCATCTAATTATGCATTAATAAATAGCTCTAACACTAGTGAATTTTGCGCAAATTGAGAAAAATGTTTAGAAATTGACAGAACTTCAAACTTTCATGTTTATTTCTCTGCACGTGTATGAACAGCTGTAGAAGATAACGTATAATTAAGGATTAATTAAGTTAATTGCTCAGTATCATCAAATCTATACAGTTTATTGGTATGGTAGCATAACATATATGTTTCTTGAGCTCCTCAACACACTCTCTATCACAAACACTTTCGTTGTAAATTCTGGTTATGCTATAAATAATTGCAGTGCAATTTGGGCAATCTATTTGCATAAATAATTGTAGTGCAATTTGTTAGGCCAAACTCAAGTGAGAAGTTATAACCAAAACTCAACTAACAGGAATCTTTGGAGAAATAAAGAAATTCTTTGACAATTATTTCCGAAATACGAGCGGGGAGAGACCAAATATATTAATCAATGTAACAACCAAGAAAGGTTAATTATCTGTTGATAATGAATGTGATACTATTCACTCTGTCTGGCCAAATTCTACCATGAATAGGCCATTAAACTAATTTGTCAGCGTATGTCCGTTTTCCTAGAGTTGCTTCTAAAAGCGAGAATGCTGAGGCCTGGACCAGCATGAATAGTGAGAAAAATGTCACAAAGGTTACTGTCCTTGTAACGCATATATTTGGGAACAAAAGATCTAATCATGTTATGAAAAGTAGTTGCTAATTGCATTTTCATTCGCAATACCAGATACTCCTAACAAGCCTTCAAAATTTTATTTATCAACAGAAGAAGGCCTACTTGGAGAAAGAAGAAATGCATCTCAGGTTAATTAGACATATAAATGCATCTCATTATGAATACATTTGCAGTGTGAAGGTTGAGCAACGTAAAGGTCTTTGCATTGAAATTTAAACCATACAGAAACCAGCTATGAAAGGTTTTGTTTGGGACAAGGAGTTTTTTATGGCTTTTACCTGTTCAGTTATTAGGTGCCGCAAAATTCAGATTTCAGATGGTTTAATGTACATAAAGGAAATACTCTGAACATTGAAAACCGTCGATTCTTACGGTTCAGAGCATTTTGCAAATCAAAGTTTTATAATTTGCAGCAGTTAAAGTACTTTTTATGTTTTTCATTGCAACAGCAAATTATTCTAAAAGGTATCATTCGCTTTATAAAAAGTGGTGTTTGACTCGTAAGGAATTTCATTGATGTTTTCTAGGTCTTATTATTGGTCACATTGCCAAGCAGCTATACCTGCAAAATCGTGTTATACTTTTACAAACACATTTCCTTATAGAATAGTTTCAATTTTTAGGTTACAGCAGACAAAAATTTTAAAACCAATTAAAATAAAAGACAATATTTAACAAAAAGTTTGCAAACGAAGGATCCTTGATGCTGGAATGGGCTAAATTTCACAACAAGTTAGTGTTGGAAAAATCTTATCATAAAGATTCTGCAGTAAATTTATGAAATCGGAAAATTAGGTTTACAGGAAGAATGTTCATTTTATCAGGAATACGAATTTTAAAAGAAATTCAAGCTAGGGACCCTCGAACATTTTCAAGCATCGCCTGAGATTGTTTTTGTCGCACAGGTTTTTTTCCAAATAAGTTTTGGTACTAAACCTTATAATTAACCATGTTGATTTGTTTGCTAAGTTTCTTGCTCGATAAAGAAAAATTCATGAAGCCTTGAAAATCTTTATTCTGTTAGTAAATGTCTTGTTCTAAATAATTGTTTAAATTATTTTAAGTTATTCAAAATAGTTCAAAAGAAAAGGTGACTGAAATGTAATCAAGCATCATGACGTGTTTGTCAAGACACTGTCCTTACTTATACCGACATTTGCATTTAATGCCCTTTTGCAGGATATATTATTCAGGATATATAGTTCATAATTTGCTCATATTAATCCTTCAGAGATACTCCCATCAGCAACAATACACATTCACAAGAAAATAAAATCTTTTTAATCCAAGCCCTGTCTAAACATGTTCCATGAAACATAATTTACACCTTCAAGAGTTTACAATGGCTGCTATAAGTCTTTGAGGAACAACAGCTATTTCTGCCATTCGCTTTAGCTGTTCCCTCTCTCCTTTCAAACTATGCTGGATAATTATTATAGAAGTTCACAGTTTGGATGTAACCTGTTATTTGGAAACTAGAATGGTTGTGGTGCGATTCTAATTCTTTGGGAGGAAGGGGCAAATTAGCTTTTTCTAGGCGTGAAGTTAAAATAGATTGAGAATTGCCTAACGCTGCTAGTGTGTTTCAAGTACATTAGGCAGCATCGTAGATCAGATAAAGAGTTGCATCATCAACACAAGACAGCTAGCAAAGTAATCTAAAAATCAACTGGTAAATATGCAAATGTTCAGCGAAGTCTTTGAGATATCGCTAGACAGATTTTTGCGGAAAAAATCGATGTGTGCCTGCTTGCCTGCTAAGGACAATGCCAATAAGTAGCAGCTGAAAAACTAAACGGCATTGCAGCGATTGTATTACACTACAATGAAATACCAGTTCTAAAGTAAATACAGCACTGCTACTTGACTTCGCAACAGCATAAGTTCAGTGCAATGGAGTTACATTCATTGGAAAGTGTATCGCCACCCGAGGCACAATTTCTGGGACTCCATCCCTCTGTGTCCCAAAATAAGTTAATGATGGAATTGAAGATGCAGAGCACTTTTTGCTGCATTGCCATGTAAATTATGATCAAAGGTGTGATCTCCTCGGCACGATTAACAAAATATTCCATCTAAATAGCATCTCAAACTTCTCAAAATATGCCCTGGTGTAAATTTTGCTGCATGGAATGAATACTTTCATTTATACATCAGAGTGTTTCTTGTGGCATCAGCAAATACCAGACTAGTTTAATTTATTTAGCATTCAATCTTTCTCTGTTAATTTTTAGCATGAATTGTATAGTAATATAGTTCTAGTACTAAAAAGATTACCATAATCTTCTGCACATATCATCTTCTATCCAAGCAGTAGTCCAGGAGCGGATCCAGACTATAGCAACTGTAGCTCGAGCTATAGTCAAATTCTCAGTATTTGATTTTCGAAATACAAAGTTTCCTTGCAGTCCCTAAAAATGTATTTATGCCCACAAGTGTTTACTATCAACATTTGAAAGCAGCGGTGTAGGTTATTGAATGCGATTAACAAACATGCAATGCTGGCAATTTGTCATCACAATGCCTCTCCAGATAAGATATAAAACACTGAGCGCAGAATGGTCTAATGTTAAAACTTAGACGGATCAGAAGTTTCGTTCTTTGTTGACAGTAGCCAACCAGAATTGAGCTACAGTGGATATTCCGAGCTATAGTCGGTCTGGGGATTTGCTCTGGAAAAGGCATCGAAGACAATGAAACCCGAACTATAATTTTTGGCGCGAGCTATAGTGAAGCTATAGTCAGGTTTGAAAATGGCCTTTTAACCAATAGAATATGAGTATCCACGTTACTTCGCCGCTCTCTGTCCCCTGTAAAGCAACAGTGGACTATACCTCGTTTTCACATCCTGGGTCCCCTGTAATGTAGCTTCAAAGGCAAGGACCTACTAGGGAATAGACAGGGACGGCGGAACGACCAAGCGGCGAGAGGGGAACAGGCTTGAGTAAAAGGGCTTTTGAAAGATAATTCTCAGCTTCTACAAATTCATACGTAACTGCAATTTTATTTCGATCTTCTGTAGGTATCTTCAGCATTGGCTAACTTTCGGCATATAGAACTATTTTACATGTTTTGAGAAGTTCAGAATTTTATATGAATCTCTCTGATTATTACAATTGGCCAGTTTCAAGGGAACTTTATTAAAAACAACCCTTGCCTCTTCTGCCAAAGGGCAACAGGGGCGGTTGTACCCCCACACCCCCTTCTCTGGCGTCCCTGGAAATAGAAAAAGGATGTTCGAAGGAATATTTATTAATACGAAGCAACTATAAACACACATGGTTATATCATTTGCCCATATAATGGGCGTGTCCCACAAGCAAGGAGGGCGTTGTCCCGATCCCAAAAGATTTGAGCTATAGTCACCAAAAATCCTGGATCCGCCCCTGGTAGTCTCTATTTTGTTCAATGTAACTGATTGTCCCCTAAAGAATGACCTACACAAAACTTTGATAGAAGCTCCCGATAGCATCCTCATTTTAACTTTGTTTTGGTCTAATTTTACTTCTTTAGTTTCTGCATAATTGTACATCTTTAAATTGTTCCACAAAGCTTCTAATGCCATTAACCAAGTAAGCATTTTTGTTGTAAACAGGTAAACCTAACTGCAATATTTCAATCTCAAAATTTCAAATATGATAGAATAATCAAATTATCATTGGTCTCGTACTTTTGCTGCTTAAAGCGTTTTTTGTCCCACCCCTTCGCCAGCTATAGTAGGAATTTTCAAGAATAGAAATTAACAAGACTTTTAATTTTTCCAGTGGCGGTGCAAATTCTTAGTTGCAAAGAATTGCTATGTATCTTTTGATTTGTCGTCTTCAAACTTGAGAAAATATGCTTGATTTTATTGTTTACCGAAAATCAGTTCTGCATCAAAATCTGCCTGGGGTGAATATGAACCCCTCCCCTCTAAAATTCCCCAGGGATTCGGTGCTTATGCTTGCAAGTTGGAGCATATTGAAGGTGCTTGTGATGTCAATACGTCTGCTAAGCAACGATTGGATTTCATAATGGTAAACTCAATAAATGGGAATTGACAGAAGCCGGCTGTTGATTGGCGTCGGTATTCAGAACCGAATGCTGGTGGAATTGTATTCAACATTTGAAAATACTTTTGGAAATCAAAGCAGGCTTCTGTGGCATCGGTGAAACACACCGTATTCGCCTTGATACTAAGGGAACTCGGGTGCCGAATGCAGAAGTTCCAGCGAGTACGCTTTTCATTTACTGTCGGATTTTCTAGCCAATTTATTTTATGTTGATTAGCTTGCAGTTCCATTCATAGAGGTTTTCTATCAATAATTAATAAACCTACAATGACATCAATTAATTGTAATTACAGATTAGTCTGATTGGTTTCACACAAAGTGCTGCCTGCAATCATTGTACAAAGTTACGTTGTTGAAAGGTACGTGTCAAATTCTTACTTATTTTGAAGATAAAGTTATTTCTCAAACCTGTTAAATCTGGCAGCCATGACTTTGATCGTTTTTAACTTTTCTGGGAGAGAATAAAGAGCCGAGCCCAGACCCTTTGTGCATCACTTCGTTGGTTTTCATATGCTACTCAAAGAAAGCTGCAAATTTTATTAATCATATCTCACTCAAGTATTTTCATGATACCACTGGCTATTGTCTTTTGTTGTTAAACAAGTCAAGATTCCCAATTTTCCTTGGTAAACAAATCAAGATTCTCAATTTTGCTGGTAACACTTTTTGATACCGAACACTTTTTGACGTCATTTTCTTCTGCCAATAGAATTCTATAAATTGTTTCTTTTAGTTTGTCTCTTATTTTAAAATCATTCATCATACATTTACATTTAACAACCCTTTTGGGTCACACAATTGTATGAATCAAATGAAGCGATATTTTTCTCATATACAATCTCCAAAAAGAAAAGAGTTGTTTTCGTTATTAGCTTTCTTTAAACCATGTAATACTCAGCCACTTTAGCTTAGTAGGGACCATCAGACAATGTAAGAAAACAAGGTTTTCTCGTTCTTTTAGAAGAATACCAAAGAAATGGCAACAAAAATCACAATTCAAACGAGGTACTTTTTTACATTTACGAATTCATTCAACAATGAAGTTTTTCCATTTTAATGTTTCTGATCGCAAGAATAATGACGATAGTTAATAAAGAAGAAGTTACAACGGACAATACGAGCCAATTTTTACCATTATTGATGGTAGATATTTCGCAAACTAATTCTGACAACCATCAGCCATCATCTTTTGACAGACTTTGGCAATCATTTTTCATTTCCTTGAAAACCTCGAAAGATAAACTTCATATCCTATAAAGTGCAAAGAAAACATCTAATGAAATTACTCAAAAAGCAACTGCAAAATTCGCAGGTTAATTATCATTAATTGTCAAGTTATAATAAATATGCGACTTAGTCATTTTAGGTTCTCCTTCGATTCCCTTCTTCTATCCAGACTTGTGTTAAGGCATTCCGTATTTGTTTTAAAAATGATTGGCACTTGCTCTGATATATGTCTGCTTTTAGCTGCAGATGTACCAAATTTCTCGTTTAGCTCCCAAAATTGTCTCATAAATGCGTCAGCACGATATCAACTTTACGAGACATTTCGTTGCGAACGACAGTTGAAGGATTTGTTTACACTCATCGTTTGTCCCAATCTTAAGAGGCAGGTGTTTGTTAAAACTGCAGAACAGTTTTTTGTTGGAGGTTTAAATATTTGCTATCTCAATTATTAAGTCTGACTATTCAGTCCTAACTTACAGGAATAGAGTCCCTGGAATCTGGAGTCACTGATCTTGGTTTTGTTTACAAAAACTGTTTCCAATTACAAATTGCTCGAGGATGTCCTTTAATCCTGACATTACAAAGCAATATTTTATGGTTAAACTGTCCAAAAAAAATCCTTGAACACGCTATAATATGTTTGAAGAATACAATGGTTTCAAATCTGCTTTATAAGGGTTTAAACGTAAGGCTTTCAACATAAACAGAAAGCCCTCTCCATGTCCAGTCGTAGCGTCTTCGTATGTGCCTGTGTCATATGCTTTTCTGCACTGGCATGCGTTTCTCGATGGGCTGCAGCGCATATGCGTTTCGAGTTCGCCAGTGTGATGGCGGTCCTCGAATTGACCCCAAGAATTGCTTGCAGATGGGTGACATTCTTATACCATTATAAATTATTTCTGTCGCATGCGCATTTTTCACTCTACACATCAAAACGGGCTGTAATAAACATGCTTTATTTGGTTCAAGTTTGTACCTATATGATTATTCCTAATTCATGACCCACGTTCATCTTGGAATTAAGTTCCGTTTTAAAAATCCGGGTTATTATGTTTCTTTTGTTAATTCAAAATATTTTAATGATTTATGGGGCCTTTAAATTGTCATTGACTTATGACAGAAAAATTGTATCATTTCAACTTTGTAATCGAAGAAGTCATGAACACGTTGTATGTAAAAATTATTGCTTATCATTGCGAATAATTAATGCAATTCGAAACATGTCAGGTAATATTCCCTTGCTCTCGAGAAAACAAACACCAGCAAAGAAGACATTAATTAATTATCATTGTCAGAAGCTTTTGTTGTCATTCGAGAAGAACTCTACGTGACGCACAATAAACAATTCTATTTCTGCGATCGTTATAACGTTAGAACTAGAAGCTTCTACACGATCCTTAATTAGCTAACAATAGAGGAGCAAGCAATCTACTCCCAGCATGCGTCCTTAACTGCACTACTAATTAAAAATTTATTAACGTACCTGAATAATCAGCAATACGCGAAACTGTCGAGTGCGTGTTTCAAACAGATATTTTTTGCTATTTATCTGCACCCACAAATACAGACGTTATATTGTTTAAAAATCTTTTGCAGAAATTTGGTGAAGATCTTGGCTATTATGATCTTGATTTTGATCTTGATCATAAGGGGTAAATCCAATTTCTTTCTACGGCATACCTTTATTTAAAATGTTAGCCACTGTACCACTTTGATATTTGGTACATAACATTCTCATTCTGTAGTATAGAGAACATTCATATGGAGTATCAGCAAGCTTGTAGAGTGTCATAGATTTCAAGATACACCATAAGCTAGTCACAAAATGTCGTTGTACATTTTTGCAGCTTTTGACTAACATATCTAAAGAATGAAAAAGAAATGTCGAAATAATCGTTGCAAAATGTTTGGGTATCACACGAGAAACACGCTGCTTAATACCTTTTTTGATCCATTAAGGGAAAGATTCGTATACCCAGGCCTTATGAGGCTTTAAGTAAAAACCTTTTTATAAGCTTTTCTTAGAAGATTGAATTTTAAACCTATGAAAATGGTCTAAAACGATTGTGTCACAATTTTTTGAGCTTTCAATCATTAAATTATCTTTTTCCTGCTAGTAAGATGTGAAAATGGAAGGTAATATTTGCCTTTTCAATGGAAAACGTCTTCTTGTAGTTAGGGCCTAATATTACTTTTGTTTAATAAATTGCAGCTCAAACATTCGATGTTCTCTTATGCAATGCAGATTCGAACACATGAAGACACTTCGTTTATTCTAAACATATTCTACTCATGACCTGTGCCAACATAATTCGTGTTCTAACTAATAAAAAGCAACTAACGTGATACAAAAAGCACTTTTGCAGCAAGCGAATATGAAGCCTTTAATGATTTAAGACATAGCGCTGGATTACAGTTGTCAATCTTTGCAAATCGTCAGACTAGTTTGTAGTGTCATTACACTATCTTTTTTGGTTTATTAAAGGCGGTTCAGCGACAAGTCACAGCATAGATCCAAAAGTCATTGAAATGTCACTCTTTATTGACAAGTTGAAATTATACGGTCGCGATCCCCGTATACGACCGTCTCAATCTGGTATGTATATATTGCTATGCTTTATGCAATATTATATTTTATACAATATTGCCATGCTTTTCAGATGTCGATTTATCTACTTTAAAAAAGACATCATTGTTCAAGATACTCATGACAAAACGATCAATGTTTGAGATCATAGAAATTACATATAAAGAGTTTTAAAATGTTCTACATAACTAAAATTTGCAAAGAATCTTGCATTGTTGGACGGGTGGTCAAATGTCGACCAAAAAATTAAAAGCTCATAAATTGAAATGAAGCTTTAACTGGTATTAAGTTTTCTTTCCATGCTCTTGCGGACATTTAGTGTCGTTATCAGCCGTGGAACATATTTTTCCCCTCTCTGGAAGTCCCATAACATTAAGTTTTTCAAACAAGACAAAGCCTCACCAGCCTTATCTTAATATGTATTTTGCAACAACTTCTTTAGAAAATAGCTAATGAATTTTTGCTTTGCAGCTACAAACATCACACTCCAGATTGCACTTATTGCAGTGGGACCAATAAGCATGCTAACTACGGTCAGTGATGCTTGTGTTCTGAAATTATCATGTTTAATTTTCAACATAGATTAGTACAGAATGAGGGCAAGACCTAACTTAAACAACCCGGGGCTATTTCAAATTTTTTAAGCAACTTCTCAGAAGACTGTAAGGTATATTTGTTAGAAATTCATTTGTCAATTTTTTACCTTCAGTAAAGCACTGCTTTTTTGGCAGCGACAGGTAATTGCCATCTACATTAGGCCTGTCCTATATTAATTTCTTAATCTGCTGCAATCTGTTATTGATCCGTTTATAGTTTAGTTAATATTATTATCTTCTTTTCAGTGACGTAGGTGCAGCACTGATTTGATGGGGTGAAAATCCCCTTGTAAACCTAAATTTCTATTTGGTCTGAATTCCTTTGATCTTTGATGAAAATTTAACTAGGTTGCTTTTTAGAATCTGGGTGTTACATTTTGAGAGGAAACATTTTAAAGCTTAATAAATAGATTTAATATTTTTGTGTTCAAAATCAGATTGGCAATCTCCTGAAGTTATGTATGGTACTTGAAAATGAATTTCTAGAGGAGATTTTCTTGGCAAGCCTGCAAGAGGAGAAGACCAGACGAGTCTTCAAGTAGCATGACACCAGGAAATCTCAATTTCGCGCCGTTCCTATGACTTAACCAATCTAGTCATTGCTTCAACTGTATCAAATTTTCTGCTATTTTATTAAATTTCAGTCGGTGAGATGTGATGTGATACTAAGGCAATGGTGGACGGATCCAAGGACTGCTTTTGACAACAAGACAGAGTTGAACTTCAATGGAAATCCTTCCCACTTGATTTGGACACCGGATTCCTATGTTACAAATGCAATCAAAATTAGTTCCCCTAAGGGAATCACAGAGAACACAAGAACAAAAATTGGACCAAATGGCGCTGTTTACTTAAGCACCAGGTATCGAACACACAATTTTTGAAATTATTCCAGAAGTTACTTGTTCATTAACTTACTTAAATTTGCTGGTCTAAGGATCGGTTCTTGTTAGGGAATATTATGATCTTTAGGGTGGCTTCCTGAAAAACGAATTTTGGATATGGGAAATTATTTTGTTCAGAAACGGATATAAACAAAATTTTCAAAAATATATGATTTTATATACGTGAATATGGAACAAGATTCAATGTTGTAGAAATCAATCCCCTTTTTATATTATAATTCATTATTCGAGTTCAATTTTCATGTACCCCTGAGCTCAAAAATTCTGACAATATGACATGTTCTGGTTGCCACAAGATTGTCAAGCGTCTATTTTTCCAGAAAGGATAATTTCTTTCTCATTAAAATAAGTAATTTGATTAAAAAAAGACATTTCCTGGCAAAAGGTTGACAAACCTGGGCGAATACAAACCGTATTCTTACCTAACATATATTGGATTTATCGATGTTTAATGCATTTTTTTTGTTTTTGTGCAATCAAATTTTTTCGTCATCATTTATTCATTAAAAAGAGAAATCTTTTTTAGGTTGACAGTGGAAGTTGCTTGTAATATGAACTTTCACATGTACCCTATGGACAAACAGGAGTGTTCATTGAACCTTGAGAGCTGTATGTCAATAACCGTTTTTACAAAAAGCTAGAGAAATGTTTTCAAGTGCGAGATACGATAGATACTTGAATGGGAAATCTTGATAAAGCTAGCCCAACTGATTTGGGATTTTTATTGTCGCTTTTATACATTTACCTGATATTTCCTTGCATATTTTTAACAATTGTTGCAAAGAATGCGCTCTATTTCAACAATTATTATAAATTCAACTACACTCTTTTTTATAAGAACCAGTAAATTTAAGTTCAGGCTGACTGTTCTTAACTTTTTCGAAAATCTGAGACTGGATTGTTCTTAATTTGTTCCTAAATTAAGAGGATGTAAGCAGTGCTATTGCTAGCTTTTTCGCTCTAAGAAAGTGTACAGGCCTCATTTGCGAAAAAAGTAAGTAAGGTAGCCTTAATTTGCTGACAAATTTGAATATTCACCGAAAAAGCACCCACACATCGCTAAAAATCCTCGATTTTGAGAAAAAACGCTGTTCCAAATTGCATTTTGCAGAAGCTGAGCCTCAGCTTGTTCTTAATTTGTTCTTAAATTTGACCAGTTTTGAGGCTCGTGTTCTTATAAAATTGTTCTTATAAAAAAAGAGTGTAACTAGATTTGCTTAACAGTTTCTTTGTCTTATCGTGACTTACCTAATTGAAAACAATGACTGTATTATTCAAAAACTCTAATTCATTTCTATATACAAAAATTCATCTCAGTTGCTTTATAGGCCGTATTTTCCAGCAATCCTTTGAAGTAAGAATTTGTTTGTATTTCAGATGCCTACACTGCCCAAGAAATGCGACTAAGGTGGCGTAAAAAGAGCCCAATAGAAATTGAAGGTGAAAGTCTAAGTGTATCCGAGTACAAAATTGTATCAATCAAAGCAGTCACTGCAAGCAAACAGTATCTTGGAACTCGTAAGTCTTGGCTTGTCATCTTAAGCAATAAAGCTTTATTAGGTGCTTTAGATATTTTTTGGCACCAGCAAGTTCTTTAAGCTCTTAGCTCTTTAATATCAGTTCAAAATCAATAGCAATAAAGTAATAAGTAAATAAATTAAGTACCAAAATGACATAGACTGTAAAAAACACGACGTTTCGAGCATTTGGTCATTATCGAGGCGAGCAACGAGAAGACAAAGCTTGACAAAGGGAAAAGAATGCGAAAAGGGACATATATCTCGAATAATTCTCTCCCTTACAAGGCTCATTCTGTTTTTTCCTCTTTTTCTGTGAGATCTTCACACACTTTGCTTTCTTGCTGCAAAGCCCTTAGCTGCCTTCTTGCATTTGCTTACGAGCGTCTAAATAACCTAGATAGCAAATACGTTTTGGAAAATGCTAGAAACTTTCAAAAATTGTGTTTCAGAAAAAGATGGCTTTAGATGAAACGATTTGTTAATGAACATTCTAAACTTGTAATGAACTAGTGGATATGCTGAATTACTAATTCCATTGTTTAATTTCATTTAGAAAATTTTGATATGGCCAAGCTGACTATAAAGTTTTCAAGACTGCTGCCCAACTATATTTATCATATTTACCTCCCCGGCATTTTCCTTGTACTGCTATCATTTTGTACCTTCTGGATTCCGGAAAAAGCTGTTCCTGCGAGGGTCACTCTTATTGTGACTAACTTCCTCACTACAATGTTTCTGTTCGGCAACATTGGCAATAGCGTGCCAAAAGTGCCTTATATCACCGCTTTGGAAGTCTTCGCTCTTGTCAATGCCATATGGATTATTGGTGTTATGTTGGAATATGTTTTTATTCTTCGATTCCCTGAGTTTGGAAAGAAAGTAAGCATATATATCCAGTCGCGTTTTCTGCTGCTATGATTAAATTCTTTATAATCGTTTCATCCATGTACTCCTAAGCTGCAATTTTGATGAAGATTTTAAATAGAATTAAAGATATTAAAGATATTTGAGCATTAATCCTCCTGTCTTATTATATATCACGTGATGACCTCAATAGGAAATGTTTTGGGTACTTTCTGTCTCTTAGAAACTATTTATTTCTTAGAAATAGAGAATTATGCTTAAGTCTTGCAATTTGATTTTGTGAGCTATCTTCTTTTTTTCTGACTGTTTCATTTCACATAGGGTCTTGTATCATTTACTGAGCCAAATGGACCTGTAACAGAGAAAAATGACCAGTTTTGGGAAAAGCCGGATACTGACAAAGCACTGAAGATTTTTAAAGGCTGTATTGCACAGGTTATGGCACAGAAAGCTGGGAACAAAGGTCCTCACATTGTCGACAAATTTTCCCGTATCATCTTTCCAATAACTTATAGTTCATATTTAATTGCATACTTTGCTTATTGTTTCTCACGCGATTAACTGAAATACTAAAGTGAGTGTCATCTATGTTAATCAAAATTTGGATGAACACATTATGAATTATGAAAGACTTACAACATGCATACTCTTTTGTTGTTAATTGGTAGAGTTCAGGATGTATGATTTAAATTTTTTCATTCATGTTTAGCACCGTAAGAGTCATTAATTGTGGAATAATATACCATCACAATTTCAGCTTCAAATGATTTTATTTCTTTACAACGATCGTCTAATATTTCGCTAGTTCGTGACAAATGGAATGGTTCATCTACGTAGCTTTAAACATTTTGCTGCTTCTATTTTGCAAATCATAACATCAATCAAGCTAGGTTTGATCAGAAAAATGCTTGATACGTGTAAACATCATATATATGAATAAAAAGCTACAAATGCGTTAACTATTGCGCTTCAAATCAATGTGTAAGAGTGCTGACAATCACATGACATTCATAATCGCTTTGATTAATCGCTTTAACCTCAATGCAGAGTTATGTTAGTTTTCGTATAAATGCTTGAATGTTGTGTATATATTTTGCTACTCAACACACTGTCTCTTCTTTGACTACTCAACAAAATGGTGCCGTGACCAGGATCCGTTTCGTCCTACTAAGTTTTGTTTTCGTTCTTTCGCTGTTGTCAAAGTTTTCATGACCGGGAAGATATTACCCACTTCCTATGTTAGCGAGTTGCCAACATTTCGCGTGGACACGTCTAGCCGTCCGTTTTCGAACATTGGTGTTGATTTTACCGGCCATTTAATGTTTAAAGGCATCATGGTAACTTTCGCAATGTGTACATTTACCTATTCACTTAACCAACTACACGAGCAATTAGCTTGGAAATCGACGAAGACCTGATTATACATCGTTAGGGTATCTAAAGAAAGTAGTCTAATTTTGAACATGCATATGTTCCAAGATGGTCTATTTGAGCGTGGGTAGGTTCTTTTGCAAGCTATAAATTGGTATTACCATCCAGGGGTACTGCCTTATAAGTAATTTAAAGTAATTCTACTTTTGTAACGTTTGCAATGTCTACACTCACTGCCCGAGTGTCTTATTGTTTTGTTCTTCAGAGTAAAAAATAAAACATTAAAACTTCTCAAGTACAAAAGTAGGACAATAACGAGCTTTAATGACTCATGAATTGCATTATAACAGAAATATTTCAAGTTAAGGCTTATTCTCTGTGTGAAATTGTCTTTAAAATAAACTTTTTCAGTGATGTTTTCAGCGACAAAATTCATAGCCTATTCCAAGCGAGGTTAGCTGTTGGGGCAAACCTTTATTTATTTTAAGATGGGGACATAAGCATATTGTTTGAAACAATGGAAAGTCGTTGGGGCTGCGGGGGCAAATGCCTCCCTCCCTAGATGATAAAAAGGCCCTGACAAATTTACAATAAATTTGAAGAGAATTCTTTATAGAGTACGTATAAAAAGTTAGTATCTAGTCTTTCCCAGCAAACTAAACGATACATATCGTAAAAGCTCTGTTAAGCCCCAGGAGGGCTTACTTAATTTTTTCAGTCTTAGAGGGGCTTATCAGAGAGGGGAGCTTATTGGAGAGGGAGGCTTATTAATAATTTAATCTTTAAAATGTTATAAAATTTCCGTTATGCATTTTTTGTTATGAAAATTTCATAAAAATGTTCTCAAAACCTTCCTAACAGCTTCAAATGGTTCCTAAAATCAGTCAATTATAATGTCTTCATCTTCCTCTGTCAACAGGATCAATTGATATCCCCTGGAATATCTTCTAAACAGATTTTTGCTGACATCTAAGTCGCGCAAGTAAATATTTACTTGGGCCGTTTTTAATGCGCACAATCATATCGTCATGACACCTGTCTAGAGAGCCACTCAGTGCATATGTTTTCTTTGTTTGAAATCAAGGGCCTAAGAGAGGGGCTTAATAGAGTTCTAAAGTGTGACGTCATCAAAAACCTATTTTTAGAATTTTTGAATTTTAACCACATAGCATAAAAAATCACTATGAAATATTTTCAAATACGCAAAATTGGCCGAATATGTCTAAAATTAGTTGAGATATGGCTAATGAAAGATTTGAAGTTTGCTAACGAATCACTGTAATTTTGGCTCTGTTCATAAAGTTATGAACAGAGACCAAAATACAGAGGTTTGATGGGGAGAGAACCAATAAACATGTGGCCATATCTCTGCCATTTCGTAATACACTTGCCTGATTTTGCACATTTAGAGATATTTCATGATGCTCTTTCAGGTTATGGGGTCCAAATTAAAAAATTCCAAAAATAGATTTTTGTGACGTCATCACTTTAGAACTCTATAGAGGGGGGGATTATTTCAAATTTTTGCTTGATAAAGAGGGCTTTATAGAGAAGGGGGCTTAAAAGAGAGGGGGATTCAAAAGAGAGGGGAGCTTAATAGAGCTTTCACGGTATTATTCAATAATTTTTACGGCTTCATTGCTAGATGTTGAAGCCAAGCTTTAAAGCTACATACAGTAAGCAAAAATAGCACATTTAGAGCCACGTTTGTTCCATATGCTATCTAAATTTGTATCAATATCGAATATTCAGCAAAAGCTGGGCATTTGAAGTCTTAATTAAGCAGATTCAGTTCGATGCCAAAACTCTAAGCAGATTCAGTTTTAATTTTGGATATCTATTTGGTGTATTCGTGTTGCTGACTGAATTGGGCAAGATATGTTTCCAAAAATGATATGTTATTGCCATGTGTTTGGCTTCGAGAAATTAATGCAGAAACGCTGTCAATTTAAACTCATACCCCAGCATTACGCCCTGGTGATTGTATGTCATCAACGGCCATTCTGCTTTACCATGCGATTGCGTCAGTCATTAAACATAAATTAGCAATCCAAAAATGGGTATAAATTATGCAATGCATACAGGTTTGATGCATTTATCTTTCATGTTGCTGTAAGTAGGGCTTTTCAAATTAGCTATAGGTGATGAATAGTAATCATATCAACCTTACATATCTTTAATATATTAACTCTACAATCGTAACCCATTATTGAAGTTTCATCTAATTGAGTTTTGTTGTGACGCACTTTCTGTTTATCAAATGTTTTATTAAAAATTGGTTTCATATCGTGTCTAGAAAACACTTCAAACAAAATTCACCGGTCTACGTAACACAACAGGTGACGATATAGACAGAAGTTGACAAACAAATGCCCTCCTTACCTAATTAAACTAATTTTGTACTCAAGAGTTCAACTCGTAGGCACAAATCGAAAGCTTCTTGGTTATATCTTAGGTTAAAATCATGAAAATAATATTGAATGAGATCTTAAAATGCAGTCGTAATAATATTTTCTTATCAACAACGTTTAAAACAAAATCACAAGCATCCATATAAATGTTCATTTAGCAATGAAAAAGTAGTAGATAAAATAAACTATAAGAAAAATAAAGTAACTAAGAGGAAAACATATTCGCGAAATCCGATCAAGGTTGTGCGTCTCATGTAGAAGAAGGTTTCGGTTTTCTTCACTTCGAGCTTCTTTATTTTGATTTTCAGAAGATGGCTTCAAACTTCTATCTCTGATATAATTGTCATTCTCTTCGAAACCATGATTTATGTGGTGATTTTGGAAAGGATTTAGTGAAAAAGAAACAAACTGAGGGCCTCTTCTTTTCGTCTTGGGCTGAAAAGAAATTATATCTACGAATGATATGTCATACAGGAAATAACGGACATAGGAAGAATTGAAAATGTAGAGCTGCTTATAATTAAGGCTGGCCTGATCAAGCCTGTATGGGCAATTGAATTATCATGATTAGAAGCATAAGAATACTAGTAAATGAAGACAAATACAAACAATGCTGTAAAAGAGCAAGGCAGCTAGAGATGGAGTGGGCACAAAAATAGCCACTTGGCCTAATCATAAGAATTGTTAGAAGACACGAAACTTTGAAGAAATAACAAAGCTTCGCAAAATAGTCAAAAAAGATTTCAAGGAAGTTTTGTGCCTGTTTAAAATGAAATTAAAAGAAAACATGGTAATGGATGCAAAAACATTTTGCTTTCTTATCGAAAAAGCCAGGAGGGCTTCAATTAGTTGTTTTGAATCCAAAGCCTTTTTTGTTGGGGTTCTTATGTTTCTAGCAACTCTGGCTGCGTAGTTCTGCTATGTCATTAACTAAGCTAGATTTAAATAATCTGACAAATGTCAGAGGAAAAATGCAACAGCATTTCTATAATATCTTCTGATATTTTGTGCTATTACGAAGTTTTCCTAGAAATCTTATTTCGATCATTGGAACAAAATTATCTTACTTTTATGAAGCAACAGTAACACTAGGCTATGTATGTTGAGCAAGAATAGCCATGTAAAATTGAGTAATTGACATATCAGATGATGTAAAGCCGAAGAGAAACTGTAGTTAAACAGGAATAATTCAATCACAACTTAAAGGCTCATGTTTCGACAGACATGACTTCCTAAGACTCGGTTTTCGTTCTCGCTTAGAATGCCAAAGTCCTCACTCATAATAAAGGTAGGAATGGGAAGATAGTAACCACAGTGGATACCATAAGGAACAGTTCAATTTTCATAGGCATCTCAATTTGAGCAATAAATATCGAGCCAAAACAGAGAACGTGTTGACATTATATCTTTGCTCAAATTTTAGTTCGTAAGTTATCTTGGTAAATCTCTCCTCCTAAAAACGCACATAGTCTAATGACATTTTGAAACGTTCCAGGTTGATCCAATATTTGGAAATTTTGATTGCTGAAATACCTCCAGTAAGACGTCATTTAGATCAGGTAAAGTTATAAAAATGATATAAACTAAAAAACTAAATAAATATGTAAAACAAATTAAAGCAAACTCACCTTCTGAGCGTTGTTTAGCTGGCTTAGAATCGTTACATACTCAATCATGGTCATGAAAATGAAAATCATGTTGATCAGCGCAAAAAGTTCCACTGCGGTATGGTAAGGCACGTGAGGAATCGTGTTTCCTGCATCACTGAACACAACCATGCTTGTGAGGAAGCTTGTAACTATGAGAGTCACCCTGGCAGGAATTGCATGGACTGGTATCCAGAATCCAGCAAACGATAGAATGACAATTAAACAGCTTGGAATGTATGTATGGTACAGATAAAAATGGAACTGTCTCTTCAAGGAAAATACGGCTTGCAAGATTTTGAACTTTGCTGCGAAATATCGTCATTAATCATTATTTTATAACTTTGCCATATAAAAGGCTGTAATTGTGTAAAAATGTAAAGGCCATGATAGCACAACTGCTCAACGACATTTGCTAAATCAACTACACATTCAACAAATATAGGCAAGGGTTGCAGTTATCCTATCATTTTATGATACTCACAGGTCCATAACAGCTATCAATTGTTTCTAAGGAGGAGTAATGATAAATAAACCCTACTGTATCTCTCAAGTAATAAAATCTAATGCTTAAAGTTTCAAATGTTTTTCAGACTTCAATCAACGATAATATAGGCTTGTAAACAAATGCAATTGACAACGGAAAAACTAGGATAAATTTCTACTCTTGTCCATTGATACATAATACGTTGGACTTGTAAACAATTTCTTGGCGGCACAAACTTTAAAATGGCTTGGAAAAACCCAACATTTCAAAGCATTCTTCGGGTTTTCGTCTGACACTTTTCAGCGGAATAAACGTTAGGACATAGCTCGAAAATTCTAAGCTAGGAAAATAAACATCCAATTGTTCAGAAGGGCGAACACGTTACACATCCGTTCTGCTTGCCTTTAGGGTGATAAAAAACTCCTTCTGTTAAAACAAAAATGGGTTGATTCTTTTTTATATACATGGGTCCGCTAGATAGAAGATTAATAGTATGCTTTATATTATTTCAAATGGAGTTGATTATATTTCTTTTTCAAGGGCCGGCCACTCGGCTGCTTCAAAATATTTTAGGAATGTTCTGAGGGGCCCTACTTCCGTCATCAATTGTTTCAAGAGATTTGTATCAAGAAATAGCTTGACAAATGAACCCACATGCAATACCATAATCAAACTGATCAGTGACATTGCCAATAGCTTTTATTGTGTAACCAGACAATTTTGGGTTTCTTGTAAATTCAATCGCTTCTGCAATTTGAATCCATTCCAAAGACACTTCTTTGCTTGTGTACGCAACTATGAAAAACATTAATTTTTATTGAAATAAATTGGTAGAGACTTCGATAGATCCATTAGTCTTTTAGCCTGAAACCAGAGTGAAATTATTTACCGTTTTTAGATCTTTATCACAAAGTAAAATTATTTGGCAGAAGAATGAGCTTATTGCCAATCGTTAGTAGGTTCAGGGGCGCAAATGAGGGCGGTGGTCACACCCCCCAAATAATTTCACCACCCGGTCCCAGTTGAAAGTTGATAGCAATAAAGTCTGTCCCGATCCAGCCCTCTGCTTAGTATTTCTGTCTATCACACCCAAAGCTGGGCTAGTCCCAATTCTGTTGGTACCATGCTGTATTGCAGTAAAGTAAGGCATAAAGTGGCATTCTTTAGGAAGGCTAATCACCGAAAAATGACAGGGGACAGAATCGGTCCAGTCCGGTTTGATGATATTACCAGCATTGTAAAAACATGGCAACACACATGGCAACACTTGTGTGGGCTGCTCTCATTTTTTTATAAGAAACAAAGGTCGATGTTGATTACTCCAGTTTCTTAATGTTCTGGAAATATCAATACTCATGGTTTCTTAAGAGTTTCTTAATTATGATGTCATGAATACTGTTATGAAATGTTCGTGACTTTTTTTATCACGTTAAGAGATACGCTACCGTTTTTGTCTTAAATTCTAGGCCAACAGGGCTATCATGTTCTTGGATTTTACAAAAATGTCGTTTATTTTCAATAGTTTCTTAACGTTTTAATAGTTTCTTAATTCTTCTGCTTCGAGTACTAAAGTTTCCTAATTTTTTCTGACTGTCCAGTACTCCTTTCTTATAGCCAGTTTATTAAAAAAAATGAGTATCCTCCATGCATTCGGAAATCAGCAGAATTTCGACAGTGAATAAAAGACCTTGTGAGCAAAACATTCCCACGGCATTTCAACATGCCGAATACATGCCGCATAACGTGCCTTTTCTATCTTGGAGCTTTACCTATATTTACAACTAAATCTACACTTTCACAAACATTTACGATAAGAAGCTAAGGTTTTGGTAAGTAATTACTTGAAGAAAATCTGTTCTTAATGGCCAGATGCCAATCTTGTACTCGCTATATGAACATTGATTTATGCTTTTGGGACATAATAAACTCTGTATGAGCAACCTTACATGCCTTCAGAACGAATTTGCTGGGTTTTTGAATGGACGACGTCCCTAATGCTTTCGTTAGGATGCAACTTGCTGTCAGTTATAGTTATGTTGATTCTCGTCTTCTGAGATATTTTTGCCGTTTTGGAAAAAAAAACTCTAGCTGCCATCGACAACGATAACTTTTTCGCCATAGGTACATGCTTTATCTTGTTTCTGTGTTATGCGCGGCGTTGGATGTGCATATTTCAAGGGGAATGCGAGAGCAGCAGTCACATTCCCTCAATAGTATCTCTATTGGAAAATTCAAGTAAAATCCGCTCGGTGGAAGAAACATTTTAGGTACTTCAGAGACCTTCCTATCATAAAATCAATAAAGGATTAAGCAAAGGTAGTTGCTCCGTTGGTTAAATGTGATCTTCTTGTTGGCATTAAATCTAAAAATCCAGGCCCTCTTTAGGTAAAATTGTGCCTTATTACCAGTTCCCCTAAAGTTTCTCGAAGTGCAATTCACTATGTGCTTCCAGGGAACTGGGAGCATCAAAATTCGAAAATTTGGAATATTAGGAAAGTCTGTTATTATCATATAAGAATATATGTGGCAGATTATATACAGAGTTTACAAAATGTATTGCAGAGGTTTGTGACAGCAACTATATAATTTCAGGCAATCATTTTTCAATCAGGTAAATTTGTAATCCAACCAACCCCCCCTCCCCCTCCCCCCCAACAAGGCCTGCCTCGCGACGGCCTTGGAGAGCGGCCCCGACAATATCTATATCGCAAAAATCGGTCTGTCGTGGCGAAAACTCGGTCCCTTCAAAGAACACCCCCCTAAAAAATTTGCATTTGCGCCCCCTGAATAGGTTAGTTTTTTGCATTTATTGCAAATACACTCTCTTTTTATAAGAACCAGTAAATTTCAGTTCAGGATGACTGTTCTTAATTTTTTCGAAAATCTAGGGCTGGATTGTTTTTAATTTGTTCTTAATCTAATAGGGTGTAAGCAGTGCGAGTGCTAGCTTTTTCGCTCTAGGGTTGTGTACAGGCCTCAGGCAGCTTTAATTCGCTGACAAATTTGAATATTCACCGAAAAAGCACCCACACTAAATCGCTAAAAATCATCGATTTTGAGAAAAAACGTTGTTCAAAATTGTATTTTACAGTAGCCCAGCCTCAGCTTGTTCTTAATTTGTTCTTAACTTTTGACCAATTTTGAAGCTCGTGCTCTTATAAAATTGTTCTTATATAAAAAGAGTGCACTCCAATACATTTAAAATAGGGATGGTCAAGTAGTGTTATGATACTTTAACTCAAAGTCAAATTTTTCCATTACTCGCATAGCCAAATATACTGGTCGATTTTTCACCTCTTGCTCTTTTCGGCTTAGACTATAAACAAAAGCTTATCTTATTGATATTCTCTAGTATTTTAAACCCAACAAAATTCCAGCATTTCATGAACTCTTAAAGAATTTGAAAAAGCGGACTGCCCAAAAATCTATTTTAACCCGAAAGTCGAACTCGAAAAGTTACCCCGAGCATCCCCGTCCTACCAGAGAACCCCAAACAAAAGACAGGCACCGAAAGCGTTGACAGCTTACAGGGGACGTAGAAACCGGGGCACTAGGGGAAGTGCCCCCACTTTTATAAATGTTGAGTATAAAGTGCCCTCATGATTTTAAAAAGTGCTCTTAAAATTTCAAAACTTGCTTTTTGCTAACTGAACAAAAAGGTTTTACTTGTTAGTTATTAACACACTATCTTTTATGCATAAATTGATAGTCAATGGAGTTGTGCGTGTTGTGCGTCGAGTAATGAACAAAGATTGATACAATGAATTAACGACATGGTAAAGGAAATTATTCATTCTTTGTGCAAAGTCATTATTTCATTGTATCAATCTTTCATGCATGTCTTCCTAAAGACTGAGGTTAATTTATTTTCAAGTTATTTCGGTTTTTAAGCAAGGCCCCACTTTGGCAATTGGTTGGGCCGCAAATAAACCTATATCTTATATATTCGATTATCGTATTTGTTGTGAACACCACTGTGAACTGGTCTGTTGAAACTGGTTTGTTATTGATGATTATACCGCTATTCTTTTCCTTGTAAATTAGCATGCACTACAAACCATAACTGTTGACAGATCAAATTAATCAATATTTAATTTTTTTTCTAAGTTTATCCAGGCTGATGAATTTTAGTAATGAATAATTCAGATGCATTTTATAAACTGATGCATTACTCACAGCTTTCTAAATTCATTGTGCAAATCTGAGTGTCCATTGGAAATAGCTGAAAATTCATATCACAGGAAAACTCTATGGTTAGCCTAAAAAGCAAGAAGTACATTTACTCATGCAATCGCTTGAAAATACATGTTTTATTTTAACAGAGAAAGTTGAAACATTGTTTGCTGATCAAGTGTTTAACATAATTACATCATGGGAGTAGCTGGCATTTCGACATTGGGGGGGGGGGGGATTTCTTGTAAACATTTAGAAATAGCTACATAAAATGACGTACAAAAGTGATGTACAAACATTTAAAAAAACCAACACAGCAGCATGTGCTCAAACTCAGTACATTTGAACATTGCAATTTACGCACTACGAATTTTCATTCCTCGACCTGCAAACGTTTTGGTTCGGGAGGCCTGGGCATTCCTGCCCCCTCATAATATATCCTTTTAGCACTTTTTTTAAGTTGCTTGTCATTTCTCTAACATATATCGTTGATAAGAGTGAACATGTTTTACGTATAATCTACATTTAATAAAAAAGATTTCATTGTGAAGAAACATTTGCATTTGCATTCGTATCACTTTAAATATCTGCATGGTTGGCTTCTCTAAGCCTTAGTTTATTTTCCCCTGTCAAAGTATCCGACATCTGGGATAAATCTTTAATTCGAGTCAGTCTTATAAACCCCCCCCCCCCACCCCCTAATACACAAGCTTTTTATAAGGAACCATTTTATATGAGGCTTACATATAGAAATCAAAAATTTAAAAAACTTCCCTTTCAAACAAATTCCTTAAGGAACAATTCAATTTGGAGTATTTTACCACTGCAAACCATGAAGAAGATAAACGGCTGTGCCACTCATTTACAGTCAAAATTCAAATAAATTTTATGCTACGCGTATATCGAACTGCTTTTTAGCTTCTTTGTGTTCCTTGGCTTTGCTTTCTAGCCACAATTGAAAGCAGAATTAAGAATTCCAATTTTTCTCTCATCGGTGCTATTTTACGGCACTAAATGCGTAGTTAAAATAGAGAAACTATAAAGGAACTTTTGGTATTACAAATTGATCGATAGAGGGCTTAAATAAGAACTTTTTGATCATACAAATAGTTCATACATACACTCAGTCTCTCAGTGAGAATAAGCAACAAACAGATATTACCTCCAACTTATGTAGATATTGCCACTGGGTCCAATCTTTACTCGCAAGTTTCTTTTTAAAGCTTTGTGGTTCTTTGTTTCTATTGCATTGAAAATATACACATCAGGTATCCAAATCAAGGCAGCTGGGTTTTCTGATAGTGTAAGATCAGTATTGTTGTCAAAGGCGAGCCGTGGGTCCTGCCACCAAAGCCTTAGAAGAATGTCACTTCCCATCGTCTGTCAAAAAAAGAGTTATTTTGTCATTTTGCAGGTAAAATTTTGAGGTGATTACAGCATAAGGTCTGTATGCAATACAACTACCTGCTAGAGAGGTATCACAAGGTAGACTGCCTAATCTTTTTTCCCGCTGATTTGGGTTCCCTAATGGATGACCGTTAGCTTCCCTAATGGATGACCGTTTGCTACTTGACTTAAACTGGGCGGGCCAATATTGATTCAGCACTGCAACTAAATTGTCTCGACACCGCTTCATAACATAACGATCTGAGAATACTGAAACTTACAAGACTTGAACTATTTCCTTCAAATGGAGTAGATTTATGTACGAAAAGGTATATCAAGCTTGTTTCTTTAGAAAGTAAAATGACTAAGCAACCCACCATTCTTTGAAGGTTAACAGGGCCTACAGCGAGCAAACCAATTTGTATTGAGACTTGAGTGGCTAGAAATGAATAAAATCCATATTTCATTATAAAGGAAAAAAATGTTCAATCGTAAAACCAGAATGCATCTTCAAAATTTTGCGAATTCTTCATTTCTAAGATGTTTTTCTGACATTAAAGCAAAAGTAGTTAAAAAGTGGAAAAAGTTGTAATTCTAATTTGAATCTGAATCTAGCTTTAAAAGTTGGAAAGAATAAATGATATGCTACCAATTGAAAACTCGGCACAAGAAAATTTTTTAGGTAACTTTAACTTTTTTAAGAAGTTATACCTAGAGAACAGTAAAAATCCACTATCTATTAACACAAAACCTAAGAACTAGATAAACATAATCACAAGAAAGCATTGATAATTGTTAAAATAAACTATTTATGTTTTGAAAAACCTTTATCCTCATATGGGCGAATTCTCTTATCATAACCTTTGGCAGCAAGATTTTGGATGAATTGAGAGAGTTGTTTCTGATGACTCTGTGACTTGAGTTCTGCATTACAAAAAAATTAGTAAAATAGACATAACCACATCATCCAACAAATCCTTTTTATTTTTGTATAACTTCTTTCAATTGTTTTTTGCTTTTTCCCATCCCAAGTTGACCTAAACCCCTATTAGGCTAGAGTTACACTATACCGGATTGCTTTCGGAGCGGAGCAGAGCGGAGTAACTTTTACTCCGGAGTGATTTTTAGGGTAGCAGTTACACTACGACGCTCCGCTCGCTCATAAGCCTGCATTCCTTTGCATTTCTGGTACAAAAAATCCACCAGATTAAATTTTTTGATGATATTTTCGAATCTATGTTATGAATTCGTTTTCAATAGCTATGCATACAATGACGAAAACAACCATGAAACTGAGAGATAAATGATGGGTAGGACGGACAGCGAGATTGTGTTGCTATCTGATGTGTTAAAGTATGTTTTTCGTCCAAGGGCCACTACATTAAAATTCGGGAAGAGATGAAATCCAAATACGAAATTGCTTTCATGATTTCGATTTGGCATTATCCAACAGCAACAAAATCTCAGAAAGAGTCATTGTTCACTATCGATCGAATTGCTTCAAGCAGAAACCAATAAGAAAATCCTTTCTTTCAAAGTGGAGCATATCGGATTCGTGCGGTTACACTACAACGCTCCGCTACGGAGTGACTCCGGAGTGATTTTCACTCCGCTAATCAGAGTGTTGTGTATCGGATTGGTGTGGCGTAGTGTGACTCAAACCCCTATCCGATATGAAAGTAACTCCGCTCCGATAGCAATCTGGTATAGTGTAACTGGCACCTTAAGCTGCGTGGCACCACTACGATATTTTATCCAACACAAGTGGACTGCGTTTTCAACCCGGGTTGGAAACAGGGTTTCCATTACTCACGCGCTCTTAATTGTCTATTCAAATGAAACTTCTTTATTTTGTCTACAATGTATGCAAAAATATTTTAAAACACTGATGTTTTGGCGTTGTATCTATATATTTTCCTTTCCTTTTCAAAAAATTACGATATGGTCGACTTGCCCTTATATTTGCAAAGTTTATCTGACTGTGTCTTTAAAATTATTCAGGAAAAACATCATATAGCTTAATTAAAAACTAAAAAGTAGCAAAGATTGTAGATAAGGAGAAAATTGCAAATTCTGATATCTAGCTTAAATGATAATTTAAAATACTAACGTAATTTATATAAGGCAAAGTTTCCTAATTTTTTCTTGATAGCTTCGTAAATCTTGTTTGAGGACAATAGAATCGAAAGGCTTTTAAGTTGAAAAAAAGAACTACGGTGATTCATTAGAGGGCACTGGCCCCTTTTGAAAATAATATTGGTTTTTGCCTTGTACAAAAATAATCTTAAAAAGTATGGTTATCTTTTACGTGGGTTAAACTGTTCCTTTTGATATCGTAAAATATTTTAGACATTGATAAAAAGAGACAACAGCTTTTTAATGTCTTGAATTTGTTAAAACGCACCTGTAATTTCTTGCGATACAAACATCGCAGCCACAAACAACAATCTGAAAAATTAGCACATAATAGTAATAGAAAATAAATTGTTCTTCATAAATCGGGTGACTAAGTTAAGAACTCGCACAGCAATGATCAAGAGAAATTTTTTACTGGACTTACGGTATGAGAAACATTTGCATAATAAAATCTGCTGTCAGATATAGAAACTTTTACCTCTTTGAATAAGATAGGATAGATCTTACACAGTTGTTGAAGAAATATAGTTTTGTAAAGCAGTATAGATTGCGCAGTTAGAAGAAACCTAAGCTTAATATTGATACCCTTCATATTGATATAATATTGATATTCAAGAAGCACCTAAGAAGAGTATAATTATAAAGAAGATTATGATTCAAGCAGGAAAACTACTGAATAGGTGTGAAGAAGAGAACAGTATTGAAAAAGTTTTAAATCATTGGAAAATATAAACATCTTACCGATAGCTCATTTCACCTGTAAGCATTTTGTACTTGGTTGCAATCGAATCCCAAATAGCTTCTATTTGAACAGCACAGCCTGTAAAATATTCATGGATTATTAATACATTTCTATTCAATTCCCCAATTATGTTATCACGGGGGTTTTAATTCATGATAAACCATAAATAGCCCGTCTGTTAACAGAATGGTGTGAGAAAAGAAGAAAAAAAAATGATTCTCGGCAAATACTTTTGCTACATTTGTTAAATGAGTGCATGAAATCAAGGTTGAAAGAAAAAAGGCATTTAATTGCCCAATTGCAGAATGCGAAATTTCAAACAAAGAGTTTTTTTAGGTTTTCTCAAGGCTTTTATATCGGGTTCCATTGAAGGAAGTTAACGATTAAAAGAATACTTCAACTACCATTGGTCAGTTTTAACAATGAAGTCAAAACAATGCTTTCATTCGATTGTTGTAATGTCTATGTTGGTTTTGGCTGTCATAAACAAGCTATGTTTATGCATGCCTACAGATACGATTCATTTGAAACGCGTGAATAGCAAGCAGGATGGCGCAAACGATTTATTAATTAATAGGATAGACATGATCGCGCAAGTATCACCAAGGCAAATATGTTTGCTGGCAACTGTCTGTTAATCATATCCCTATTCGACCGAATATTAGGGTCTTTAAAATGTGCGCCAAAGAGAGGCTTCGGTGCGTCAAGATCTCAGATCAGACCAAGAGGTTGAGAGAAGTTGAATTTTATAAATCGTAATGACAAACCATGACGAACGCTTGGAAACAGTTATCAGTGAAAGCAAATCAGATGAGATAGCAATTCAAAGCAAGTTGCAAAACCAAAACCCTGACTTTAGGAAATCATCAGGCAGCTACTGTTGAAGCGAAAGAGTATCCGAAGTTCATCTTCCAAAACACCATACCTAAACAGCGGATTCCCTTGTCTTGGATCTCTGAGAGTCTGAAGTTCATCGCTCAACGAATGTTGAGTCAAATTGTTGAGAGCGTTTTAACACCCCTATTCAACATTACTTATTAACATCACTAGACATCACTGTAGAAATGCTGAGCGATGTTCAGTGCAATATTATGAGCGTTTTAACGGGGCTTAATAATTTCTTTGACAGCCTTTGGTATTGGTAGATTATGACCCCGTTTACACTAAAGAAAAAAGAAATTCCGTGCCTGAAAAAGCGACGATAGGCCTTGCGTTTACACTAGGCATCTTGGTTCCGTGCTAGTTTGGGAACAGTTCCGTTCTTCTATGGTTTCGCTAAAATGCGAAATTCTCTGGTTCCCTTCCCAAAATTTGCTTGTTTTCTCTAGTGTAAACGGTCAGGAGCGGAACTTTTTGGTTGGGATTGAAAATGGTGCTTAATCTAGGGTTAGGGCGAGGCTTTTTTATAATGTCAGACGTAACTGCCGCGCCACTGTGAGTGATTCACATGAAAGTACCGTTATTTTACTCAAGTGTAAACGCTCTCAAATTTGGATCCGTTCCTTTTTGCTTCAATGATGTTTAATCTATTTAAAGTTTCAGCTTGAGTTTTGCTACCTGATAAATTTTCAAAATCAGATCGGGGCCAGAATGTGTACATCTGCTCTCGTTGCCTTTATTGGCTTCTATTATATCTTGCCTTTTTCATCTTAAACTTAGCTGTTTGCCTGGCTTTTTTCTTTGCAGAGGAGCAATGGCATTGTTTATGTTTATGCAGGTGACTGCATTTTTCCATTCTTGATCTCGCCGTTGGCCCCACTGAAAGAACTAAAGTCATTCGCCGAAAAATGCCAGCTACATTACAAACATTTGAAATATTCATTGCGGCATACAACGTCATTAACGAGTGAACAGCTGCAGAGTTGAAATTGCTTATGAAATAAATTGATCTATCCCCAATCGATCTTGGAGGTTTTCCTTATAAAATAATTTAATAGAAGCATCTAATTTCATGTAAAATAGAAAATTAAGTTAGTTATCAAAGCCAACAAGAATCAAATTAGAACTTGCGCTAGATATGTAGCAGGGCCAAACATTCTTTTCATTGGCTTAAAAACTTACCTTTTTCAAATTACTAATTTATGCAAATTATTTTCTTTAGCCAATCAGAAGATTACAAAACTGTGTTAAAAAGAACACAGGGATTCAATGTTACCTAAAGTATACTGATGTGTAACCTGATAAGTGAATAATTCTAGAGAATTGTATATGCTAATAATAATTTGTTTTTTTCTGTAGAAAAAAACTCTATGACATCCAGTATCTTAGAAACAGAGTCATCGTTATTTTCAAAAAATGATGCCATCAGATCAGTGTCATTCATATCAAATACAACTCCAAATTATAGAAAAAGTATAATATATTTTATAAATTTTGATTTTACAAATGCACTAAACTTTAGTTCAAAGGGTAGATATTATTCTCCATAAAACTAATTAAGGTTCCAAACTCAACAGAACTCAATAAACATTTATTGAAAACGGCATAAATCAGCAACCATTTCTAGTTTTTTCATTGAAAATACTTCTAAATTAGTTTATAGGATAATTTAGTCTCAGGATAACAGAAGTTAAAATAAACTTGTCAACAACTTTAAAACAGCAAAATAGACAAAATGTTTGCTTTTCACTTAAATATGTTCAAATCTGCCAGAATTCCAAGAAATATCCAGATTTTTATAGAAAGAAGCTGCTTGTTTGTTCCTTTTATCTCTTCAACTTCAAGAAAGGTCAAGTGATCGCTGATTGGTAAAAAGAACCAATCAAATTGAAAGCAGCTCTTCATTGGTTTCGAGCAAAGAGCAACACTTTATTTTCTTTAGGCTTCCAACTAAACAAAGTTCAAATGATACGTTTTCATTCAAAAACTGCCTTGAATACATTTCAAGCTCGATTGTACTATCACATTTTTGTTCGGTGCCGTATTTTTTTTCTAATTCTACCTTAGGTCTATTCTATGTTGCATTTGATCAGATTTTGCAAAAATGTTTATCCAAACACTTCACCCTAAACTTTCATTGGCCAGTTAGTATATGTTGTTAGTGATAAGATTTTTTTATCTCCAGATCTTTCTCAATTGTCCGTACTAAATTGAATTACCAGGAGGCTCATTTGCCATTCTAGGACTCTTGTAAAGCCAGACAACATGAAGTATATCTTCTGGTTTTGTCAAGGCATGTCCTAACCATCTAACTTTTTTGCTTCTATATGGTTTTTGACCAGGATTCCTGTTTGCTTTTGTATAGGAACTAAGCACGCTATTTCTTTAGGACATTTTAGGTTGAGGGTCTTCCTTAAGAGTTTTCGTTGAGTAGCATTCATCCTGTTTCTTTCGGAGCTTTTTATTGTCATGACAGGTGCTGTACAGGAGAATTCTTTGTTGAAAGCAATACAAATTTGCATACTATTTTCCACATTTATTTATATCATGTATTATAAATGAAATAGCATCTTTTCAAGATTTCTTGGTTGTTTGGTAAATAAATAGTTGGCTTCTCTAGAAGCCCTTAGCAGCTGGTTTCGTTGCATCTCTTAGTGGTTTAATTCTGTCTACAGCAGTCTTAGATGTTTTTCATTTATTTTATCTTTCCACGTGTACTTGTGATTCTTTTTGTAACTTCTTTTTTCAATGTCAGGTTTTTCAATCAAGTATCCCCCAGTTATCAAGAGTTGTGCCGCGTTTATGATTGATTCTAATTCATCATAAGATGCTTATTTGTTATTTACTTGGAGAAGAACTTGTGCATATGCTGGAGTGACAGTGAATTTGGATTTCCATTTGTTTCGGACGAAAGTTTAGACAAAACGGTTTTTTACAAGAAGAAAGTCTATTTACAGAACATATTCACAATGCTTTTCAAGCCAAATTTGTAAAGTGACAGTATGTGTACCATAAGCAGAACCAACGCCACAGGGGTGAGGGTAGGGGGGCATGGCCTCCCAACTTTTTTTGTGAAATAATATATTAAAATCAGCTTACTTAAGGTAGATAAATCTGTATGTTACACAAAATACAGGGAACCAAAGTCCATAAGCAGAGCATCTTCAGCAAAATTTTGCTATATTTCAGGCTAGCAAAGGAGGAAAGAAACTTTTTTACATTGCTGGCGCGGGCCCTGCATCAGTGGGTTCTTGGTGTTTCACAAAATGCCTGCAGTTTATTTCCATTGGTCTTCCTTTCAGTTGTGAAAAGAACAGCTGGTTTGTATGTTTATTTGCTAGTTTGTAAGAACGGCTGTTTGGTAGGCCTTAGAAACTAATCATTTGGATTTTGATTTCAACTTTAGAGAAACATCCCGTTGAAAGCTCAAAACAAAGTGGGTTTGGTGCAAAACTGTTCCTTATTTCGCTTTTTTTCCAGATAAGTCGACCACGGTGGTGGCCCTCGTCGATGACGCCATAAAAACATATACCGTAAATCCTCGAATTAGCCCCCTGGGGGCTTATTCTTTTTTGTATTTTGGATGTAGGCTTATTCGAGAGGGGGGGGGCTTATACAAGGGGGCTTATAAGATTATTGTAGACATTAAAGAGACAATATTAAAATAGAATTTGTTGTGGTAATTCAATAAAACGCCAGAGGCAACTTCAGATGGCAAAAATCAACAAATTGAGGGGTACAATTCGATATTTTACATTAGCAGTGGGGGCTTATTTGAGGAATAGATTTATTGAAAGTTTTCAGTTCTAGGGTGAGGGCTTATTCGAGGGGGGGGGCTTTTTCGAGAGGGGGGCAATTCGAGGATTTACGGTATTTCGAATTAATCTCTGATCCAACAACTGCAAACGAGGCCGAAGATATCAGACCATCTACCTGCTTTCTTGGGCGAGGAGAGGCCTATCAACAAATAATGGCAGAAAATTCTGTCTATAAATTATTGCGGCTGTGGGTATTCAAATTTACTTTGTTGATACTTAGACGTATTACTCCTGGTAAAATTAGTTTCTGTTTCTCATTACGTATTTTAGGAATGTACACTCATTATGTTATCGATAGATAGTGCTAAAAAATCTTGTCCTGTTTTGTTATGAGTTTCTTGACATGATATATTTTAGAAAAATTCTAAACAAATTGTCTGTCCATTAGTTTTGATTTTCCTTCTTACCAGATTTAATATATTTCTCTTTATGAAAGACCAAACCCAACTGAAGTTTGCAATGTAATGATAAGTTTATTTTACACTTAATAGCTGATGATGAATCGGTTTATCAGTTTTGTTTCAGAGTGTTGCCAGGGCTTGATAATGTCAGGCAGTGGCACTGCCAGAAACATTTTGGCAGCAATTCCTCGCCGGAAATACGTTTCTGTCATGCAGGAAATTTTGGGTGTGAAATCCCCATGGTTTCATGTTAAAATGCATATTGAACTAATGTTGCTCTTTTTCTATGGAATCTTTTTGCCTTCTAACTTATAATTTACAAAGACAAAAAACAAAGATACGCTTTCAAAATACAATCATCTGGTATTTCCAGTTCTTCATTTTTGGTTCGTCTGTTAGAGAGATTCCTGGCATTTCTAAGAAGTTCTTCAGCAATTGAAAATTCATTTACACAAGCTAAAATTAACAACTATTTTTTATAGTCATCATACATAAGTGAATTCACTCAAAGACAGCCAATATTTTTACATTGATTTTGTTAAAAGATGGTACATGCCACAAAAACCTATGCAGATGCCTCCACTTTCATTAATATTTTTCTGTTGGTGATCAAGGAGAACCAAGCACAACACTAATGTTTCTTTTTCAAGGATATAGCTAGTAAATCTTAAAAGTCCTTAGATCTAATTTCATATCATTACCAGCAAATTAGACATATTGATGTGCCTTAGATCTATACAGACTATGGGTTTTGTGTTTGCTGTTCATTTGCATCAATATATCTTTAATGTATAAGTAGTTTACATAATTTTCAAGAATACCACTTTTTGTTTCAATGGTTAGAATTAATGGTGATAAATCAGGGGCAGTGATTCATGGTGCTAGGGTTAAAATTAGAGGTCCAAGATACTCTAATTTTCAGCTGGAGAAATTCTTAACCTTAGGTAAGAGCATTTATTTTATATAATTGTAATGTTTCAATCTATGAACTTCCATGTTTCCAGGCACACTGCAAGTGACAAATTCTATGTGCAACCACTTGATTCTGACAGCTCATCAACAAAAATTTTAGAAATTGACAGAGTAACACAGGAGCTACAGTTAACTGGTATGTACAATTACTGATTATCGAGTCTTTTGATATTGTTATCTTCTAGTCTCCTGTCAGAATGTTTTGTCTAACCATGTTATTGATGTTTTATAGGGAATAAACACAAATGATATCTGAATAGGTTTCAGGCTTGACTCTTTTTTGAATTATCAAATTACATACTAGGAATTTTATTTGCATAAATACAATCTTTGCCATTTTATTTTTCACTTTTTCATTAATTTGTCTGTTTGCAAACTTTCAATGCCTGACAGGAATGTTAGTGCACCAAAGACACTGTGTCTCTCCATTACTGCCTCTCCATTACTCATTGTTATTTGGTCTCTTTGGATGATGTCAATTGCTCTGTATTCAAAATATCAGATAGTAGACAGATTACTCAACAGAACTAGTTTCGCATTTCTAGTACTGCCTGCAGTTTTTGGCTTCTTACATCACTGAGTCATCTCACCCATGAGCAACACCTAAGTAAACATAAGTTTACTGATTGTCTGTGACATCTTAAAGAGTAACTTTGATCCACTGTTGTTTGGAATCCAGACTTTGGATACAAAACATAATCTATGGAGGTGTTTGCACCTCTAATTCCTGGTAGTACCAGAATTGCGATTCTAGTAACGTAAAAACAGCAGTGGCTTTTGACTGAGAGCATGGGCCTTGAAATTCCCCTGTTCAGATGGTCATCAATGACCTCCAAATTCTGCAACCCTTCATATATACCGACAGGCATATAACAGTGATTCCAGCTCTGTCACAATTCATTGAGCACAGAAAACGCCCTTTCCCCAACAGGAAACACCAAATTTACCCAACGGGGAACATCTATGACTAATTTTTGTTAGGTAAAGGCAGTTTGAAAATCCTAGGATTATATCACATAAAGTAGACTGTCAAAATATTATCCCTCTCCCAACATCTTCTTGTTGGATGTTCCCCCCCGGTCCCGCTTTCACCTGACACAATCACGAAAAAACTGAAGGGACCTCATGGCTGGTGCTTTTTTACTGTTTTAAGAAAGGCATTCTATAATTTGGATCATGCATTACTTCTGTTTAGATAATCAATTTATGGCATCAAAAGGAGAGAAATGTTCTGGTTTAGCAAAAAATTACAAACAATTTTCTGTTTGCAAACAATTTTATGATGTAACAAATTTCAACTGATGTATAATCTTTGACAGAGAAAAAGGTGTAAGAAACCTAGCTTTCATATAATTAAATATTTCAGAGCTTTTCATAGACCTGTTTTTCTGATTTTACAACTTTCTAAATGTTTGTATTTATGTGTTATTTTCAGACAATGCTGGCCAGATTCCTAGAGATTCTGAGAGCCAAGAAATATGTGGAATCCTTGGAATAATCCATTTACTTCCAGGTAAATCACTTATATTGCCATATATTGAATAAGCCTATTTTGGTTACTAGTATTTGTTAGCAAATTTTCTGTTGTTTCGAGGTTCTCAACTAATTTGCATTTATAGTCAATTCCTAGTGCTTTTTATTATTCATTTTAGTGAGACTCGTTGGATATTTTTTCAGGTCCATATCTGTTGACAATCACCAAAAGAAAGCTGGTTGGAATTCTAAATGGTCATGAAATATGGCAAATTAAAGATGCTGATATTCTACCATTTCCTAAAAGTATCTTGCATCTCACAGAAGAACAGGTCCTACCATTTTTTATTGCATCATTTTTACTCTGAAGGTCTCTTTATTCTATTCATGTGGGGAATAATATTATCAAGGAGCGATATGGCATCAAATATCAAGCTATTGTTAGAATTTTTTTATACATAAATAAAACGGAATTTCCCCCTGGAAATCAGGAATAACCTGTTTATTGCATATGCTATTTTGCTAAGTTGTTTTTAGTTAAAAAGGTTTTGAGGGCTGTAAAACCAATCTACGTTTTCATATAAAACCAAATTATATTGTTACATAATAATTATATTTCTATACACATTTATATGCATAACCTAGAGTTGCAACGCAGAATTATGTATTTTTCTACACATGAAATAATCTGTCTAATGAGCGATGAGCCTGTGTATAATTATAATAAATTTATAATTTAAATTGTTTCTTTCATTTTGTAGACTAGAGATAACAAAGTATTCATACAGATGGTGAAAGCTATACTTCAGAATGATGGCTTCTACTTTTCATACACATATGACCTCACTCATACAATGCAAAGGCTACACAACACTTCAATGGATTTTGCTTATATTCCTCTGTTTGAAAGGGTACGCCATTAATAAGGTTTTTTCTATGTGATGGCTTCTACTTATTAGAAGTTTTATCTTTTTCTCTAAAATTTGCAAATAATTTCCATCCCTCTTTGAATATGAATGATTTCAGCCTTCTAAATTTCGGATTTTAATGTTGTGTTTTCTGTAGCTACTGTTGTGGGTGATATTATGCCATAAAAGTTGACAACATGATATAGTCATTGTTGATATTAAGCTAAAACCTGTTAACTGGTCTGGCATTAAAACTAATTAAAAAGGTCTGTCACTTAGAGATTAAAACTTGTCCAAAATGGTTATACAGATTGATTCCATTTTGTTGATTATTGCCCTCTTTGTCAAAATGCAATATCTAGATCTGTGGAATCCTTGTTTCTAGGCTGATCCAAGATTTGTTTGGAATCACCATCTCCTGAAAATTCTGGCTGTCCAGCCTGAGGTAACGGTTTGAAATGTCAAAAGTCTGTGAGTGCGATTAGAGAAAATGCCTGGTCCATGTTAGCCTATCAATTTCTTGTAACATGTTATCCAACATAAACTTTAGAACTAATATATGAAAATATTGTGCTATTTTATTGTATTGTATTTTATAAATGCCCTACTCTTGATTAACATCAAAAAATTGTTTCAGCTTTCTAGGTTTGTTCTTCCTATTATTCAAGGGTGTATCCTTTCATAAAAACGTAAATCTTTATAAGAATTAAATCAATTTTATTAGTCAAATGGCCTGTTTTAGAATACCTGGTTTTTAATTTAAGACTTCTCAGTTGTCATATTTTCAACCCTAAGAATTCAGGCTACAACCTGTTTGGTTGCATTTTAGAAAACATTGTTGAGATTTTGTTACACTTGCCAGTGTTCTGCAACTTTAGATCTATGTACAAAAACAATACAAAAATACCTCTATTAATGTAACCAGTGACATAAACACACATACAAAGGATTTTCCGGCCTGAACATAACATTTTGACTGAATTTGATAGCTTTCAATGCAAACCATAATTTTGGTCAAATCTTTCAATTCCTTTATTATTTGCTTGGATTTGAGTAAAAATATAAATAAAATCAACCAAGCCTGCAATTGAACACACTTCTAAGAGTGAGGCAAGGTGTAATAAAGTGTGATCATTTGCTATTGCCGTAGAGGCCATATCAAGAACTGTTTTTTTTGCATTTGGTATGTCAATGCCCAGTATTTTTCGGTATATTTTCAAAAATCTCACATGCTCCATTTCTAAATGGGTTTACATTTTGCTGAATACATAGGGCTTCTCCTGAACTTTTCTATTCTTTAAACTGACTTTGTTGCAATGGTCTGTAAGTTTTGCCTCTATTTATATGCTTTATGTTGAAGCTAGCTCAATGTCGTCTTTTTCACTTGCATATTCCTTGACTATATCAGTTGTTTCAATAAAAAAGTGCAGTATCAAACAGCACTCATTTGATTTGACACTGATTTCTCGAAGAAGTTGTTACCGTGCCGGTATGTTGTGTGCAAATATTTGGTAGATATTGTTCGTCTTAAAACCGTTTTATCAAATTATATAATTTGTTGATCTGTTGTAATAATGCTTTTTGATGTTAAATTTGATTCATATTAAATAAGGTGAAAACACATGAATTTAAGTAATTTTTCACTTGACATTCAACAAGGTGTGGTCTTTGCAAACCTATATTTTCTGTTTGTTTGCAAAGAGCTGTACCATTGAATATCTGTTAATTGAAGCCCCGATTAGTGTTTCTCAGCCACGATATTCAAGCATCATATTGTTCTTACTTTTATTATCCACACAGGTACTCGTTATTATATGAGAGGCATCGATGGTGAAGGAGAAGTGGCAAATTATGTGGAAACAGAACAAATACTCAGCTTTCAAGGAGAGAGTTCTTCTTACGTACAGGCAAGCGGAATTTCATTTTCATTTACACTAAACATGCATTAGAAATGGTTTCTGGCTACACCAATCTTTAATAAATTGCCTTTGATTTATAAAATGAATTAGACTTTATAGCTACTCAGTTCAACTTTGCGATTTAACTTCTTTTTATTGCACAGCATTTGCAAGGCTTTCGTTAGCTTCAATTAGTTTCATTGTTCTGTTAAATTTAACTTTCTCTAAAAGTCAAAGATTGTCGAGGATGGAAATTAAAGCCAAAGGCTCTTGAGAAGTCTTTTTTTTTAAATTTAAACTGGTAATCAAACTTTTCATTACAGATCAAAAGATTGTCATTTAAACAAACTATTGTTTGTATTGGTAGAATCATTATCCAATACTCAAATTCATTATGTAATATGAGCATATAATATGACAAATAGGCTAGCTTGAAACTGGCCCCCGTTAGAATCAAGTAGAAATAAAACAATCAATCCTTAGCTTTTTTTACCACTCTGATCTTTTGCTCAACTTTTCAGTTAAGGTGTCTGCGTGTCAAATTTGATATTTCTTAAAATATTGCGAGTTTCTATCCGTAGATCTGACGTTGGTAATAATAGTAGCAATTTAAGGAGTTAGATTGTATTCTTTTGAAAACTGTGTCATTATTTCATTCTAGACTCGGGGATCTATTCCATTGTTTTGGACTCAAAAGCCATGTTTGAAGTATAAGCCAAAACCTCTGCTTGCCCCTCATCTTGACCATGTGAGTAGAATGCAGTTACATCCCAACATACAAGCTAGTGCTAGGTCGGCTCATAATTAGGTTAGGCTTATAATTCGGTTAAGAACACGAAGAAGGCGGATGGGAATACATATCTGTACATGGTAAAGCCTTCCATATTCTAGGTTTATATTCTGCTTATGATTAAGATAGTTTTCTCTAATTGACAATCGAAAGGGCAATTAATTGTATTTTTCTGTACAATGGTTTTACTTATTTTTCTATGTTTTTTTATTGTTCATCTTCTATTGTTTTGCTACAATTTATGTGTGTAGTGACCCATAAAATCAAATGCGAAAGAAGACTCTCTAGAAAACATGTCTACAAAGAGTGACATATGAAAAATGTAACATTAAACTTGCAAAACTTTAAAAGGAATTACCTCAGATCCTTGTGGATGAAGCCTGTATGACTCGATCGCGAACGTTGATCAAATCCTGGTATTTTCGGAATATAAATCAGTGGGACGATTATTTGAGTATTCTTTGAGTCCAAGAACTTCTGTATTTACTTGCTAATTTAGCAATGGAACTTATGTATTTAATTGCTAATTAAGAAATACAAAGGGAAGCTATATGGTTTCAATAAGCGACGGCAATTCACAGCACCTTAAAAATTTAATCTTCTTTGATTTAGTACACTTTTAATGAAATTTGAAATTGGCATGCTTTTTATTTTGTTTTTTAGAGGAAAGCCTTCCAGCTGCACTTAGATAATCAAATAGTTTTCTATGGTGATCAAGTGCTGATTAACCTGGCAAGTGACCATTTATTAACTTTCTCTTTGTGAACTATTTACGTAGACATTTCAAAAATGGTTTATGCATGTTTATATAAATATTCGACAGGTATCAACAGTCTTTCTTGGTAGGTACTTAATTTTATTTTTGATAAATTTCATCATATCATGAACTAAATGGTTAGATTAAACTTGTAGCTGTTAGCAGATTTAGGCTATCATTGTACCATAATATTCTAACTGACTCCGCGATCATTTCTTCGCTAATGGCAATATCTTTCACTCCCACAGATTGACACTAAAGGAAGTGAGAAGGTCTTAGGAGATCAACTTGCAAATGCAGTGAAATCGTCTGGTTATTCTGAGGCTCAAGTTCGGTGAGAATGTCAACTGTATTTGCGAAAATCTGGCTGCAGCACTTTTTGGTTTTTTTTCAAGAAATTAACATCGTTGTCGATTTGTCACTTAGAATTTACTATTAATATCTGTGTTTAGTCTAGCTTGATTATTGACTATTGTTTGATAATTGCTTTTGCATTCGCTAGAAGAACAAAGGAGCTGTAGATAAAATCCTACCCTATCCTATCTTTCTCTATCATATCCCATCCTATTCTATAAAAGCCTGTTCTATCCTATCATAACCAACCCTATCCATCTAACCTATCCAACCTTATCCAGTTCATCACATTTCTGAGTGAAATTTCTTATTTTTCTTTAAGGTATGTTGCATTTGATTTTCACAAAGAATGCAGTAAAATGAGATGGCACCGACTATCAATCTTAATGGAAAGAATTGAGGAAAACATTAAAAGCTTTGGCTACTTTAAAGTCGACAACCAAGGTGATATGGTGCATCTGCAATCTGGAGTCTTTCGTACCAACTGCATTGACTGCCTGGACCGAACGAACGTTGTTCAAAGCATGATTGCAAGGCGAGTGTTGGAAAGGCAGCTGCGGGATTCAAAGATATTGAATGAAGGGGAATCTCTTACTGCTAATGACCTGATAGAATTTGTATTCAAAAACGTCTGGGCAGATAATGCTGATGCCTGTTCTGTGCAGTATAGCGGAACAGGGGCTCTCAAGACAGATTTCACCAGGTTTGTTTGTTAGTAACCTATGGCTTGTAATTTTAATCACAAGGTCAAGCATCTCTTCCTGTGCGGCTTGCTATTATATTTTGCATTGCGTCCAAATATTACGGTTTTTTCATTTTGCTGTAAGCTTGAATAGCCGGAAGTTGGTTTCAATTGGTCTTAAATATGATGTATCGAATATAATTAAAGAAGGTTAAAATGGTTTGCAGATTCAATATTCTAAAACAATGACATAAAATTTCCTTTGCGGCTTTTCTGACATTTTTGTCAGTCAAATTGGTATTTGATTAGTTGATTGAAACTTCTAGTTGCAAAGTTTTGCTTTTCGTACATTTTTCTTGAGCGCTTTTATCAAGCGGACTAGTTTCTATAATTTGTTTTGTATAACTATCCATCTGTTTTGCAAATTTAAGGGAATGTCAGAGAATTTCGGCATTGAATAGAACACCATTCGAAGCCAAGACCTCTCTCTTTTTCAGGAGCTAACAGTGACCTTCTAATATATACTTTATGTCTTCATTTGATCATTTTTAATGAGAAAAAGAGGAGAAAATTTTCTCATAAGCCATTACTGGTACTTTAAATAGTTTGCTGTTTCTTCACGTCAAAAGGATTTGTACCAAAAGAATGATTGTGTTTCTCAACCAGTACAATTTCTGAATTTAAAGATAAACTAATTTCGATTTTCCACCATTTTGAATGCTTATATTTATACGTTCCGAACTTCGTGCAATTTTTTTGACAAAACCCTCAATTATTTATCTAATTTTGAAAAGGTCTGGAAAATTGTTTGCAGAAGAACGGTCAATATGTTCAATTTTGAAGCCTGTTTTTTCAATAGGTTTCTATCAAAATGTTATAAATTTTAAAGCTGGAATTTTTGCGTAGTTCATCTTGTTTTGTCCGTCTGTAATTTGCTAATTTTTTCACAATCTGTCTTCAGATTTGGTAAGCGGTCTAAATGGGGCGTGATGCAAGACGGCATCAACTCAGCCATACGATACTATAAGAACAATTTTTCGGATGGCTTTCGACAGGTATGGCATTTTCAAATAATTTGTACGCCTAGCTACATTGTTGTTGTTGTCTTTTGCTGGAGGATGGAGTTCTTTCTTTCGCTTAAGCATGGTTCATTTCAACTTCATTGGAATTTCCGTCTAAGAGATCTCCAATCATTCACGGAAGAATACAGGTGTTTTTGTTTCAATCAGGAGGATACCATCAGTGCATTTTATTTACAATTTCTAAAGAAACCCAAATCTTACAAATATATAAATCAGTTAAAAAGTTTTTAAAGTATGTTTATTTGATGATTCTTGACGATTTTCACCGCAGGACGCCATTGATCTCTTTCTTGGCAACTATATCGTTAACCCAGGACAAAGAGTATCGCCATTCTTCGAGAAAAGAGATTGGAAATTTCTTGCAGTAAGTTGTTTGTAACCAAACCTTGTTGTAACGTATCTATGCACTAAGAATGGTTTGTTTTGTATTGCTAATGACGTGTTTGCATGCAGCTACAAAACAACCTGTCTGCTAAATTTATAGTTTCCGTGGTAGCTCTTCCTTCCATATAATATCTTAGATTTACACCACCACTTTAAGTTTCTCGACACCACTCTCCTTGGTAGTGATGAAAACCCTTATCAGGTTTATGTTTAAACAACAAGACAGCCATGAAGCCATAATTCTTCTCATTTTATTTCAGCTACCAGTGATTTTACTAATTGGCATTTCAATGCTTCTGATCAGTCTACTGATACCGTCAAGTGAGTATTTCTTTGGCATATATTTCGTTTTAAAGAAGCTCTATACGTGGTTTGCAACAAAGCCTCTTACTTTGTAGCTTGTCCTCCTTATGATCGATATGGTCTTTTTGCTTGGTCATTCAATATATTAAAGAGAACTTTTTTTCTCTAAACTGTATTTTTATTTCCGGCCTGGTATTTAACCTTTAAAAACCGTTTAAAAATTTCATTTCCAAGAATTCGTATCTGGCGTTAAGGTAACCTTTCTTCCGCATTTCTTCCAGCCGACTTCAACCTGCAGCTGGCGTACGTGTTGTTCTGGGGAGTCTCCTGCCTGGTAACGCTGTATTTCGTCATCGCTTTTGGAAAAGAGTTTGTCGATCAGCCAAGACTCACCCAAAAGATGAAGGAAATCGTCACATAAGTTGACTGCAATAAGCAATTAGTTAACTAGGGGGAAACAAACAGAAAATCATTTGGGAAGGGTCGAATATTTTTTTCTATCTTAGGGTGAATTATTGTTGAATGCGTGAAAAATGAAGTTCCAAAGACAATATTATTTAATTACCATGACTTGATTTGTAGTTTTTAATGGAAGAATTACTTAAAACTCTTGATCCGATGCTACCAGGACTGTATTTGTAGTAAAATATTTTATTATTGTTCAATTTTATTGTGATTGGTTCTTGTCATTTTGTTTTGATAGTTCTAAGTCTGATCTAAGCCTTTTAAGCGGAACATCATTTAACTTAGATTTAAAAGATAAATTGTTCAATCTGAATTCAATCCTGATTTCGGAATCGCTGTACTGCGTTCCAGTTTTTGCCGCTTAAATGTTGGACTAGGCATTAAATGCAGCGAAGGATTGATGACGTAATTTGAAGCCTAGAGACGCATGGTTTTGTTCCCGCGAACAACCTCAAAGTTGTAGTTGACTTATCTTTCGATTAAATTTGTTCTGGTTTAGTAACAATATCAAGAAAGTAATCAAGCTAAATGAAACATGTATATTTTTGTATATATTATAAAGAATTGTTTCATAAGGTCCAAATCGCTCTACGCCTGTCGCTTTCAGCAAAGTATGATACCGTGAGTGCTGGCTATTAGGGCTAGGAGTATATACTGGGATGATCACCCATGTTTTCTGGTTGTGTCAAATGGAACAACCTCTCGCCATACACGTTTAATTTGCCTGATCCACGCTCGCCTTGGCTCTGTCATTCATCAGACCCGCTATTATGGCCCATTATTGCATTTCATGTTTATCTAATCAGCATCTGCTGACGTCACTAGGAGTATGCTTTTTTTCTTTTGGTAGGTTCAAATTTACTATTAGAAACGATTTAGTTTATGAATTAATTGGGAACTTTCATATTGGTGTCTAGTGAAAAACGTAGCCTTTTAAGATATCAAGATGCTTGTGAAAAAATTGTCAGTAAGTGTCATGACTTTCGATTTGTGATGGAGTTGAATTTGAGTTTTAATTATGTTGTTTATTTTTATGTAGATGTATGCTAAAAACATGGAGACAATGGTATAGACTAAAGAGTCCATAAACTAATTACGAAATTTTTTCAGAAGGAAGGTTTTAACCTACATATGCTATCAACTCAATAAAGGCGCCTTCAATGAGACTCTCTTTAAGAATGCAAACCTTGATTCAAGAATATTAGGCTAGCCGAAGCTGTATCTTCCTTTTTCTCCAAAGAAGTAGCCTCGACGTTGTCAGTCAGTTAGGCACTTACATTTCTAGTGCATGTATAATACCATTGTTTGAAGGAGCGCCCAAAAAGGTTTCCTATTGGAGTTAAATAGTGTGAAATGTATCTTTTGAATACAGTAAAACTTCTCTGATGTTTCTTAACTGATTCGATACGAGTTAAGCACGTTTATAGACCTTTAATTTCTTTTAAAAGCTTAAACATTTTTCTATTTTCAAATTATTCAATTCTTACAGGCCAAAGGACATAACAAATTCAGATTTCCGACAGTCAAGTTTTGCACAAAGTGTTAAATTTAATAAACGAAAATAAACTACAGCAAATAAATAAGAGTTGATTTATGTGCATTAAATACTTTGCATAGCGTCGGAAACAAAAACCGGAAATGGGATGTTTGCATGGATGTCATTACGTTGTTAAGCTCACTAAACCTTGAAACATAAACATAAAAAATAAATGTGTTGTTAAGATCGACTTGTACTTTGTTTCTTTTCTTGAAAAAGGGGAACTTGAAAAACTTTGTCTGTAACGGCTACCTCAGATAAATTATTAGTCCCCCCTTTCATCTATGCCATTTTTCATCTTAAGCTTGCAAATTGGTTAGCGTCCAGGAGGCTGCTGTTGTAGCAAATTTGGTCACCGAAGTTCATGCTTAGTGGGCGTGACGTGACATTTTAGTAATGAAAACGAGGTTGCTGACACAAGATTACACCTCAAGAAAGCCAAGAGAGAAAGAGACGCAAATTGAGAAGTAGAGAAAACAAAGTCAACATTGCACATTGCAGATCTTCCACAATGGCAACTAGTCTGACAAATTTACCTGAATGGAAAGCCTTGCAAAAGCACCAAGAAATTTCAAAATCGTGGCACATGAGGGAACTTTTCAAAGCTGACCCTGCAAGATTTGACAAATTCAAGTATAAAACCCTGTTCATGTTTTTACAACATTCAATTCTATAAAAGATACTTCAATTTTTTGCTTTTTTGGTTAAATTTATTTTCATTTCCTTTATGCTGGTGTATCCACACACACGGTGCAATGCCAACTTTATAACACCTAAGAGCAAGATGTTAATGTTTCGAAAGTGGGCTTGCAAGTTGCAGGGAGGCTGCAGATCTACACGGTGAAGGCAATAAAAGTTGCATCTTGAATGGAAAGCAATTGGAAAAATTCATAGCTAGAAATGCCTTTGGCTGTAATGAGGTCATTCGAAAAGCTAGAATCTTGGGTAACTTTGCTTCCCGTTGTAAAGATTCCAACATCCTTAGTGATGTTAGCATGTGCACTGTTGCACGAACCAGGTTTTCAGAACAAGGAAACAATCATTACTTTCCGGTTTATTTTCACATATGAATGTTAGGCTATGCAGCTCATAAGACAACATCCTTGAGTAGTTTATGTGTTGTTCAGGCACTGCATTCATTTCTAGCTATTTTGTCAAATGAACTGTTTCTAAGCCTGGAGATCTGCCAAAAGCACACAAAGTCACAATCTGCAGACTAGTGTGATAAATAATTTACATGAGCTAAACTGCCTTAATGACACCTAGGATCCTATAACAAGTCATTTAATGTGTACATATGTCATTGCTTGTTTTTGCCACAACAAAGCTCTATTATGTGGATTTTTACCATCACCTTCAAACTGATATTCCTAAAGATAAATATTGTGTTGACTAATGATTTGAAATGTTTTTGTACACAATCGTTTTTATGAAACATTTTTGATGATTCTTTTTGTAGATTTAAGAGAGCAATCTTAATTATGCTAATGTCAATTTGTTTTCACTTATTGTAGATTGTGCCTGGAGTCAGATGGCTCATCAAAACTCCTTCTTGATTACTCCAAAAACATAATCAATGAAGAAACATTGAAACTGCTACAAAACCTCGTGAGATAATCTTATACTATGCATCTATGTCAAAAAGATCTTATTGCTTATAGAAAAAATTTCACAGAAATGATTATTTTTTCTTTCACCAACTTATTGTGTGTTTTACAATATATAATCTTGTCTTGTTCACTATATGTATAAAAAATATAACTTATATATAAATATAAGCACATCATATAAACCCCATTTTAAAAATCAATTGAAAATATAATATGATAATGAAATTTAACATCTCTAATAATGTCTGATAATTTTATTTGATATTGCATTTGCATTTGAAAAAGTGAGTTTTTCCAACTTGACCTCCTATCAGAGTGCTTATTTATTCACTTTATTTGACTAATTGAAATGTCATTTATAACAAACACAATTTCAACACTTTAAATAAAGTGTTCATCCATTAAAACTAAAATTTAGTTGGTAATAATGTTAAGAATTTCTGTTTTTGAAGTAAAAACATTATGTTACCTAATGATTCTACTACTTCATAATTTTCAAAAAGATAATATCAATTTAATGTTTATTACAGGCAACTGCATGCAATGTTGAGCAAATGAGAGACAGGATGTTTTCTGGTGATAAAATTAACTTCACTGAGGTAAGAGATTTGGTTCCAAACTTGATGATAAAAATAAAAGCTTAATCAGAAATATATGAGTCTACTTTTTCAAATTTTTCACAGCCCAATTACTGTGAAATGCTCTGTATTAGGCTTTTTTCCATAATTTTTTCGTATTAAAGCCAGTAGAAGGATGTTTTTGATTCTTTTCTTTTCTTTTGATCCTAGCTTTTCTGGGATTCCTTTTAAACCGAGTCACAATTTTTGCTTATTGCAGACTTTGTGTAATTTGCAGAAGTTAATCTTATGGCTTATTTTAACATTTTTTTCAGGACAGAGCTGTTTTACATATTGCATTGAGAAATAGGTCTAATGCTTCTATTATAGTGGATGGAAAGGATGTGAGTTTTACATTACTTTTTCCTTCATATGTGTTACTATCCAAATCTAATGATAAGGTAATAATAAGCCATTTTTCCCAGTTGTCTGATTTCTTTTCCTTCACGGTCTGTGTCATTTCTTTCTAGAATCTATCTTGATAGCAGCTAAAAAAAATTGATTTGAAGTTGTTATGTTTCACATTTGTTTGACTCAGGTATACAAAACCTGTACGTGTGGTACATTCGTTAAATGTTCTTGTCTCCTATGCATATGGGTGTTAAACTTTACCGTACCCATGAACCCTATCATCAATCATATTGTGAAACTTGAGGGAGGAAAGAATGTGTTTAAAGTGAAGAGACTGTTGCAAAGAATATAGATCTTTGCTTCATTAAGTAACAAGTGAAAATAAAGATATTGCTGTATATGTCTCGAAAATTTTCCCAGAAAGAAATCAAATGTTTCATCAAACCAGGGGATTTTCAGTCATTTTAATGTATTTCCTTTGCTCACTTTGCAAATGTGTCCATACCATTAATCAAATTTCCCTTTAAAATATTGTGATTGTTTTTTGCCTTTCTTGAAGGTAATGCCTGAAGTGAACAAAGTCCTTGCACAAATGAAAGAATTTTCTGATGTATGTAATAACTTATTCATCAATAACTTGAAAGTTAATTTTATTTGCCATTATTTTATCTATCCCAGTTTTATTTATACCAAGTAGTATTCTTTGATACTTTTTACCTTGCCAGTGGATACATAGCTTGATAATTTGAGGTTTTAATAAAAGTGTTTGATACCAATGAAACCATTGATATCAAATTTCATTGATTTTGCAGGCTGTAAGGAATGGAGCATGGAAAGGTGTGTTTTTAGTTGTTATTTAGTTGTGTTTTCACTTTTATAGACTATGTGTTTTCACTTTTATAGAATTAAAAGAAAAATTTATTATATTAAAATGCCCAGAATGAAAATCATTTGTTTTGTAGAGTGGTAGAATGATGGAAGGCACCAATTTCCTGGGGATGGTGGAATTAGCCTAGCATCAAACTCAAAAACAGTGATTTCTCAGATGAAATGCTCTGTCTTTTTCTTTCTGTCCTACTGATCCAATTTTCCCTAAGCCTTAAGGAAAACTTGAACATGTCGAAACTCCAAAAGACAGATGTCTTGGGCAACTTGTTTGACTATTTCTTTCTTCTGTCCAACCAGTTTGCCTTAATGTTGGCAGGCTAGTATTTCAGCGTTTCACAAGGACACTTCACAACTTCTTGCTGTTTGCTAAGATAATTTATTGTGTTTCTGTGTTTTTGACTCACCAGACATGCAAAATGAATGCTGGATGGGCTTGCAAATGGGCTTTACAGGAACCAAGAAACTTTCTCATTCGAATCTATTCTTTTGAAATTTGATATTTGATACTTAAGAAGTTTAAGTTTATATTATAACAATGAAAAAGCGTTAAAAGTTCTGCTGAAAAGGCCAAATCTAAATAGTAGGCCAAGAGAAATTGTGCAGGCTATTGAACTCAGAAAAATTCCAAATTGTAAAATTTGGCCTGAAAAAGGCAAGCATATTCACAATGCAGAATAATCAACCATATTTTTGCTTGATATATTCAATATTATAGAATCCTGCTTGGCCATGGTACCTGATACCTTATACATAATGAAATCAATTTTCAGTTTCCTTTTTCTTGAAATTGATTTTTTGTTATCTGTCAAATGCTTAATTGAACACAGAAGTTTGACGGGGTATGATTTTGCTTTAAAGGCTCTTACGCAACCCGTATGCTTTGTGACTACAATTCAAAGAACCAGCCAAATATTGTACTGCATGAAAAAACAAAACACAATCAATTTCTCAAGAAAACTGCCACTAAGCATGACAGTTGCACAAGAGCCTTTAAATAAATACCTAAACGTTAATGCAAATTATTTAAACCATCAAACCGTAAGCTAAAGCTGCTTCTGTTTGCATCACAATGTTGATTTAAAATATTTTTGTTTGTACAAAGGGTATACTGAAAAAGCTATCACAGATGTTGTTAATATTGGCATTGGTGGCTCTGACCTGGTAATGTATCCTTATTTTTTTATTCTTAAACGATGGTGATAATTAGATTTAAAGTTTTTTATAGAGTTATTTTGTGGCTTAGTTTTTTTCTTTTCCAATTAAACAGGCCACAAACTTTTTCTTTGTACCAGTGCTATTAAAAAAAACTTTGTATGCCTAACCAAAAAAGAACTATTCTACGAGCAACAAGCTCATTGGGTTTCAGAATTTTCTTAAAAATCTTTTAAGCTGGTGGTTTTTTAGGATGAAGAAAGGATAGCAACACTTGCCTATTCTACTGAAAATGATAAAATTTGGTCCAGTTTCTCTAGATTTACAATGACTCGGTAATATTTCCTTGTGAAAGTCAGATTCAAGCCATCACGGAAATCCCTTCTATCCATTCAAAAGGATTGCGCTCCTACCACCCAAAAGAGTTCCGTTATCTAAGAGTTTTCGTGCCAGTGTGATTCTGGCTATGTAGAATGCACAAGCCAAAGATTGGGGGATATAATAACATAAATTTGGCAGGTCCCTCTCAACATAAGAAACAAAACTTCTAACTAGTAATATGTAATTGCAATTAATAATTGGATAGTACAAAAAAGAAACGCCTGCTGTAGCTAGTATTTTAGAAGCATTGAGCAAAAATGTTTATATTTCTTATATTGCAGGGGCCATATATGGTGACAGAAGCATTGAAGCCTTACGGAAAGGCCAATTTGAATGTGCACTTTGTTTCCAATATCGACGGCACTCATTTGGCTAAAGCTTTGGCGCATTGTAACCCAGAGACTACACTTTTCATAATTGCATCTAAGGTTTGTATAAGGTGTTCCGTTGAATTGTGATAAGCAAAACTGTGATAAATATAGTACTTGGGGCGCTAGTTTTTTCACTTTGTTCTTATTTGATGCATCATCTATAAAACAGCAGGATATGTCATAAAAACTCGAATTCCAATTCTTCTCGCGCGAAGTGGGCAACCAGCAGGTTGATCAATTTGAAGTTTGACTAAAAAAACTTATACGCATGAAAGAAAGAGCCTAGGAAGAACACATTTTTATTTTCACATGCACCTTTGTCGTTTCTTTTGTCTGTTAAACAGGAGAGCAAAATATGACATTGGTGCACTTACATTGAACAATTATTGTAGTAGAAAACTTTTTATGCATTGAATTTTGGAAGACTTGTTTTTTAATTTTTTTCCTCTTTAAATACGATCGACGCAATGTCCCACAAGATTTTCATAAGATATTGTTTATGTTTGGAAATGTGACAGGTATGCCAATCAATTGAAAAAGATAGATCTTGAAAACTTTGTAGGCCTTGAAATGCAAACTGTTAGTTTTCAATAAACCTAACAAAAAGCTTATAAACTTTCATCAAAAACTGTGTGACATTAAAAATCATATAAAATTTCTTCAAAAAGGCATTCTCAAATCAGATTGTGTAATCAAAATTTAACATGAAAGCAGAGGTACATTTACTCGCACATAAATATAACCTTAGAGGATCTAATCTTTATATTTTTCCTTTTTCAGACGTTTACAACGATAGAAACCATAACAAACGCAAACTCTGCAAAGGATTGGCTTTTGAAGAAGGCAGTTGATGTAAGTTGTAGCGTCAATATATCTCTATCTCTTCAATATCTCTTCTTTCAAACTAACATAAGACATTGTATTGTATATTGGACATGCTTATAATCACTTAATTTCTATCTCATTTTGATGGTTTTAAATATTATACCATTCCTACATGCTATTTTTGTTGTTCTTAGACTGTTTTATCAACACATCTCGAACTTTTTGCTGCCTATAAAAGCTGAAAGAAATGGATCGGGAGGTGTATATGCAGTGTTGCCTTTGAACCCCATAGAACTTCTTTTTTTAATACAGATTAGTTTGCAGCTCGTTATATAATGAAGGATAATTCTTTTGTAGAAATCTGCCGTTGCAAAACATTTTGTTGCGTTGTCAACTAATGAGGTTTGTACATGATTTGCTAAAACCGATCTAATTTCAATGTTGAGTTATTAAAATCGGTAATCTAGGAGATATTTTTCTAAACTGATTTTTGCATCTACAGATATATTTAATGGCATTGATTTTCTGGTAACGTTTAGGTTGGCAAAGTACTGTTTTTGAAGCTAAATTTGTTTTCAAGGGATCGTTGAGTATTGTCCTTGATTCTTTTTCTCTCTTTGATTTGCCTTTTTCCATGCATTATTTTGTAATAGGTCCAACGATATATTGTTCATTACAGAAGCTAGTTATTCCACAATTCATGTTCAGTTATCGCATTATTTCTGTATCTACCATTCTCTCCTTTTAGACAAAGGTACAAGAGTTTGGTATTGACAAGAAGAACATGTTTGCTTTCTGGGACGTAAGTATTATCACCAAAATCAAACCAAATTTTAAGAAAAAATCAATTTTTTGTTGAGAATTGTCATCAATATCAACACTTTTAATGTGTGTTTTATTTTCTTCATTCTCCTTTGAATCAGATTTTTGTATCCATCTTGTACTCAAAATTCTTTGTTTTCACGAAGCAGTGAACTTCAATCTTTTGCAGTGGGTTGGTGGAAGATATTCTCTTTGGTCAGCCATTGGCTTGTCGATTGCTGTGTATATTGGTTAGTTCTAGGCAGACTTTTTATGCCTGATTCTCGAACATTAGTTCATTATTACCAAGTTGACAACAACATATATGATTTTTACAAGATACCTTGGTTTTTTTCTAAAGTAAATTTCTTTATTTATTGCACCCTTTTACTGCCGTACGATAACATTATTGTCTGTACTGTATAGACCCTACGGCAAATGCTACGCCTAGATGAACAAAGTTTTAGGACGATTGGCTAAAAATGTTAGTGACCGTATGCTTCAAGAACAGCAAATAAAACCAGTGAAGCATAGCCCGATTGAGTGTTGATTTTTTCGATTGTTATTTGACCCAACTGGAACAATAAACATAAATAAAATAAATTAGAACAGTATCAACTTTTTTCGAGCAAGTACAGCTTGTATCATTTAATATTTTGTCGGATGGCATCCAGATTTTTATACAGCCGCCATTTCCCATAGAATGGATTTAAATTATTTTGCAACAAAATATCTTTGAAATCAAAACGAAATCTCAAACAAATTTTTGCGGAGGTCATTTTTGTACTTAGAGGATTGCAGCTCCTAGATATTTCACGAAAACGCTGTCAATAACATTTACATTACTTTGAGGGGGCTGTAGAAAGATAACGATAGCATTGTTTTAAATTTGATTTGTCACAGTTGAAACATAACTAGGTATATTTTCTTGCTCAAAAGTAAAGTTTTTTCACCCAGCCAGTATTTGTTCTGCATATGCCTGGTGCCGCTCCACCAATATTTAGACAAAATATTCAACATTGTTCCGGCATTGCCTTGGTCCAAGAAGGGTGGTCCATTTTTTGGGAAACATTTGCTTTTCGGTCTTGTCTACAGCTCTTAGTAACATCATTTTAAGGTCTGCAAGATACAAAGCATTTTGATGGTTTTTTGTTTGGAAGGACTGATTCAAGTTTGGGTTGAGCTCAACCTAAGTTGCGTGATTTTGCTTCTTTAATTCTTTGCTTATGATTCTTTTCCACATCAAATGTTTTTCTTTGTCTTTCTGTTCTCATTTTGATTTTAGTTGGATAGTTGTTTTCCATGTTTGATTTAAGTTGCTTTCTTCTTCGTCCAATAAATGCCGTGACATTTTTTGTATTTATATAACAGAAAAATAGAAACCATATTAAATTTGCTAGGAGTTGCAATTTTTCTTTCGCCATTTCTATCATCTCGCCACAACAGGCATTTTTCAATTAATGTTAGAATACTAGTTCGGAGCTATCATTTTGTTATTCATTGTTCTCACATGTTTGGCACGAAAGTGTATATTATTTAGATGTTTTTGCATTTTCGTTTTTACACTCTTTAATTACTTTGGCAATTGTGAAACCTCCTAAATTATTTCAAGGGATGGAAAATTTTGAAGCATTGCTTTCTGGAGCTCACTTCATGGTAATATGCCCTTTTTATTTAAATGTATATATGTTCTTTTTATTTAGGTATATATTATTATTTTTTAACAAAAGTTGCCTGATGATCGCATTTCTAGGAGTAGAAACTTAGAACCGCCCTGTGTTTTACAGCACATAGTGTGTACAGCTTGCCTATTCGGCATCGGGCACTTTATGACAGCATTTTTCAAAATAATATATATTGTGTTCTTTCTGACCTGCATGCGTAAAATGTATATATTCTATGCTTAAACAAATTGCAATTCAAGGGATCATGCTTTTTTACTTAAATAGGTCAGTGGGTTTAATAGTTTTGCGACAAATCTCAGAATAATGTCTCTGCATGCAGCAATAACCTTCCTTTCTGTTGAGTTACCTTTTAAGTTTATTGATAACTTGTTATTCTTTCAATAGGACAATCATTTCAAGACAGCACCGATTCAGTCTAACGTAAGACATTTCAGTGCTTAATTTTCCTGTATACGTGCTAAATTGTGTCCTGATAAATTTGCCAAAATTTGCATTTACATCAATATATGATAATACCGATGCTTTAGGCTTTTGATCCAGATAAAAGGTTGGCAGATATATCGCATTTACTGGGTGCCGTACATCTTTTGATACGGATAGACTTCCCGTTTGCACAAGTTCGGATACAGCAGATTTTTCTCAATGAACAGCTTAAGTTCAAGACAACTGTTGAAAATCTCTTTACACATTCGTAAGTGCTCGATCTATTCATCTGGCACTACAATATCATTGATAAAATTATCCTACCAAGTGCTTGTTCTGCCAGACCTTTGCAGAAATTTGCTTTTAATCCCATATGCTTTTTTGAGAATTTTGCTGATTTACTTGATCCTTGAAGTGCCCTAATTATCAACAGATAATAATATGATATCGAGCGAGATGACTTAGAGTTAAATTTAATCGTTTTATTGACATATTTTGTGTATGGAATTTTTTGTCTTAAGTGTATTTTTTTAAATCTTATTATTTTCTCTACGTTTTCTCATTAGATTCCAATTACACTTGCTCTTCTTGGTATATGGTACAACAACTTCTTTGGAGCGCAAACACATGCCATCCTGCCATATGATCAAGTAAATAATATTGCTAGAATGAGCTGTTTTGCAATTCTCATTTCCTTTTTTACCAAGATATTTACAAGTATAAAACGAAAGTGAAACGTCTAACAGTTAAGACAAGAGAACTTGTTGTAAGCTAGCAATGTCATTTATGTCCAATTTAATAGAAAAATTATTTTTACACGAGTCTTTGCTGACTTTCTTTTTAATGACCTTTGCATATTCTATGGTGACTGTGTTGTCAAAATATTTAGTGTAAGTGTCCAATGACTAAACATGCGATCGACCGTTACAATTTTGTTTTGCTTGTTCACCGCTATGCCTTTACGAAAGATTAGATACGCCGAAATTAAAAATTTTTCAAACCTGCTTGTATTGATAACAAATTTTTTTGTCTCTGGTAAATATTTGTTTTATTTCTTTTCTAGTACATGCATCGATTCCCAGCCTATTTCCAACAGGTATTGTTTTTATTTTTCCTTTATGTCTTCGTTTTATTGCATATTTGAATTCTTGTTTCAACTGCTACAAATAATGGATGTAAACCTATGAAAAGAACTAGCGATGTAGACAGTTTACACATTTCAAACTAAATTTCAAAGCTACACAGAGAATCTGAACAGTCTCATCATCATTTTGCTCTGTATTTGTTATCTCTTCTTATAAATCTTTTATAAGAAATATTTAGAATCAAAAGTATCAAAGAGAAGCCATGAAATAGTACCAAGCAGTCATCTTTCAAGTTTGAACCTTATATGACGAAAACTGCTGTCAAATAAGTCGAGCACAATTGCATAATTGAAATACATATTTCAAGATATTGTCTTTCTATGGTACAGATTTTGCTTTGTTAATCTATTATGGACAGTTTGTTTGCATTGTATTCTGTAAGCATTAAGCTGTCTTTAAAAAGTGTCAATATTTATATAGCATTTGTTGCAGTGATGTTAATGGTACACATTCACATAGGTTCACTTGCAAGCATTCCTTTCAATGCAAGGAATTCCTTCCACTACCAGACATTTGTGGCAATTTGCTGTATCGATATTTTGAACTAAGTATGACTTTGTATTCAATGTTACTTTATTTGCAAGGGTGACATGGAATCAAATGGCAAATTTGTAGCAAGGAATGGAGAGGTCGTAAATTATTCAACTGGTCCAATCATCTGGGGGGAACCAGGAACAAATGGACAGCATGCTTTCTACCAACTAATTCATCAAGGTAAACTGCATTTTTCAACTCAGTTAATTACAGTGTAAACAAAATGCCAGTGTTTTTGAAGGGATTTGTGTCGGAGAGGGGGGAAGAAGGAAATAATTTTCTCAGTTTTCAACCCTTGTTCTTATCAAATTGAAAGAATACTGATCTATGATCACTCTTATATTAGGGACTTTGAGAAGGACCTAAAAGAGCACGAATTGTTCGACTGTCAACACTTGCCATTTTCTCGCATTTCTCGCTGATATATTTTGATCCACAAATGAGTACATATATAGATGTCTGAACTTCAAATTTCAATCATTACACTGACGTTATATGCTCTAGTGAGTGTCAGACGAAAGCTTAAGTATGTCTAGATGCTGTTTCAAAACCATTTTTAAATTTTCTACTGTTAAAAAGTATTTGCAAGAATCACAAAGTTAAAGTTCTTTGCTTTTTATAGGAACAAAGATGATTCCAGCAGACTTTCTTATTCCTGTGCATACTCACAATCCAATCGCCAAGGGTATCCACCATGAGGTGAACCTCTAAAGTTACTGGGTACCAGTGAGCCAGGCTGTGGAAACATAAACGTTGACTGAATATACACAAAATATATCTTTTCAGAACATGCTCTTTCTTTGAAAAATATGTGCAGTTCCTTTCTGTTTAGACCTGAAATTTTATTCACGTTAGTAGCTTAATGCCAAATACCTAGAAGGAAGAGGTCACAACAGAAGTGCTTTTGCAATGTGTTAAAGTTACATATTATTTCACAAACCTGAACGATGCTGATAAATCAAGTCACAATGATTGACTCATACTATGATTAACAAAGGCACTCTAGAAATTTTGTTTACCATTTGAAACATTGAATTCTTTTCTAGATATTGCTTTCAAATTGGCTTGCGCAAACAGAAGCACTTATGAAAGGAAAAACAAAAGAGGAAGCGAGAGCTGAGCTAGAGAAATCGGGTCTTAAAGGTGACAAGTTGGAACATATTTTGCCCCACAAGGTTGGTCAATATTATTCTATTGTTTCCGGGCGGGATATTTACATTGACAGCTTTTTCTTCGATTTCTATTTTTACTGCCTATTTTCAGAAGTTTTTCTTTTGACTTTAAATGTCATATTTCATAAAAAGAGTACAAAACAGCATAGAACGCAAACTTGATTAGCTTAGTGCATACAACAAGTCCTTTGTCACTATGATCGACCGTTACGACGAAAATTTGAATATTTTGCTAATAGAAAACGATACAGACGATGTATTACAGTCCAAACGGTATTTCAAATGTAATCTGAAGAAGAGATGAGCAAGAAGACAGAACTGGTGTAAAACCTGGTTGTTTTAATGTTTATTTTTTCCGGATGTTGTAGCTTCATTTAGCGATCAACGGAGGCATTAAGGCAGACAAGTTTAAAAAACAGACTACAGATATTATTTTGTTTATAGTAAGCTTATCATTGTCGGGGGGAATGTGAATTCATTGACAGACAGAGTGCCTAGGGTAATCAGCGAATTATAACGAACAATTCTTCAAATGTTCTGCGTTGCAAAAGAATGGCAAGGACAACTCATCTACCAATGTGGGGTTGAAAATGAAATCAGCATTTACACTTAAGATAAATTTATATAAAAACTCTAGGAAATGGAGCGTGGTAAAAAATTGAAGGCCGACGAGCTCTTGGTGTGGCAACGTATACTAACGTAACAAAGGAACTGATCAGTGAGTGCATGAAAAAGTAATAATCAATTACAAATCGGCTTTTTGAAACTGCGAAATAACAAACAATAAAGACGATGTTGCTGGTAGTGAAGACCAAGAGGGCATAAATCAATGCGTGAAACTAGAGGTGAACAAGGAAATGGGATTGATGGTATGCATGAAGAATGAGGAAAGGAATGTCAAGTCTTTTAAGAAAGATGATTCCTGACAGCCACAAGGACTTTATGATTTTATGAGAATTGTTTTCGATGTTTTCCTTATTGCTTTGGAAAGATTGATCACTCATGTAGACTTTGAACTTGAAGGAATAAATGGGCAGCATCAAAGACTGGGTTCGGATTAAAAATAGACCAGGTTAAGGAATGTTACTTTATTTCAAATTTTCAGTCAATCGCTAGTTCTGATTATTTTTCGTAGTTCATTCAAACTTCTTTGCTTTCATTTGTAAAGGTATTTGAAGGGAACAAACCAACAAATTCCATCATTTTCACCAAATTGACACCATTTATGCTTGGCAGTTTGATTGGTAAGTCATGCAATTATGCCAAGAATTTAGATAAATAATTCGTTTACCAAACACTGGCACATTCATCAGTCTACAATGCATCATCTACATTGAATTGCAACTTGTTTGATCTTTTCAGAGTTGAGTTTGACTAGATAGCAAATTTTACATAAAAAGGCACTTATTTTAAAGTCAAATGACTTTATATGGAGTTTGTTTTGTCTATAGTTCAAGCTGTGCTGGCTGTTTAAAATTATAAATTTTCTGTAGGAAGTTTAATCATAGCAGTAAACCTAATCTTTTCTGCTTGATTTGCAACAAATTGCTGATTTTTTGAAGCTTGATACAAAGTACTTGACTAGAAGGGTGCCCTTGGAAAATAGGCAAAAAATCAAAATACTTCTTTAAATCTGATATCTCATAGGGTTTATTTAATGTCAATATATCTTTGTTGTGTTATGCCAAATAGAAAAATAATAGAGCCTTGATTTTTTGTATAGTTTTTTTGTATACAGTGTAAACACATTTGATGACTATAGGCCCAGAGGATTGCCAGTAACCTTCTTGCAACTTTAACCCATCAAAGGTTACACTACTTAAACTTGTTTTTGACCCACAGAAAAACTTCCTTTTTAAAATTGGAATTTGTCTTTTCTAGCCATGTATGAGCACAAGATCTTTACTCAAGGTGTCATTTGGAATATAAATTCTTATGATCAGTGGGGGTAGGTAGATGAAACTTTTCAATTTTCGAATAATTATTCATGAATACAATGTACACTACTTATTACAACTTATGATAACTATTTCAACTATTTTACCAACTGTGACTACTTGTGGCATTTCACAAGGTATGAAGAATTTTCTAATTATTTGCAGTGTTGAGCTTGGGAAGCAACTTGCAAAAGCTGTACAAGAAGATTTAAAAGATAGTTCAAAAGTGACATCCCATGATGCATCAACAAATGGATTGATTAACTTCATCAAGTGTCATAGAGGATGAACACATGGATATATCAAGTTGCTTTTAAGTCTTATTTATATCAGCTTGGCTCCATAATATATTTTTCATTAAACACTTGCACAATTAAAATGCACAAACATTAATTGCAAATGTAGCAAAAAGAAATGCTTGTATTTTTACATCATATTTTTATTTCAATTTGATTTCTCTTGCAATGACTTTCATCAGAGATGATACTTACTGTTTTTTTTGTGTTAGACTCTAATTGGCGAAATATATTAAAACGTATAAAGGGGGCAGCCCTAGATCATATTCATCTGAGGAGGTCAGTAACAATGGAGAGGGACAGCAAATCATCATGTAAATGTTAATGGATTGGGACATTTGAAAGCAAAATGTTTCACTAAAAACAGTATTTTGCTTAAAACACAAAAGAAGACATCATAACACTTGTAACTTCTAACATGCACATGGAAACATCTTAATATTGTGCAAATTGAATCTTTAGTTGTACATCCTTTATTTTTCCCTCAGCAATAATGGGTTTATTCATGCAGTCAGTGTACAAGGGGAGTTTTAATTGTCAGAATAGCTCAAGAAAATAAAAGACTTGACGCTAGTCTTCATCAGATACCTCTGTCACTTCAATGCACAAATTAAGTTGCTCTTTAGTAAGTCCTAAATGGTTCTTTTTCTGTTGCAACTTTTGTCTAAGATCTGGCATGTTTTTCTCTGTTGAGTTACTGTTGTCAATCTTTGCCCTTAGATCCCGAGAAGCAATTTCCTCCCTCAGATCGTCACTGTTGTCACTGTTGTTTCTTAAGTCTTCTTTTTGGCTTTTCTCCCTTTCAGTGGAATCAGGAAGAACAACTTCTGTGTCTGAATCAAGTTCTTCATCATCACTTTCATCTTCACTGTTTGAACCATCCCTTTTGTGCTGATTTCTCCTTCCGGATGTCCATTTTGATGAGCTTTCTTTGAAGTTCCTAACTTCTATTTTAAGATTTTCTTCTCTTCCAAATTTTGGCAAACCACCCTGATTTGCATTTCTTGTTCCAATTCTATCAGCATACATTCCTCCTTGAGAAGATTTATCTGCAATACTTCTTGGCGCTTTCAATGGTATAAAGTCGAGCTCCTCATCCACATCCATGACTTCATCATCTGGTTCCAAATTACTTGCTGTATTTTTATCACCTAAAGACATAAACTGAACATCAGGCTTTTTAGAGTTAAGATTTTCTTTAACAAACTCATTTGCTTGCTGCATTTTCCTTTTTCTTGATGAACTTATAAGTCCTGGTTTTCCTGCTGACTGCCTGCCATTCCCATGGGCAAGATAGTATAAACTTCTCTTTGCTGCCCCAGGCAACTTTTTGTCTTCCACAGTAGATGTTCTTAAAAATAAACAGTCAGACTTTTTGTATGGTCGTGCTATTCTCCAAATTTTTGCAGCCTCTTCATTTCTTTCATCATCTTCAATGCCTCCAATGAATTCTTTAAGCTCATCATAAGACCTACTCATGTCATTCATAGCTGTTTGTGCCATTTTCTCTGTTTCCCACACAACATTACACGAGTCATCATCAATCCACTCCATGGTATCAGGGCCGTGACTTTTAAAATAGTGAAACACATCTTTAGTGCTCATCTTACCGACACCATAAAGGAGCAAGGACTCTGGCCGACTTTCAGCATTTGCCGCATCTGTAACTGGAGGAAATTCGATTCTATTAAGTTCTATATTCTTAAAAGGATCTTTTGTTTCCACATCTTCACCCTCAGTAGACTTCACCCCGAAACGTTTTGCCCTTCTTTCTTTCCGTGAAACAGCTTCTTTCGAATGCAAATCTAACCCAACAACAAAACCTTTTGATTGATTGTGATATACTTTCTCCCACTTTGGATCTAAAACCTGTTCTTTGCTACGATCGTTTTCGTCATCCAAAGGAACTTCAACTTGCAGGTTCTCGAACTCCATTTTTAAGTAAGACTTTCTTTGTTTTTAAATAACACTTGCCAGCATCCAGTTTGAAATCTCAAAAAGAGTAGTTGTTGTTATCATGTTGTCTCTGCCTCGTTTTGCGTTATGTTGCTGCTGTTGTTCGAAAAAGCAATTTGATGGCCTAGTTCTACTGACGAGAGTGAATCACTGATCAGCACAGTGAACCAGCGCCAGAAAAGAGCAAAAGCATAAGAATTTTTGAAAGGATTACTGAAAGCGATATAAAATGCCTTACGCAAGTCAACCACGTGTCAAAATCTCTGAATTAACAGGCGAAAACATAAAGTTCTCTATAGAGAACACAGACCTGGCGTAAGTTGACTTCAAAACTTTATTGGTGATATTTGATAAAGGTGATAGAAGATGTAAGAGAAACCCTTTAGTATCAATCTGGATACTTTTTTTGAAGAAGAATTAACAACTTTTTTAGTTGTTTGATATAACGAAGTCCTATTTCATATGCTAGGAACATGATGACACGACAGATGATATATACAGTAAGCCCTAATGTTTATGGAAAGTGCTACTGACATGATCATGTGACATATGTAATATTTTGTTTTCAATGGAAGTGACTGAGCCCAGAGAAGCAGACAGCAATAATTGTTTTTTGAATCATTTCAAATGTATCATAGGTTACTTGGTAATCTTTGACTCTGTTTTCTTTACTGAAATCCAAGTCTGCTGTTCCATGTTGGATATTCAAGTCATATTTTGATGCTTTGTTTCCTCTGATGGGTCTGACATGAGAATTTATTGTAGTGCTGCCTCTAAAACAGGCCACGCAGCAGTGACAGTGTTCATTTTCCATTCTGAATACCTGGAACAATCTAATCATCTTTAAAGGCTTATTACACATATTTCAGAATAAAAATGAGTCATACGCTTGGCATACTGCATCCTGGTGCCTTGCAAACTTTCTTTCTAAGACAACAGCAAGGAAATGGTTACTGTTTCTGTTTTTGGAACTGATAGTTGATCTTCATATTTGAAAAATATAAAGGCAGAATAAAGAGTTTTCAATATATAACAGTTTTCTAGATTTAGAAGTGAAGGTGACAATTTCAATTTTTCTTTGATTTGATTTATGTGTGGATAAAAAGTTTGTTTTGAAAATGACTTAGCAGTATCAATCTGGGAGATCAGTATGAAATGTAAAACTAGCTAGGTACAAAACAAAGATCAAGCAAAGCTTAGTTATAATGACAAAATTGAATTAAGTAATTTACTGAAATGAGTTACTGTCTATAAGTTGAGCATCTTCCTAAGCATAAACTCTAAAAAACAGAAAATAGAAAACAAATCCATACACCATGCCTGACCATGTAATTATATTAAAACAGAAAGAACACTTTCAAAACAAAAACATCGTGCAAAAGGACTATACAATTAAAGAAAACAATGACACAGGACAAACAAGTGACATATTTGACTGGGTAAATACAGTGATACGCATTAAATAAAAGTAATGTCACATTCATCTCTTTCACCATGCATTCTCTGTATGCAGATTAGACAAGTAATAATGTTGAGAATGAATTCAAATTAAAGTAATATCCTTTATTTCAGAATGGCAAATAGTTTACGGAGAATATTTATTTCAGAAGTCCCAACCATTGGTATGCTCAAATTATATGCATTTGTGATTGATTTTGTTTGTTTTCTCAAGATTCTTCAAAGTCACATTAACTTTTAGCTTTTTTAGGCTTTTTGTGAAACAAATTTCCGATTCCCAAAATGGAACTATGTTTAGACTTCGCATAATTTGCAATTTCACATCATCTTCTGAGTGTCTTTTCTGATAATAAAACATCATTTGATTTTGCAGCCATTGATTGGATTCAAATAGAGAACAACACCTCAGTACTTCATGATGAATTCATTGCACATAGAATTGGTATGTTCTTCTCTCAAAGCAACCAAAGAATTATATTAAATGATAGGGTGCACTAGCCATTTTGGTCTTATTAAAACTCTTTTTTCTATTATGTATGATTCAGGGTGATAGGAATATTGAAAGAGGAAGGATAAATCAAATATTTTGCCTTTTTATCATTTTCATTCTTATATGTTGCCTGATCAGGAGTTAATCTTGTCTAAAGTTTAAAGTTTAATAGAAATAGATTGGAATTCTAATACTTGTCTACTATACTAGCCATAAAGTGCACTTTATCTTTATCTTTAAAAAATCATGTTCAAGGCACGATAAAGGATTTGGTTAAAGGACTGTTGAGCATATTTCATAAAAAGGGGGCCAAATAATTTTTTTGGGGGGGGGCTAAACATTCTTAAAACCGAGAAGGTGATTTTTTGCATGGTTTTAGTTATATTGTGGATATTATTGTGAGGGTTAAGTTTCTTTAGCCACCTCCTCCTGCTTCTGCCATCATTGAAAAACAATTGCTGCATGTGGTTATTTTTTGCAAATCTTTCAACATTACTAAGTTCAAATCATTAAGAATTGTTTGCAAATATGAAAAATTTTCCCTTTTTTAACTATTAAATAGAACCTTTCCTTTTGGTTTTATTTCATATATATCATTACAGCCTGAAAAGTCAAAGTGATTCATTAAAATCTTTAAGAATCATGATTTTCTGCTTATCTTTATATTTTTTACACACAACAAGCCTCAATATCCACATGGTTATAAATTTCCAGATTTTCATCACATATTCTTCTTAGCCTGTATGATATTTTTTAGGCTCGTGATATTTCCTTCCAGGTTTGATACCTCTGATCAGTGATGATACAGTGGAAAAAATGAATTATTCAATAGTAGGTTTTTCAATTATTTTATGATTTTTATTAATTCTTAATTATTCATTATTAATTACTAATTCAAAGGAAGGCAAATACTCTAAAAAGTAAATTTCCTGCTGAACTGTGTTGTATAATTATTTTTTGCTCTTTAAGGAAGCCAATTTTTAAGATTCAAGAACATTATCAATCTACCCATCTGCCAATAAACTGAATGCCTTTTGAAAAGAAACTTAACATTCATGCCGATAGGATGCCAATTTTTTTCAGATAAAATTCTGGAATTTCTGTACCTTTTTGTGAGATGATAATAGCATAATAGCTAACTATTTGTAAAATCTTTTTCAAAACATGCAAAGCTAATCCTAACTTTGGTTGAAGAAAATGCACTTTATTTTTACTGAAACCCTTTTTAACATAGGATTGCACTTGTGATGAGTTTTGCACAGATTGCTCAGTGGAGTTCACGCTGGATGTGAGGTGCACAGAGGATGCACGACATGTGACCAGTGGGGATTTGGTTTCCTCAGAGCCCAGAGTTGTGCCTGTAAGTACTTCTCTTCTTTCTGCCTTATTGTGAAATATTGCACATGGCAAACCTCTAAAGTAGTTAGCTTGGAAGTAATTAGCTTGGATTTAATGGCACCTAAGGCTAAACACACAATTTTCAATGTGTCTCTACATAGGCTCAACTTTCTAACTTTACTTTATATATATACTTTTAGTTTTTAAAAGGAATTTTTGTTTACACAGTTCATCTACCTGATCTAGTCAAACATGACAATTATCTATTCTCTGTTTTTTCTGTTCAGTCAGTTGCCTTTATAGTTATGTGCAAGCCTTGTCTAATTTTGAATTATTAAATAGAATTGAAAAGGTTCACACGGAAAAGTTTTGGAAAAATCGGACAAAAAACGTTTTGATCAAGCTTTAAAAGTTTCAGAAAAATTTTTTAAGGCAAAATTGCTAATGTGATAACAAAATATATCTTAAAACTGTCTATGATTACTATGGAAGACATGTAGCAGATTTCATTGTTTTCTTTTCTTTAAGAATTTGAAACTTTAGGACAAAAAACTTTGGGACGAAAAACAAGATTTTGAACAAATTCAAGTTTGCTGAAACTTTTTGATTTTGTGTACTGTTCTCAACAGATATCTTCGTTCACATGTTCTACTCAAAACATCTTCATTTAGGACCTAACTAATCTATGTCACAACGCACTTGTCTAGGTGTCCCATATGAGCGCTTACGACCTATTTAACTGCTTTTTTCAAAATCCGGTTGGCAAATGACATTTTGTGTTGTCATCTACATCTTAGAATGTAACCGTCTATGCTTGATGTAAATAACAGTTTCCATTAAGTCATTTGACATTTCTAAACAAACTGAGGTTTTTTTCTGGTCAGGCCACGTCAAGAAATAAAGATGATGAAAGCAGCAAATATGGGGAAAGCAATGGTATGTTATGAAGAAAATATTCATCTATTTCATTGAATTTGATTTGATATTCAACTTTATCCAGCTACTTTTAAATGTTTTCTTTTTTATTGAAACTTTTCTTCCTAACCGGGCTACCCTTTTTCTGATCAAAATATTTTCTCATCATCCATTTGAATTCTTTCTGTTGTACAATAATGTGTTTTATGAATTTAAATGCATTGCCATTTCAGAAGATTTCAAATGAAGGTTCTTATTGAAAGAAATTGAGATAAAGATAGATTGGTTTCTTTGAAGAGTTATAAGTTATTTGTTTGCGCTTGTGAACTTTTGAAAAATTATTTTTAATTGGTTTTTTAAGATTAATTAGTTTATAATTGAATCTTTTTACAGATATTCTTTTAGTGAAATTGATAAAAGGCCAGGTAAGCAGAGATGCTGAAACATTTGAGTATTCAAACAACATATCCTGTTATTTCAGAATTATTTCTATGCATATTCTGTTCAGTAGACATAATGCTTAGGGACATAATCTTTTAGGAACAGGGAGAGCTCGTTTTTCATTTTCAGCTCTATTGTGTCAGATCTTTTAGTGCTATGATTGATCAAAACAACCTTTGGCAAGCAGTCTCTCGTGCTTTATATTGTTTCAAATCGTCTCGTCTTTCAGCATTTTTTTTATTCACTTGTGTTATTTTTTTGGAGTGGTTGATAGAACTAGCATCCCTAGTAATTCTGCAACTGACTAGGGCTAGCCTTCTTGGTTATTTATTTAACATACTTGTTATGTATTAGCTCATATTGAGTGTTAACATGTATAAATTGTCATTTTTAATGCGATTCTGTTACATCCAGCAATTTACTTCCGTGACGATTAGATCACATATTAGCTATGACTATCAAATTTATTAAATCAATGACTAGAATATCTATTTTTTCAATAATATGAATATGGTTTTGGTTACTTTGAATCTGGAAATATATAACATAATTGCTACGTAAACAATATATCGGTCATCATGTATTGTTGTCAGATCGAATCATTTGTGAAATTCATTATCATTTAATTTGCAAAATGTTACTTTATCATTTATTCATTTGAAGGAACTGAAGTTAAGAGCCTACGCCAAGAAAGTGAGTTAAATTATAAATTGTGTAATATTTTACTCAAAACATATTCTTTCCTAATATCATTCTTGATAATCTTAATACTTCGTGAAAATTCAGAATGGCTGTCCAGTACTAATTGCCATGATATTTTGCGAGTATTTAATGTGATTTGATGCTCTTCTAATTATCAATAACTTCTTTTAATTTAGTAGCTGTTTTAACAATAATTTCTTTAATACTTATTTTATGCGTAAAATAATTTTTATGAATTATTTTGTTGTCAAAATTATCAAAATGGTTCCCTAAGCTCAATATTTTGACCTGTTTCCACTAACGTAAACTCGCCACCGCAGGGCTTTGCAAAGGAGCATGCTAAATGGAACCCTACAGCTGGAGTAGCATTCGAATACGACCCTGACAACTCATTACGTCACACAACGTATCCAAGACCCGAAGAATGGTAGGCCATCCTCTTGTACGTTGTGTTGAATAGTCTTGTCCTTGAAGATATTCCGCTTGGATTTCGCTACTTGTGGCGGCATATATATCATGCTTATCAAGAAAGTTGTTTTAATATCTAAGAGATATTTCTATATGTCCGTCTTCAACTCTACATTTTGAAAATTGATTGTTAAAGAAATTTATTAAAAAGAACATATGGCAACACCCCCTCGAGAGTACAGAGTTAATTGGAACGCGCCTGGTTATATGTATCAGCTCTTTTCTATCACGTTTCTTATCCAGATGAAGAAGCTTAAAACGCTTGTGCTTTAAATATCTAGAACTATTCTACAAGGTAGCTCAACATCAAAATCTTTTCGGCTCGCAAATACCGCTGGTTTTTGTCATCGCTTTATTATTAGCTTCTAGTTTCATTTTAAGAATATAAATTTATTTGTTGTTCATTGTTTTCACATTTTTTTATTTATATTGCCATCATATGAGATAATTTTTTATGCTACTGACTCAGAACATTGTTTGTATGTTTAAAATTTCAGGCCAAAAAGCGAATATACACAACTCGATGAAGATCAAGGTAAGGTATATTTTTTCGTAGACGCTTACACTTTTTTCCCAAGAGATGCTCAAAAATATGAAATACTATTCAAAAATTGTTATTAAACCTTTTACATTTTGACAGTTTAAAAAAATAACCGTTTCATAAAGTTCATTTGATAGAGAATCACAAGTCACAACTTCGAAACCTCTTTTATTCTGCATTGAATAGCTTCTAAGGGTTGCTGACCCCCTTCCCCAACCCTGGGTTGCTGAAGCTTCACAAGCCCCCACCTATTTGCAACATCCCTGGCTTTTTCATCCCCGTTTGATTTTCTTCATGGAATTTTTCGTACACACTTATTTTGATTGAATTAACTAGAAAATATATTTTTCTTTATAACCAAATGACCAGGATGGTTCAAAAGAATTGTGGGCATGGCTCCTGTAGAAAGCAATGTTGACAGGAATCTTGTAAACTTAAACATAGGTTGACAATCTGAGCTAAAGGAATGTGTTAAAAATTTAGTTTTGATTTTAGGGAGAAATGATTTATTTATTCTGTTTTTCAGCACAAGCAGCATTTGATCCTGAAGGAAAACCAGACAAATTCTTCTACAACGTGGAGGTAGATGCTCACATTTAACATGATTTTACAGTTTATCATATCTGAATTGACGAAAAGTTTTTCTTGTTTGTTAAAATTTGCAATAAGAGGGTCACATTATCACACAAAAAGTCTCAACCTGCAAATGCACGAAACAAATACTGCGAATCACCATTACTGTGAAGGCTCTCGATGAGTTACCATCTGCACGAAGCACAAGCTCTTGATGAGTACCCATAACAAACTTGCTCCCTTTGTATCCATCTTTTACAGCTTCATTTTTTACAAAATCATCAGATATAGCTCTGTGGCCAGGGAGTCTCGTTTTTCTTTCGCTTACATTTCATGTACATGTTTTTTATTAGTTTGTGTGTACGTCAAATACTGCTAAACTTCAAATCAGCACAAAACAACGGAAATCTTTTCCTTGCAACCTAAAAATTTTTTGATGGTTTTGTTTTAATAACTGTAGTCACCAAAGTAATAAATATTTTTTGATAGGTAGAAGCTGCCCTCCTATATAATAAAACAAAGCTGATCTCCGCCTCTATTCGATTATGAGAATTCTTATATCCTGTAGACATGTGGATCATTGCGCTCAGAGACAATTGTTCTGACTGGACTTAGCATGTTGAAGAAAAAGCTAAGTGACCTGCAAACTCAGTTCAGCCATGAAATTGCCGCTGATGTACTTGCCATCTCCTAAATACCAGCGTTAGTAAAGGGAATTTCATTGGGCGGCATGGTTTTCTGGTTCGGAGAAACCTCATTTAAGAAGCAAAAGTAGATGCAATAGTGTAAGGCAACCAAGTTCAAACTGGAAACACACATGCAAGTTCTACTGAAGTTTGCAGATTTTTAAAGGTTGTTGGCATTTCTGTGGAACTTTGGCACTGATTTGTGTAGCAGTGACATAATGCTGCAAACTATTGAACTTCTCGAGTCTTTTTTATAATAAACGTTGAAGTAATGTATCAAAAAGTCACTTAAACTGATGTATTCAGGTACACTGGTTTTTCTTGTTGATAATAAAATGTTTGTCCCCAAAAGCCTCTTCGTCTTTGAAAGTCGATCTTGGAGTTGATTTCTGTATGGTTTGTTTTGAGTTACCACAAATTTCATTCCTGGTCTTTTCGTTCAGAAAAACCTGATTCCTTGATTAAAGATATTTTTTTCCTTAAATTTTGATTTTTTCGAAATATCATTCAAAAGTCAATTGCAATATTTTGAAAAGAATTTACCCGTAATTAATTGAATTAGGTTAACTGGGGAGCAAGCAATGGTTTTTGCTTCTAAAATTTGTTTCATCAAAACTAGCAGTAGAAATTTAAGTGTATTCTACTAGAATTTGATGGCCTAGAGAAGGAAGAGAACAAATTGACGAAAAGCTCTTTGAAAAGCAACGAAAAAAGTAACGAGAAAAAAAAACATCACAGAAATACTAAATCAACGATCAACGAAAGAACGTGCAGATATATTTCATAATGGTAAACTTTAAATTTACAACTCGTGAGACCATCTAAAACATTTCTACAAGTTACGAAGATTTTTTGTTACAAAACTCGAAACAGATTGCTTTAAAATGCTAAGTATACTTTTTATATGCGTATGACTACCCTACAAACTCTGTGAGATGGAAATACGAAATTTAAACAGAGTTACAAAACTTCATTTCTGGCAAAGATCGACGCTTTAAAGTCAACTTCCTATTATCAACAAAAGTCTGTGCCTTAAATTTAAGTAAGTAATTCTTGATACAATGTCTTTGAATGTTTGATGCAATTCCTACTCTCACTTTTGAAACATTGTCTATCATTTATTAATAAATACCACATCTTAACAAACTGACGAGGTGTTACTACCTATTATACGAGGCATGTTTACAAAGCTACATCTGTTTACAAAATTCCCAGTTGCGAAATATTAATTATTCTGAATCTCCAAAAAAGATATACATAAACCTGTTTATGTGTATAATATGATGCAAAAGACAAGACGAGTCATAAAAATATACTTTGATTGTCCCCATAAACAGTTTTCTTCTCTTCTTCAAACAGCTGGATATTCATTTGTTCATCACATCTCATTTTCTCCGATATCGATATTATTATTCTGTTCTAAAACACAAAAATACTAATTACTAAAATGGCCTTTATTGATCATGGTAAAGCTAAGGTAAACTTGTCTTCAACCTAAAGCCGAAAACCCACTCAACTTTTCTCAACCCACTCAACTCAAATGATTTCAACTTTTTTTCAATCCGTTTCGATCCGTCATGTGACCATTTTTGCATCCAAAGCGCTTGCGCAACACAAAATCTGATCCGATCCGCGGATCATTTTCCGGAGTGGGTTTTCGACTTAAAGACCGATCTTTTTTTCAGTTTTTTGGTTCACTCGCGCGGGCTGAGCAACCGCGGAGTCTCTCTGGGAGAAAGCTCACCGCCTACTACCGATGCGCGCAAAAATTTTTTCCTGCGAGTTAATTTTTATTTATTTTAATTTAAAACATATATACCCTGGGATACAATTCAGTTAACTAATTAAACTGCTTTCCTCTTGTCCCAGCAAAAGAGAGAATAAACCTAACCACTAAACATGAAAACCTGTTTACAATAATTTGATACAATAAAGAACCCACTAACTGTGATACAAAGAAAATAAAGAAAAAGATGCAGATTAGCTTTCCTTGAATGTTTTCAGTTTGAAGCTTCTCGTTTCGTTTTGATTGACTGAATCGTAGGGATTAATTTAATTTACAAGTCAAGTCTATTCCATGCGCCGGCTTCTCGAAACACAAATGATTTTTGGCCATGAGCTGTTCATATTTTTAGTATAGCAAGATTCTGAAGCGACCGATCTAAAAATACGCATATTTAAGCTCGGTCGTAGTGCACAAATATATTGAATTTGAGGTCGGCCTTAAGTCATGCAAAGCATCTATAGAACGTTAACTATCACCTGAAATATTTTTCTCTTTCACAGTCTCTTCAGTAGTTTCCTTGTTGCCTTGGTTTTCTGCTTCCTCAGATGTGCCATCGCCATGTTTTTCTGCCGATCCTCCTTCGCCTTCAGTTGCTGTTAGTTTCTCCTCCGCCGCGTCGGCCTCTTTTTTCTCCTCGATTACAGGCCCATCAGGTTTATCTGTGATAATTGGTTTGGCTCCTGGGAACAAACCATCAAATAATGAAAATGCTAGCAACTATTTGTTGATGAATTATACTGTCGGTTCATATGACGGTTTTATCAAAGACGCGATAGGACATTTAATAATTGTTCCTACAGAGAATGATGTTCGTGTCATCGCAAACGAGAAGATTGTTATTTCTTAAAAGATATTGCCTTCTGTCATGTCTTATTTAGCAAGTTGTCGCAGAAGAAAGCGACATTCAAGATGTCATAGTGGTTACCTGCTTCAAGAATCAAGGACCTTCTTTTCTCTGCTGAAAGCCTCGCTGGAGGAGGCGGCTTCCTAGCGGCCGGTGTTGGCTTCGCTGCGGTAGGTGGTGACGTCACAGCAGGAGGTTTATTCTCAGTGGCAGGCTTTTCTTCAGTAGCATGTTTATCGGGAGTTTCAGGCTCCTTATTTGGAAAAAAGGTTAGAAGTTATCAGATGGTATGGAAATTTGAATATAATTTTGACAGAAAATACTGGAATCTTTCGAGGTGATACTTCGCAACTTTAACTTATGTATCTCTGTTTAAGCTTAAGTATCTTATAAATTGTGCTTTGAAATATCTTATGATTAATAACTTTACTTGCTTGACATTCCGGTTTGAATTTTCTAAACAGAAGGTTTGGTTCGCTATAGAACAAAAAAACACTCCAACAAATTCGTCAAAAAATATGAACTGAAAAATATAAAATGAAATGTGAGTGCCTCAGCCTCAAACACCGTTCTGTCTACCTAATATCTGAACCAACAGAAATACCAACAAACAAAATATCAGTATGATTGACATCAAACGTTCCTACCTTGTCTTTTATACCCCGCTTTTTCTTCATTTCTGCCATCAATGCCCCACCAAACCCCATTGGCACACCCCCAGGCGGCTTAAATTTCTTTGGCTTTGGTTTCTCCGCAACCTCAGGCGTCTTCTCTTTTTCTGCCTCCGCCTGCGGACTGGATTCGCTCCCAATATTGTCATCCAACTTCAATGTATCAACGTTACTATCTTCAGTTTTCATAGAAGTTTCATCCTCTGAGTTATGTATCTGGCTTCCTAGAAAATAAGCATGTATTGCAAAATTAGAAAACTCTTTTACCCCATACCTGCACAACAGTTGCATGATGAGGGCATCAAGCGTGAAATAACTTAGGAGCAACTTAGAACTGTCCTGTTCTACACAACAAGAGCGTAAATTTGAAAATAATAATAAGATGGTGTCAGTAGAAAGACACACCACAAACATTTCAGTGGTAGGAAATCCATAGATGCAAAAGAAACATCCTAAAGAGTACAGCAAGAAAATGACGTAAAAATGCTCAGCAAACCTTCATTTTGTTCATCCTTTTTAAGCGATGGGGACCTGTCCTTCTTAGGCAAGCTGGGTTTTCCAAGAATATTTGGGAATCCAGGCAAGGGGACCCTTTAATGTAGATAAACGTAAATCAACAAACAGTGTCACGTGTTGTCAGATGTAGTAACACATTTATTCACTGCTTATATAGACGGGTCAATCTAGCTGAAGGGTGAAGGTGAAGTTCAAACAAGCTGGAGGGTGAAAGAAAAGACGAGAAAAACAGACACAATAACGAGGACACAAACTAGAAAGATAAGACGCATTTGAGAAATGTATAAATGAACATTCAGACTGTTTCGGAGCCAGCTATGTCTGTTTGTAGCGAGTCAACTAATTTCTTGGTATTCATTTAAAGCAATCTACATAAATAGAGGGTTGCCATAAATATGATTCTGATGAAAACTGCAGAAAACATTAGCATAAAATTGGTTGCATCCTTTATTTTCGCTTGCTTTCTCATCTGGAAGCTCGAAAAAAGCTGCATCTGGAAGCGATCTGTTAAAATGACCAGCAAATTAAAAAAAAAAATAAAGATATAAAAGGGAAAAACCTACCCCATTGGCAGCTTAGGTTTCTTCTTCACGGAACCTTCCTAGAGTATTAAGAAAAAAGTTCAAAAGATTTATAAAGTTATAAAGAAAAAGGCAAATGCCAAATAAATTATATTCTTTGCGTATATACGTTTTACACAGTTGTTGCTAATACTCAAGTGGATTCGCTTGGTTTCTCAATCTGGGGAAAAAAGCAAACTTCAACATATAGATCCTTGATATCCTTTAATATGTAGAATAATGATTAATAATTTAGAAACCAAAATTATTAAAGCTGAAAAACAAACAAACACAGAACGAGATTTCGTATTTTAAAGAAAAAGAACGTTCAACAACAATGGCACAAAAGTAAGCAATGAACAAAATACCCACTCTTTAAGGAAACATGCGAATGAAACAGTAGCCCTGAAAATGAAATAATGTTTACCTTCTTAGGAGGCTCTGGTCTTGGCGGAGATGTTATATCTGGCTTTGAAGTCAGATCAACTTTAGGATCTTCCTCTTCTAATTTCAATTTTGCCTTCAAAGCTTCCGATGATTTGTGAGGAATCGAGCCAGTTCGTATGACACCCATTTCTTTTTCCGTGCTCGGCGATTCCAGAGGCCTAATTACAAGAACAAATTCACCAAACATAGATTAATGAATCTAATACGATAGGAAATCTCCTGAATAAGATTCTGCATAAAAATGTCTATAAGATGAACATGAAGAGCCCCCACCCCTTCATTCCAATTTGAAAAAAATTTTATTAGTGTTGTAGACGGGAGCAGAAATGATGCACAATTAAAATGATTTAAAAAATTTTAACAATTTTTTACTGTTTTTCGCAATTAATTTCAATGAAAAATGTGGAGCACGAATGAAACTCTTTCTTGAACTGCTTGTACAAATTATTACTTCCATGAAAAGGGAAGTAGATGAAACGTAGGCAATACAAGTAAAAGTCATTTCCAGCGAAATCCTAATGTTTTCAGCTACATGAAGTAGTTAATATTAAAATAAACGAAACGAAAGACGCGATACATACTGCATTGACTTCGGCCTGGGCTTTGGAGGCGTTCTCAAGCCTTTTTCTTCTTTCTTCGAATTCGGCGTCGTCTCCTCTCTATTTTCCTCCTTCGGCGTTTCATCAACATCGATCTCCTCCTCATTGGCCGTCAGATGGGACAAATCAGCTGCTTTAGAAGGGGGGCGCCTACCCTTCGGTTTAGCTCTTCCCTTGTTCAAATGTATCAATTCTTTAGATGTCGCGCGATCTAGAAAGATTTTTGTTGATTGTAATCAAATAACATAAACATAGCCACGTCTAAAATGACTCTCAAAAATATGTTAAAATGGGTAGGTAACTAATGGTATATGTTTTTAGAACTTCTAATAATAACCCTTAAGAAGATGATTTTATTAGAGGGACGTACCCAGATACTCTAGCAACCTAGCGCCGAAAACCTACTGGAAAACGCGTGCTGCCATAAAAATTGTATTAATGTTGGAATTCCTATTACCACAATCAACACAAAACGTGAAATAAAAACATAATGTGACGATAAAGAAAATTTCTGTGATAAAAAAAAACAAAAAACGGATATCAAAGAAAACAAACCTATTTCTAGAAACGAAAGGTCACTCAAAGGCCTTGGCTTTTTCCCCACTTCTAGTGACATTTTGTTTGGTTTTAAAGAAAGACTTCCCGCTCGAGGGTTACTTTGTTCCAACTTTGGTTTATGAAGTTTTGCTGATGCTTCTAATTTACCAGAGTCTGTCACAAACTCTTCCTTTTTCTTTGCTTCGGAATGATCTTCTGCCTTCCCAGATTTTTTATCATCTTCTTTCTCTTGTTTTGCTTCTTGCTTTGCTTCTTGCTTCGCTTCTTGCTTCGCTTCTTGCTTTGCTTCTTGCTTTGCTTCTTTCTCCGCCTCTTCTGATTGGCTCTTTTTCTCCTTAGGCAGTTCTATACTTTCTTCTTCCTTAGCCTCTGTTTTTCGTTCTAGTTCTGCCTCTTTCTCAACCTTCTCGTTATTTTCTACAACAGGGACATCATCAATGGAAATCTCCACGGCAACGTCTTCGAACTGCTTTTCACGCCTAAATGTTGGGCGCCTGGCAATTCCTTTGCTCCGGACCGTTCCATCATCAGCAAAAAGCTGGGTGCTCATACGATTCTTTGCTTTCTGTGCAGCCTAAAAAAACAGATTATTACCACGTATATAATAACCAACGTTAACCGACAATCAAACACTTAAAACACGGGAAAACAATAGAGACGGGTAAGATACTTAATGCGACGATTCAATCAAATTAAGAATGACAATACCATTAGACAACAGCGAAAAATCACACGAAAAATCATCTAGTGCATACTTTCAGATTCACTTATCATTTCGCTTCTGCTGCAGCAATGATATTGAGAATCACTTCAACAGATTTTATAAATTCAAGCTCTACAGATACAACTTTATATTTTGAGGGAGTACCAGCACCAAACGGTTCAACATAAACAAAGTCAATTACCATAGAAAAAACCTAAAATCTAAACTGTATAAAATATACAAATTGTTCACAGTAATAATATATAAAATAATAAATGCAGAAAATTTGAGATGCAGGAGTGGCAAAAGAAGATAATTGCATGTGACTCACCAGCAGACTCTCATCTTTGTCATCGACAGGTGATCTTGGCAAGCTTCCTGTCTTTTGAGCATCCTTATTCAACTCTTTATCTTTGTTTTCCATCGAAAGTAAGTCCTAAGCATGCAGGGAAATGATTATCAATAGCGGATAGAGTGCAAAAATATTTGTTTTCAGTTGGATATACAATTTCATCTATCAAGACACAATCAGAACATAAAAAAGCAGTACGCTTTAACTGTTAAGGACACCTTACGTTTAGCATAGGGAAAAACCTTAATAATATTCTTCATCCTTCTGTTTCCAGGAGATTACGACTATCGACCACATTAACAACTTGTAAAATTGCACAGACAGAAACTCAAACCATTGACACAGGAGTCACTTAAAAGTACATATCTCTAACAGCGAATAAATAGTCACGAATGTAGAGCCTTATGCAATCAACATTCACAGTGTTACGTTTCCGGCTGGGTTAAAGCTGTACACATACCAGTTTGACCTTTGACTGGTTCAGCGTCTCTTGCATCATGTTTGTGAGGCTTTCACCAAGAGCAGAAGCAACGCGAAGGGTTGCATCACTGCAAACAAATAGTTGCATTATTACATCATAACTGGTAAGATGGCATCATTGGTGATGTAGATGTTGTTAACACGAATAGAAAAACTTCACAGCTAGGGAGCACGTTTTAGCTTTTATAAAGACAGTTTCCAGTGGTTCGGCATTAGTTATTGAAATCGTTGATGGAAGTTTCCTTGACAAGATAAAGTAGTACCAGAAGAGAAGCCTGGTGGCTTCTATCGCAAAGTGGAACTTAAATATCAGAAAATGTTGAGACAACAACAAAGAATATGAACTACGAAACCGGAATTCAGGATAACAGTTCTACTTCATATTAAAACCATTAACTTAGGGAAGAACAATGTCCACACTTACTTCACTTTATTTGAAATAAGGCCCACCATAGTTCGTGTTATGGTCTCTCTCAGTCCAAGACTATCAACTTTGCCTTCGGATGAAACCAATGCTTCAAGCTCTTTCAGCGTTTCCTAATCAGAAAAAACACCAGAGTTGTGCAGGAACAGCATAAATCTTAGAATTAGTTTATAAAGAGTACAATGAAAACACTGCAATATCAAATATATACTTGAAACCAATAAAAAGAAACAATAAGAATTTCCCATCACACTTGGTCACTGATTGCTATCATTGAGCGAAACAACGGTTCATTGTGCCGTGTTCATGTTCTCAAGGGAATTTCGTTATCGGCTGTCTTCTGCTTCTTCAGAAATTGAAGAAATGACAGCACAAACAAATTATTGCTACATATTCATATCAATGTATTGGAAGCCTTTTCAGTTCTACTCAAAGCACAGAATGTCCCATAACAAGTCTATAAGAAGGTCCATTACAAGTTGCACATTCTTTTGATAAAGCAGTGTATCTAAAATGAGTTACGAACCTCGTTAGATGCAATTGAAGAACATTGTTCTTTCACGTGTGCAAGCGTACCAGATACATTCTCCTGTGATATTCAACGCATTTTCATTAATTATAAAAGCACAACAAAGAAAATATGTAAAGATGTAAAAAAGAATTCCACTGCATAAAGGTCCTTAAATTGTCTCCTTTGAAAGTTAGTTTTATTTTGTTAAATTTCATGTAGCCTGTACTCTTACAAAATTTACATTTCGGTTTAGGAGATATCTGTATTAGCTTGTTTTGGCATGTAGAGGAATATGAAAATATGGAACTGAATTGAACTGAATTTAAAAAAATTACAACAGTATTGTATCAAAATGCCAACAATGTGACAAAAAATATTTCTTATAACACTGCTTACGCTCTATATATCTGAACTAGTTTCTTTTTTACTTGATTTCAAAGTCAGTTGACAGTACAATTATCTATTAAATTACAGTCAATTTGTTCTTGCATCATATATAAGAACAAATTACCTTGACTAGGTCATTTGCAAAACCAGTGACTTCTTTTAACATTTCATCAGCTTTCTCTTCAATCTTTTTCGAAGGGTTTCCCAGGTCCACAAAGAGCTTGAACAACATCTGTGTGAAATAATTTCAGTGTTAAAAAAGTTTAAGGTCAATTAGCTATTCGACATAAAAGTACAATGCGAATAAATTCCGCAATGGAAGAGCGTTTCAATTGATTGGATCAATTCAAAACAAATCATGATACAATCAGCCTCTTCAACGCTTTTATCTTAATATCAAATGAATTTCAAAAACAGAAAAAATTGTTACAAAAACATTGAAGTAAAAACGAAATCAAAACTTGGAGTTGAGTTTGGTTATGTGAGATAAGCCTTAAAACTCCCAAAGAGATATTCCCAAAAAGAGAATATTGTATATGAGATTAATAAGTTAAATACAATAAGGGAAGAAGAAAGGGCAACTGTGACCTGCTTCATTTTGTCAGCATCTTTAATCGCTTCCTTTCCAGCTTCCACCTCTTTTGCAATGGTTTCGTCATTTTCTAACCCATTCAGCTCAGCAATGGCGTCCTGGACTTTAACCAATAAATAGTCGGTGCTCTGCAATGATTATTTGATAATACAATAACAAGCCATGATCGTTTATCGAATCGAAGGAAAAAATGAAATAAGATTTGGCCTGAAAAGATGCATCCTGAGCTTAACATTCAGACAGACTTGACGTGTAACTGATGAAGCAATACAGCTTCCTTAGACAGAACTCTTAGAAACCCAATTCTTAAAGGAATACATGTGGAAAGAAAAGGAAACTGCCATTAAACCTGGCCTAAATCTCTCAGTGATGTAATGCATATTAAAGGCTTGGTGTTAAGATTCACAAATAATTCAAAATGGTTTAGCTTCTATGCTGAATACAAAGTAGTTTGCTTCTCGGAGTCTTATTACAAGAGACTTCAATTACAAGTTATACAAATATAGATCTCTTGCTCAAAGAAGATCCAGATGGCGGTTAGGAAATTGAAAATAAATCTCGAAGTTACCTCTTGATCTAGCGAGCTTAGCAGTAGGTTTTGCTTTAATTTGACAGAAGGATCCTTCTCACCAACTTCAATCGACTGATTTCGAAGCAGTAGCTCATCGATCTAGGCAGATGATGAAATGCGAATAAACGTCCATATGCAATGGAATAGACTTTCCAGGTGAAAAAATAAACTCCTCTCTTAACAAAAATGATTTTTAAACAAAATCACTTTCGGCACTGATTTTGACCTGCCTGTTATTCAAGCAAAAATATCTCATCTCATTTGGCAAAACTGGTTTTTATATGAATGAAAGTACAAGACAAAGGAAAGATGAATAAACCGTTCTAACACTAAAGATACAGCAAAAATACTTTTACTTCAGCTTAAGATTTCTCGGTTGAATTCGTGGACCATGTAAAACTACATCAACAGCTCTGATCATGCAAGTATTACTATGAGCATCTTTCACGATACTCATTTATCTGATTGCTATACGCATTAAAATAATTCAAAACTTACTTTCGTAAAACATTTAGTTACGGCTTGTCCATTATTTTTCGTCAGGGGCAGTAGGTCCCCGAACGGGGTTGGAATTAACTGCAGTGTATAATTCCTGATGAAAAGAGCGAACAAATTAAGAGGGTCTAAAACACCGATCGTGATAACATTGCTTATATTTATTTATATGTTCAGCATATGTTAAACTCCTCACATAAAAAGGGGAAAAAGGATTGCTTGATAGGCCGAATAAATCAAAATCTTCGCAGCACTAATAATAGCCTCTACTTAAATAAAATTGAATTTCTTTTAATTCATTCAGTTTAATTTTAATAAATCACAAATCATAAAGCAAATATAATGTAAATTATTAATCTTGTTGGAGAAATTAACGTAGGTCGTCGTTTTAACATCTTGAAATATCTAAGACAATTTTTGAATAAATACTTAGCCTTAAAGCACCTTTTTGATAAGCACCCTCTTCGCACAATAACAGCCAATGCCTTTCAATAATAAATTTCTTTTTTTGGAGTCTTGAATATCACAGTAGTGTTTTGGTAAAAAAGATATAAAGAAAAAAGAAAATGGCAAGAACATAATGAGATTAATTTGCTACTTGGCGGATTAACTTTTTCTCGAGTGGAAATTCTTAAAGTAACCAAACTGCCTAGAGGTGAAGTAAGAGCCATATTTTCCATGTGCTGATGAAACAAATTATAATTCGGAAAACAGGTAACAATTCATGAATGCACTGTCTGACCAACAGTTGCTAGAAATCTAAAAATAAAAGCAAAGCTCTGCCTACCTTTCGATTGACATGGCAATACTGCTGTATCCTTTAAGAGTGATCCCATTTCGATCAAGGCTTATCTTCCTGCAAACAAATTTGCAATAAATTTTCAAATTTGAAAGTTACTAGTGCAAAGGCTGGATATAAAAAGTGATGATTTCAAAAACAATTAATGATAATAACAGTAATGAAATTTTTATTTCTGCTTGTCAGTTCTAAGTTATCGTGTTTGTGTATCAGGTGATACAGGTCAACTCATATTAGGCCTAAATAGCAAATGAACAAAGAAATAAAAGGTTTGAAAAGACTTATTTCATCGCAAAATCTCTGAACCATTATTAGTATTACCACTTACTTTAACTTGGTGTTTATTTGCAATGCTTTGGCTAGAAGTCTTGCTCCTTCATCACCAATAAAATTTCCGCTAAAAGGTTGACAAACAAGTTCATCCTACATCACCTTGCAAAACAACTGTCAATTTAAATGCAGTAAAGGCAAAAACCAGTTTTTAATAGCTTGGGAGGAATCAGAATACTGTACCACAAACATTCCTGGAAGGAGGCGTAGGCCCAAGAAACTTAGAGAGGAAGACTTGATTTCAAAACGTTACAGATATGAAAAAAATATCGAAATACGAGCATTGATAACGTAGATTTCAAGGAATTTTCTATTGAAGTGAAACACTTACAAGAAAAATAAGAGATACGTTGCATTCAATAGCAACAGCAAAAAACAGAATCACTAACAATTTCAAACTCAGTGAAATAATGACAATAGGATCTGCAAAATCACTTCTGAAGGATGTGACATTCTGAAGGATACCACACAAGATAAAACTCTTAAACAATATTTCCTTGCAAAGGTTCTTTAGAAAACTATAGAATTAGCAGTACGTATCCACAGGATATTGTTTTATTCTCCGCAAAATTTCAGTAGGACCTAAATTATTTTGCAAAGGTAAAATGCAGCTCAATCAAGTTAGAAAATTACCTTATGTCAAGTTCTTCTAAAAGACCATTGGTGCCTAGTGCATCGATTATCACGTACGCATCTTGTCTCAGCCGATTGTCAGCGATTGAAAGTGAGGTCAATGGCTGCAAATAGCAATGATTGCAAAGTAATGATTGCAAATATTGGCAAAAATATTGGCAATGTCATGGGAATAGGATTGTTTGAATTATCAGAGAAATTTTAGGTGTAGATATTGCTGCAGCAAGAGAGGAATAACATGGCAAGTAAGAAGATAGGCATTCCACCACAATAAGCATTCTTCATAGAAGACAACAAGGGGATACAACAGGTGGGGAATCAGTAATGTATCTGGAAGCAAGTTAAATTTAATCTATTAACCAAAAAAACTTACCAAGGACTCCATGATGATCATTTCAACAATGCTTTCCAGAATTTCAGGTACATTGATATTCCTTTTAAAATTAAAAATATATAGTTAACATTATACGTATTACATAGCCTAGGCGGTGAACTGTTTAATAGACGTTAGTTACACCAGATTTTTTTAATCGTACGTGTTCTAAGGTAATGTGTTCTTCTTTTTCTTTAATAGTTTTTCAAAAGGAAATTGCTGAATTGCTGTCTGTGCTGGAGCTTAAATGATAGAGAAATACGGAATAAGCCAATCATACCTTGCCTTTAGAAAAACATAATTTCAACCGTTGACAATTTATTACAAAGGATCTTTCCTGATTTCTATATATTATTCAACAAAACTAGCTCAGACGCCAACAAAAACAAAACGAAATAGTCTTACTTGGATTTTCCGATGTTTTGTGACAGACTAAGGCGTTTAAGGGAGGTGCTCTTTTTTACACTATGGCAGATGGCAATAAGGTCCATGTCCAAACCTGTGGCAAAAATAATGTATAATCATTATGAAGTTTTTGCCAAAAATTACAAAGTGAAGATCAATTTAAATTATAGATGGCTACCCAAGCGGAAAAAGAACAAAGAAAAATAACCTTAAGATGCCCCGTGTACGTAAGACAACAATTAAAAGATACCTATAAAGGTAAGTAATTAGCACAGAATATATACTTTAGGAAAATGTAAAGACAAACCAGGACAGGCTGCACCAAAAATGAGAATCAGATGCAGCCAATAGGAAAATTGATATCGATAGATTTACCTCGTGGTGTGAAAAGCGATTCAAAGGGTGGATTTCTGACATGATAAAAATTTAGACTCCCTGCAAGATTTTTCTACCTTTGCATGGAATCAAAAGCATTACAGTATGAAGAGGTTATATGACTATAGAAGTGAAATTTTCAAAATAAGTAGCTCTGCAACAATTTTTGGTAATTCTAAAAGGCGTTGGAGCCATGTACGTACCATTATCATCGAGTTCCAGCTGAACAAGATTCTTGACACTGTCAATGCAGCTACTTATTTCTGCTGCTCCAGCCGATCGTAACTACAAAGAAAGGTGCAAATGTCAGCGCAAACTCAGGGTTCAATACATACTTTAGTAGATCAATTCAATACGAAAGGGTTCAATACAGACTTCAGTAGGTTCATACCTCATTGCCAGATAGATTTAAGGAAACATCTGTAAGACCAGTGTTGGAAATCAAGCCGATTAGAATTGCTCTAAAGGATTAAAAGGAGAAGACTAAATATTCTAAAAAGTACTATTGATAAGCATCCAAAAAATGTCCCAGTTCCACTTTTTCCAGTTCAAAAAATTTCCCTTGAGGCCTTGAAAGTAGTTCTAACTATTTAAAATGGGAAAGGGAGAGTGATTTTTCCATTCTTCAAATTTCATATATGCAATTGATACATACACCGTTAAAAGCAAACATACAGAGCAACGCTCCTCCGGTATGTATATTTACATTTTGTGAATCAAATATTTGTAGCAATTAGTTTACATTAGCTTTTGTAGAAAGTAAGGCTGATAAAATTGGTTGTGTTTCTTTTAAATTGAACATCGTTTATCAATTGCTAGCATGAATTTTTAAATATTTTGAAATATTTTAAAATAAAGAAAAAATGCATTACATTTTAGTTAAGAAATAAATCGATATAAAGAGACTTGTAATAAAGCTTATATTCTGTCTGAAGCAAAAAGTAAAAATACGGGCAAGCAAACTGATATAGCATTGCTTACTTGGTGAACTCAGCAGAAATCTTCGTACGAGAAAGGTTTACAGATTCCAAGGCCATACTTGAACTAAAGAACTGTGAGCGAAATATGAGTAAAATAAATTGTCATAAACAGAATTTAAGTCAAATAGGACTGAAAGGGGGTTATAATCACATAAACGCTTATAGGATAAACAATTTACTTTTTCTAAAACATTCCTTCTTAAACAGGCATACGGAAACAGAGATTTGATGCAAATTTCGCTAAATTTAATTTCCTATCTATACATTTTCAAACGTGCCATTGGTTTTCAGAGACACAAGATTATCTATTTAGAGAAAAAAGTAAATACCAAAAAACATGAAAAGCAAGGTACGGAAAAGATACTACCGTAAAAGTACAAAAAGATTAAATACTGAAAAACGATGGCAAAAATCGTCCTACCGTGGTAACAGAGGGTGCAATTTGAGTATCTTTAGATTTTCTATAAGGAGAAAAGCATAATAGTTTAAGAGGGACAGTATTACCAGGCCACTCTTAAATGTTTCATTGTCTTGACATAATCCAAATAAAAAATTGTCTACACATATTATTTGAAACAGGTATTACCTATACGAAGGAGGATTCCCTGCTAAATTTACAATCTTCAAATGCTGAAGACATCCCCTAGCCAATGCTCCGAATACCTGAAAGGATTAAAATATCAAAATAGATAAGATATGTACAAAAAATGCCAGGAATGTATTTAAAAATTGAAGATTACGATCTGTTGTAGAGAGCTCGTTGCTATAAAGACAGAGCTGTGCACGCCTTAGGTGTGAAGAAGTAGGTTGCTTCTCGCCACTTCCTGTAAATATCATTATAAATAAATATTTTCAATTCCTCTGTTCCTCTGTAGCTCAAACAAGATCCATTGTTAATCAACGAATTTTTCTCTATTCTGAAGAAGTTTCACGGCCTAAAAATTTGAATAGATGCCTCTGTCCACCAGGAATTTTTCGCTGGTTTTCCATACCTGAGGGATTGGAATTAGCGATAGGACAAAATAATTCCATCATTACAGCAACATCTGTATTGTTACGATGACAAGTCAACAATAGCACTGAGCAGACCAGTTATGACAAGCAGTCTTTCTTTGCAGATCGCAAACCCTTTCATGCTCGTTTTGGAATACGATAAAAGACATCCAAGAACTTACCAGCTCCAGAGAACATTCCGAATTGGACAAATGAAGCTCTTGAAGGACATTGGCCTTTGCAAGAAACTCACAGACTGCCTGCAACAACAAATTTATGAGTATAAAGTCAGCCTAAAGCAGTTATGTATATTCAAGAAAGATTGATTGTAGGAGCACTGTGGGAAAGAAAAACAGTTAATGTAGGAACACACAGCAAACCAAAGCTACTTGGCACGGCTGTGTAACTATAGTACCTTAATAGGACCTAAATAACGAGGCAGGCGGCCTGGACTGCCATATTCGAACTCAAGTAATTTGCATTGCATATTGTCGTTCTTCATTTTTGCAATGTTTTTATTCATATAAGCGTTCACTGATTTCAGTCACGTGACGTTAACTGATTTCTAATAAAAAAAACGGTACACACCGAGGTGCCATCAGCTTTTAATGGGTTGGAGGATAGATTCAGGCTGTTGGAAAAGAAAAGACGCCATTCATCAAAAGGCAACTGAAATCACACACAGTTAAGTTAATCTATATCAAAACGTGGACCGAAAATGAGAGAAAGAACGATACATTGATTGGTTCCTTGATTGACCAATCATTTTGTCCACTAACTTCTCACCTAGCGAAAGAGTCAAGAGAGAAAACGAACTCTTTCAGCACACACAAGTAAGGATGCGCATGTTGATATAAATTTTTGCTTTCCTTTAGTCATGATGTGAAAAGTGTTAGAAAAATGTACATAAGCATGCTATGTTTCTGCGTAAGTTCAAAAGATGATCGACACGAGATGAACATTTCGTAAGAACTGCAGCAAGTACCTTCAGCCGATATACTGAAACGATAACAGGTAACTAACTTCTCCAGCCCCCTAAAATAATGTTGGTTAAAGATACTATCCTGCCATGCGATAGTACGACGCTGGGAAACATTAAGTTCTATAGATTTTGCAATAGGTGAAGGAAAACCATTTAGAATTCGCAAATATCTAGTTAACATTGCTGAAAAGAATCCTAAAACAGCAAGGTATTTTGCTAAAAACAACTCATCCAGACAATCATCTAGTCAAATATTCAAAATTATACCATGTTAGCGATGATGTCATGTGGTGATTTCCTTTGATGGCTGAGAATATCAACGACACTCCTGAAAAATTCAAGATCCACTTTATTGGTAATTATATTTAGCAAAAACACGGAAAAACTGCAGGCTGCAGATCTGGTGCCTTGTAACAGGTAAAAAGGCAGAAAAAACAACACTGTAACACAACACGAAAGCTCTATTATGATGCTATTTCTCATAAGAAAAAGTTGTTCGATCAAAAACGTAGAGCAAAGCGACAATTCTTGCAAACCTTTGCCAGTTATTCCAACATCCTTGATGAGAAGTGACTCAAAACCATGCTGTAGTGCTGACAAAACAGCACAAAACGAAGATGCGCCTAGGCAAAACACAAAAAGTGTAAGGACTACACAATTAAAACTCGACTTAAAATCACTTTGCTGAGGCAGAATGTGATCTAAGATAAATAAAGTATAAAACCTTCAAGCAATGAAAAATGTGCAATGGAATTCCATTTTAATTAGCTGCCCACTATGCTCAAAACAGTTCAACGTAATTAAAAATAAAAAATAAATATCGCTTACCCCTATCATCTATTGTATTCTTTCCCAAATTTATTCTTTTAAGCCCTGTCTTCGGATTCGATGTAACAGCTTGTGACAATTTCTGCACATTTTCTCTAAAGAAGAAAACATTGAAAATAACACCCTGAGTATCAGAGCCTCAGGGTATCAAATGTGTTGCCTAATCAGACTATATTTCTTGTTTTTCATATGCAATAGAAGTCGTTAAGCGCTGAACTTTCTATATTTATTATGAAAGAAATATGGCAGGAGAAGATCATATTGGAAGAAAAAATTACTGATCCTATCAGGAAAAATAAGAATAGAAAGAGCAAAAGGTGCAAAAGGAGAGAACTAAAAAATGGAAGTAGTAGATAGATAGATATGAAGATAGGAAGACAAAAAGAAAAAGAAAGGGAGGGCAAGCAGACGAGAAAGCATCGTTTTGCCCCTAGTCAAATTCTTCTACGCAATTAATAGTCCAAAAAAATCACAATTAATATTAATTAAGTAATGAATGTTTAGATTAGTTTTATGAAAATGATTCCATCACAACAAAAAACAAAATTGCTTTACAGCATGAGCTGTTTAATTACCATTGACTGGCATAATTAGATTATCAATAATGGTCTACTTGCTATTTCAAATAATAAGAATAATTTGCTCGGATGCTGAAATAACTTGAAATAATAAAGAAAGGTGGTTACTTCGATAGCCGACACTCGTAAAGGTCAAGTTCTTCAATCGAAGTGTTAGATTTGAAGACTTTGGCCAAACCATCTACCAGCTCGTTGCTCTAGAAGATAGAAAGGTAGGCTGAAATACACATCAACACAAAATAGCTAGTTTCCTATAACTATTCAACTTCGGTAATATGCTTGATGATAATCCGGAGAGAAAAAACTTAGAGTCTGAGGTTGTTGAAGAAAAGCTAATGGAAAAAAGCTGTTCCTGCAAATCTTTGGTCAAAAATGGGCACTGACATCTTGCGTCACTGACATTTATGTCTGCACAATGTTGGATCTATTTTGTCCCTTAGATTTGCAATAACAAAATGCACAGAATCGTTGTTGCGATGTCATTAGGCCTAGAATACCAATGCAAAATGAGAAATCAGAAAGGAGGCTATTGCCACATCTTCTTATTCAGCATATGGTTATTCGTTCATGTTTGAACGTTTCATTACAAAAGAAAGGTGACATTGTTAGGCCTTGAAAAATTTCTTTCCATCACTCGTCATCTTTTTATTTAATCGACGGAATCTTAGAAGCAAATGTATAGAAAATGAACTTATACAAACGAAAACAACATTTGATCCCCTATTATTAATTGAGGAAATTATATAATAGGCTTTGAATCCCTCTACAATCAGACCAAGATGAAAAGGAAACCAATGAATTTGTTCATGATAAAACCAACAAATGTGTAGAAAGAATATAGAAAGAATATAGAAAGAATTTGTAGATAAACTTACTAATTTGTAGGATCGACAGGAAAGGCCTTGAAACCAGTTGTTGTATTCGAAAGTTTCGAGAATAGGAATCAGTTCCCTGAAAATGATTTGTTACACTAGTTGAGCATGCAAAAACATAACAAGAGCTTCTAGGAAATTTTGAATTGACAGAATGCGATGAAGAGCATCTTTTAACGTAGCTAAGGGTACAATTGCCCCTCCAGCACCAGAAATAGTTATCTGATTAAGGTAACAGGCTATAGAGTCCTTAGGCGTGACGTCAGAAAAAAGATATTCTTTTGAATTTTTTAAAGCTTGACAATATAACTAAAAGGACACAAAAAAATGCTTTTGAATATGTAAAATCAGCCAAGTATATAATAATTTGGGTTAGATATGGCCAGTGAAAGATAAGAAGTTTGCTAAAGGATTCTTATTATTCTGGCTCTGTTCATAAAATTATGAACAGAAACAAAATTACAGAGGTTTGAGAGGGAAAGAGCCTGCATTTATGTGGCCAAACCTCAACCAACTGGTAAAAAATTTAACTGATTTTGCATATTTAGCGGCATTTTATGATACAGTTTGAGGTTATGAGATCCAACTTAAAAAATTTAATATTGAAAATAAAATTTGTGATGTCATCGCTTGAGATTTTTTGTCCCTTTTAATAATAACATAGGCTTGCCCCCCCCCCCACACTGAAGCCCCTTAGAAAGGTCTTGATATAACAGTTGTAAACATACGCAATTTTGGCAGTCGGTTCCCTAAAAATGTAGAATATATTGTGGAAGATAGAATTCAAAAAAGAGAAAAACATAGGTTTAAGTAAAGTCTGAGCGTGCCAAAGCAAACACGGAAATAGACCAAAGTCAAAGCTTCGTTTACCATGTACAAGGTTGGCAACTATGTTGCAAATATTGACACAGGCAAATATTTTAAGATAACAAGATATCAGCAATAAACTTAACAGGGCTAAAATTCAGGAATAGAAATTCAGGAAAGTTAAGCCACCTACTTTACTTCTAAATGGTCGAAATCAGATATGTTGAAGTTTTTACATCCATGACTTCCGTAGATTTTATCCACATCCTGCAGAAAATTTGGAAAATAAATTAGAAATTCATGATAATCCTTCCTGGCTAAGCGCGATCTTTACTTCTAAAGGAGAACGGGTGTACAGGATACTCGAGCTTCTTCCACTTCTCCCTGCCTTAGCAGCATATACCTACGGTTGTTTCTTTAAGAATAATTTGAGAATTGAGACATTCAGCATACACAGCAAGCTAATTTTATATAGCAGTTGGGTTATTTATAACAGCAAGCAGTCAGTGGTAGATTTTCAACAGAAGCTGAGGTTCCTTAACAATGAGGTGGGCGCAAAATACTGAAAAATGACTCCACTTCAGGAAATCTCTACAAAGTATGTGAGCAGACTGCAAAGGATTATTCACAACCAAGGATCTGCAGAAATACAGCATGTATCTCGTGATGTAGGTCATTCTCGGGTCATTTAATGTGAAACTAAACAGTAGTAGTGTCAACTTTGAAATATTATACTGATAAATATTCTTTATCTTATGGCCTAGTTTCCAAAAACAGGAAGCAGAAAGCTAAATGGTTGGTTACCATTCCCAAAAGAAAAGCTTTTACGCATGAAAGAGCCATTCATGAAACAACTTCCGCATTATAAGGCAAAATCAAAACAACGGAGGACTGCAAGGAAATACAAATACACCACTTGAAAATTTTTTTATATGTTTTAGGCAACATACCTAATATAAAATTCATCTCCGTATGTTTCAAGACAAAAATCCCGGAGGATTTATTTTACATTCACTGCAAGCAACATGACAAATCGTTACAGGCACTCTGCCAGACAAAAACTTCGATATGCACTAACCATAAGTCAATCTTAGTTTGGCCATGTGCGCAAATAATGTATGGTTTATTAAAAAACGATTACATGATTTCAATCAAGATTGAAAACACTTACCCAAATGACCTCAGCCATCGGTTTTGCTCCATGCAGATCGCAAATCGACGAGTATGATAACGAAAATCCACCTAAAACATATTACATTGGCTAGATTGTTCACTTCCGTATGAAAGCGAACGCTTAAACTCGCAATCTATCTTTTCTGTTTCGATTAGCATTTTACGACGTTCTGTTTGGATAAAGTCAGCTCAATCAAAATTGATGTCAGTCTTACAATGTGTGGGTCACAAACCAGACAAAAGCATCAGTACAAATAATTCATCAGAAACCACAGCCCGCAACATGATTATCACGAAACGGATTAGAGTTGGAAAGGAAAAGGGATTAAGACAAATATGAAAAGCTGCAATATGGACTATAACGGCATCTTTTCTTGGCAAAATTTGAGAAAAAAATCTTAAGCAATATGTAAAATTTTCCTTGCTAATATGTTTTAGTGTTTGGGTTGTGTTCAAGGATGCCTATGAATTGAATTTATCACTTGTGCAATAAAGGCTTTCAATGCGTGCTTCTGATTATAAAACTATATAAAAATTCAAAATTACATGTTTAGTCAAAAAATCTGTTCGCTTAATTTCTGAAAATTCCCATTTCATTCCTAAATGTCAATTTAAAATTATCTATTTTCAAAGACTTCTTATGTCTTTGGCAGAAAGCTAAGGCTCTTTGGCTGCAAGAAAAACACATACGGTTTTCTAATATAGCCTGCACGTATTTGCTTTACGACAACGAATGTGCACGAGAAGGCTGATTCAGTGTCGCATTAACCACAGGGCACACTGGGCACTGTGCCCAGGGCCCTAGGGTAAAAAGGGCCTCAAATATTCTCGATTGGTCAATTAACCCCTACACCCTCCTACCTACCCCCTCAGTTATGAAGGTCAAAGATTTGCCAAGGATGGCTTTATTTTGTATCTCCTCCCTCGATCTAAATTGTACTCAACCATTTCACAAACAATCAGTGAATAAGATAAACAGTTGAAAATGAATACCACTCACCACATGGTCCCATATCAGTATCAGATGCCGGACTAGCAAGTGCAACAGCAAGTTTTGTGATATTTTCAAGTTTCTCTGAAGGCTCGATTTTTAACTTCAATTCATTGCTGAAATTTGAGGTAACATGAATGTAAATTTCTACATATGATCGAGTAATAAAAAATCTCTAATTTATCTTCAAAGATAAATAAACATCAACAAAAGAGTTACAGCAACGTAATACTATTTTTCACCTGCGCTTAACTTCAAAATAACCTTATTGTACTAGAAAAATATTTTAAAAACCTGAAGAAATCTTATTTACCTCAATCACTTTCTGTTGGGTGAGTATAATGCAGTTATTTTTGAACATATTTAGTAGGAAAGTTCTTGCATCTCGGCAAAGTGCTACCGTACATTGTTGGAAGAAAACATTGCAACATTTGACACGTTTGAAATTTATTAACTCAAATTGGAATCATGAATTCTAAGATTTTTAAGAGTATCCCAACGCAATGGACTGTTAACTGTAATACGGGCAAGCTAATATAGAGTTTCTTTTACAATGAAAATAGAAACATCGAGAAATAAAAAAAAGGTCGATCAATATAACATGAAGTGACCTTTCAGTCTGGTTTTAGAATACTATCATGTAAGTTTGCCAAAAGGAATTGGCTATTTTGGAAGATTACACGCTTTTTATAAGAACATTTGGCTATAGCTTCAGCCTGTGGTTTCTTATTCTTTGGCATCAATTCAGCATAACGTGATTCTCATCTTGTCTCTTATTTTTCAGTGGAATTTCCTGTGCAAAGTAGTGTCCGGGCACAAAGTGTGCTTGATGAGGTAATTAGTGCTATTTTGCTATTTTGCTTATTTCTTAAGTTTGGTTAAATTTCAGTATCCTTGTCTTTTATGTTGTTCTTATCTTTTTGGCAAATTTCAGCCTGATGTTTCTTTTACGGGTGGTTCTTATGAAGAAAGCGTGCAGTTTGTTCGCCTTGGCAATTTTACCACTAGAGTGTCCTAGTCTTCATTCATTCTGTTGGTTGCTCGCTAGCAATTTGTAAGGTTGTTACCTACAAATGGTTTATTTAAGGTAGTAGCGTGCTTCAAGAGGGTGTGGCTTGTAAAACTACTTTTCATCAGAAGGGGTTATTCAATGAGTTGATGAATGCCATACCCTATGCTTGAGCCAGGAAAGTTGTGACGCAGCAATGCAATAATCTGAGCGACAATAAACTGGATATCATCTTCACTTTCTGTTGCTATAGCAACTGACACCGGTTTTTCATGGACCACCTTGAACTGCAGCTGGAACAAATAGAAAAAAAACCTGAAGTTGTAAAATCTTCCTGCAATCTTGAATCGAAAACAAAAGGTTCAGGGGTCGCATCAGCATGCCTGTCAAGTTAATGTTTCTAACTGCGTGAGATATATTGTTCTATTTGATTAATTCTATCTTTTCCATTGCTCCAGAGTCTTCTCGAATGCGTGAAACTCGCAAAAAATGTGAGAGAATTGATAGGTCTGCATCAAGAGAGGGCTTGAAAAATAGAGCTTGCTGGCCATAAAGTCGGAAGATCAGAAAACAAATTCATTTTAATAAACCCAAAAAGTCTAAGCCCCTCGTTGCTACCACTACTGGAGCAAACCAAGGAGCTCTCGAACCCGAGGGGTCTCGAATAAACAGGGTGGGTGAGAATTCTTCCTAGCAGTCCCTTTAAAGTGGAAATCATCGAAAAACATACATACCGATTCTCTTTAAATAGAAAAAAATGAATTTATAACATAACAGTATAATACATCATATAGGTCGTGATGATGCTTTCACTCTTTCTTCTAGTTCTCGATGGGGTCTCTCAAACAATGAACATCGTTGGGTTCATCTATTAGTTTATTATTATTATTATTAATCTTATTATTATTAATACATCACACAAGGCTCGAAAACAAGAAATGGGGATTTTAAAAAGGATGTCATTGGTGGATTTGTTCGGAAATTTAATAGCGCTTACTCCGGACTCGAAAGTAAGTTTAGTCCGGACTTGATAGGAACTTTGTATGTAGTGGATTGTGCAGATGTAAAATAATACCATGTAAACCTGTATTCCCTTTTTGCTACGCGGTTAGAAGAAACAAGGAAGTCGAGAAAGATGAGATGTCCAGAAAAAGGATAAGAAATTGAATGCCTTTGATACGGAGTCAAATTGGAACTGAGTCCAGATTATCCGGTAATGGATACAATCGGTTTCACAAAGCAAAACACGTCGGAAAACACATAATTTAATAATCAATGAATGTTTTTTCAAATCTGAGAAACAAGATTAGTTAAGGGTATTTGTAAGATACTTTATGCTTGAATAAAAAGCGATCTTAAAATAGAAGAAAAACAAATTGAAATTAAATCAATTAAAAGTCCCCCCCCCCCCCCCCTAGTACAACCATATCAAAAATATATCAAGAAAATCAGTTATCATTTTCTGTTGCATTGTCAATAGATAATTGAAAATAATTAATCAATAATTTACAATTAACATTTAATGATAAAAGAATTGACACCAATTAATAAAATTTTAATCATGTTGGCAATAAAAGGTGTTCCTTCAACAAGTTAAGCTTCAAATTTCAAACAAACAAAATTTTGAATTCACTTTTTTTATAAATGGACAATGAGAAAGTGACTGGCAAAAAAAATATCACAACATACCATGCATGGTTTTGAACTTTCCACTGATTTGATTTCAAGCAAATGAAAGCTTGTTTCAGCCTATAGACGTAAGGAAAACAAAGAATTTAATAGCTTGAGTTAGCTAGCATGTGTTCCAGACCCCTAACTTGAAAATAGAGGGTCTGTGTAACCGAGAGCATTATCGCATACAATAATTAAATATTTAATAATTTATGCGTAAAATATGCGGCATACTGAATGGAGGTGTTTTTGACAACATTCACAGTGGCTGCAGCGTCAGTTCACTTGAAAAAATTACCCACAAGAGATTATATTGTAACTTTCATTGGCTAGCTACGTGTGAGACTGCTACTTTCAAGTTAGGGGTCTGGAACACAGGCTAGAGTTAGCAGCATAAGAGAATAGCACTGTTTGGAGAATTTATTTTGTCTAAAGCTCATCCAAAAGCAGCAAAGGATATGACAAGAATATAACAACATTAAAAACTGCAGCCAAAACAAAAAAAAGCCTAGAAAAATATCTTGTTTCTTGGCAGATAATAATAACCCAAGTAGTTTAGGTTAGAAAACAAACTTTATAATGCTCAAGCTTTTTTCAATGGATTCTTCTTACTTCATTGTTTTCTTCAAATAAAATGCAAATCCACAAATAGGAAATTGTTACCTTGAATGGTGTCTTTGTAGAGAGTATAAAAACCCTGTTTGTAGATATTACCTGCAATAATAAAAAATATAGCTAACAATACACTTTCCTAAAAAATGATTCCTACTTTTGCATTAGCATTCCCACAAACAGAAATGACAGCCAACCAGAGCAAAATAAATGACCACAAAGTTAGAAAACTTGGGAATCAAGGCCAAAACTAACTTCCTTGAATTCAAAAAATCTTATGACTTGCTGATGTTTTTCAAAAAAAGTTCAATTTCTGAACAGCTGTAAAAATACTTCATAAACAGATTGATTTTCATAAATGAAGCTTTTAATTTTTTTTACTCAAAATCACATTTCAACTTTCATAGTGTTCACTGGAAGTGTCTCTGGCTGCTTTACGGAACTAGACAAAATTTTATCAACAGCAGACAAGGAGGTTTTGAGCTACAATACAAAGTTTTTAAATGTTGCCACATTAAACACAAACTGTCCCCTAGTGGATATCCCTTACAGATTGCTCAAATGTCTCATATGAATTAAAAAAACATTAGTCTTGAAATATTCATCTAGAGAAAAATAGGGTATTTATTTTGCCTATATTCAAACCAAACGTTTTGTCAAAATTCAGTAAGAATTCAGAAAACAAACTGAAATAACAAGAGCTGACCTAAACATGGTTGATCAAAAGGGGTACAATTTTTGTTCACAATATAAAAACAATGAATCAGCAGAAGTCCTATTATCAGACTTTGATGTATCATTAAATTACTGCATTGTATTTTATCATATTTACATGTTTACTATTTGATTTTACAAGTTAAATCAAAGGAAGTACATTGCCAATTAAACTATATATACTTTAAAAAGCTACATTATGCATATTTTACAGATGATAGTAAGCAGGCAAAACAAACAAGCAATCTCTTTCAATTTCCAGAAACTCGCACATTTCAGGATTCCAAAAGGAATGTTGATATTACGATATCAGTTGTTTGCAATTTCCAAAGATCTGAAGCTCTCTAAAGAGAAAGAATTTCAAGAACATGAAATACACTAAACTAACCAAAAATCTACTGCCTCCTTTTTCAAGACCAACTTTCTTAAAAAATGTGACATTTCCTGATCTTTGGGGAATTGCCTTTTGAACTTCTACAATAAAAGAAAAAATACTGAGCATATTTAAAAGAAAAATTTACTGCAGCCCTGAATTTTCGGTCTAATGCTTTTATGAAGAAAAATCATAAATGGCCCGTAGTTCTTCATCCTGAAGTGAAGAAACTCCATCAAAGAGACAAAATAAAATAAAAATTGTAGTTAAAAATAGACAAGAAATTTTGAATATTACTCAAATATGCTGAATATTACTCAGTTTTGCTCTTATAAGATTGTATACATATAATGATTTTATCTTCTGGGAAAACTTTGGAGTTATATAAGGACCTTGGCCTAAGCAAATGATTAAAACTGTTTCAATCTATTTCCATATCATTGATTTACAGTGACATTACTTGTTGATGCCATCGATTAACTTGCATAAAAAGATGGAACAATTCAAAGAAAAACCTTTTGAATATTATAAATCAAAGCACTGTGCATGTAGAGGCATAATTTACACCGAATATGTAGGCAAAAGCAACAAACTTTGCAAATTGTGTATCTGTATGGTATAGAATATATCAGTTAGACATAACTGACGCTTAGAAGAGGATGGGAAGTTAAACTTGTTTAAACACACATCACAAACAGTGAAGAAGGCATCATGACTAGATAAACATTGCCAATCTTTTCAGCCTAGATTTAGGAAATCTAAACAAAAAGTAAATCATTCGGATCAACGAGGTTTTATCCTAAATCCCTGCCTAAGTTACGTGTGCGTGCTTTGTCAGCTTTTTAAGAAACAATCGTTGACAAATCTAAATGTAATCTTTGACCTTACAATCGGCATCAGAGGGCAATTAGCAGATTAACAACAAATTTCTCCCTGGAAACAATAAATCCGGATATGGGAAGCCGCTATACAGAAGCAGTTGATTTAAAAACGAGAAACTTCAGGTGGATGGAGCTCTTAAAGTTAGGTCAAAAGTTTTACGGCCTGGTCTTAGTGCAGTTTCTCCAACCGTGCGTCGAGATTACATTATGAATATGAAATGGTTACCTACCACTAAGTAAAGTTTGCTCTCCTTTGCTTTGCTCCATGTTTTATTTGAAGTCTTTTATTTGCATTCCCGTGCACTAAATTCAATCAGTGCGGGAACCTTCCGAGATGATTAAGATTTCCCTCTTCAGCTTGCCTTGGACACTTCCTTCTCCAATTGTTTTTTAATTGCCTCGTTTCCAATTTCCACTTGCCCTGCCCTGCCCACTGCCCACAAACCGCAACAGGTGCAGTTGCGATGTTTCAAATCAAATCTAATAAAGTTATTTTTAAGCATCTAATTTTCCCAAGCTTTAATTTACGAATAAATATGAAACGAACGCATTTCTAAACCTCACTTCTCCAAACACTGGAACATTTTGTAGGAGTTGAACAAAATTTTACTTTGTATGAATTTAACCTGGCTATATATTAGAACAGGGGGGCTCTCTCCTCGATTAGTTTACCTATTGAGAGAGCTCCTCTTTTAAATAATTCCCCGCATGCAATTTATTATTTAGCTCCTCTTTGTATGTCTATTGTACTTAGTTTTCTGTAACATTGTATAATTTTTTTATTTTGTTTTGTAAAATTATGCATTCAATCTATGTAGTTTAGTTATTTGTATGTACTGTATAATTTTAAATTGAATGTGGAGAATTTTAATTATATCTTAGCTGAACTGAACTGAAGCTCTTTAATAAACTTTTTTCATATTGCTTAAACGTTACCGATTTTGAAAAATTTCAGATTGGTTGTGCAATTACAAATGAATGGAGTGCATATCATTCTAGTATCATTACAAAAGTGACAAGATCTAAATAAAAATAAGCCCTACAAAATGCAACGTTTTACAATTGCACAGAAAAAGGTTCAGAAGGAAGCCTATAAGAAAATTTGTTTGCCATATTCTTTTCGTGCAAACACAACAATGTCGCTCGCAAGGCAGATGTCCATTTGTTTTTCATTTTTTTAGCTTCTCGTTGCTTTCAATATTCACGTCATTACATCATTTACATCTCTAATTTTAGCATATCTATTTGTATTAATCATGCATAACGTGTGGGGCTTTGAAAGATGCCTTGAAGCTAGGGGTGAATAACTGCTAAAAATCTTGTACACCTTTCACAAATTTCCAAAAAAATATCTAAAATCTCTTAAGAATTGCTGAAATCTCGAAATCTTTAAAATAAATCATGAAATCAAAGAAATCTTAAATTTGCTGAAAAAATATCGGAATCTTGAAAAGAAATCTTAAAATCGAGAAAAGAAATCTTGAAATGTTAAAATTTTTTGGCAGTGGCTGAAAGATTTTGCCAAATTCTGGAATATTCGAAGCTTATTTGAAACTGATCCTTGACTTGAAAAATCTTCACAGTTTATAAATCAATATATCTTATCAAGAGCAAGGCCTTCACATCAAGCACCTTTGCCTTTGCTCACCTGTCCAAAATAGATAGCCTCAATCGGACTCTAAAACTCGATGTGACATCACCAAAATGATCACGTTATTCTTATCCTGTGACTCAGCCTGGCTAAAGAAACACAAAGTTACAAACCTTTGTGGAAACTTTTTTTGGGTTTTATGCTATGGCAGATAAGATAGGCAGGCACGAAATAAAAGGACTGCTAAGATCTTATCACTAACTTAGCCTGGTAAAAATGAGATTTGAATTTCATTTTGAGCAGCCTCTAAAACAAGGTATGTAAAAGTTGATAACCAAGTGGCCCCCGAAGAAAATCTATATGTTTTCGGGCCCGGCACTTAAAACAATAGAGAGCCCCTGACTTAAACAATAGTGCTTCCAAAAATGTCATGCACTACTGTTGTTTAGTTTTCTTAGAAACAATTCATTGTGTGTATTGTTGGAAAAGCAATGTCGAATTAAGAACAACATCAAGAACATCGGAGCCTCAAATTAGCCAAAAAGTAATAATATGGAGCCACGGCCAAAATTTTCCGGTACTACTGAAGAGAGTTTGTTCTTTGTATATAGGTTTGAGTGCAGAGTACAAGAATAGTATCAACGTGGTTACATGAGCAGGAACCGATTTAGACTGATCGGAGGATTATCGTACTTTCAGGTGACTGGAAAATGATGGAGATGAACATCTTTTTAAAACTCAGTTTGAACTGTAAGATCAGAGGATGAAAGGATAAAGTAAATTTTTGCATCATTTTGTTACTACCGACTACAAAAAAGGCCTTTCACCGAATCGAACACAAAATCCCCCAAAGGACACAAAAAGGAGGGGGGGGGGGACACAAACCGACAAGTCCCTAATATTAGAAGTGGCTTAGGCCATACTCTTGTTGATTGGCTAACCTCTACCAACAGATGTCTTTAAGAATCCACATTCGTACCAGTCGATTGCCTTCAAGCAACATTCCTGTTGTCCATGTTAATCAATGATACAGTGGATACTCCAAGTCATTGTCAATGACCTGTGTCCTTCGAAACAAACATTTGTAAAAAACCTAAAATGCATCTACCTTTTTCAATACACGAAACCATCACAACATGATGGAATTAACTGCTTTCGCATATTCGTATAGCCAGCTTGCATCGAAGAAGACAAGATAAAAAATCATTCACTTAAAACAACATCATATATTTTCATGCATATTGTACATACTTAATCGTTACATACATGGTATTTTTTTCTTATTTTGAAAATACGACTTGAAGCAGCATAAAGTTGTGTCAAGGTTTTTACTGCCTTATGTGCATACCTACTTAACAAATTCACAAAATCCATCTATATATTTACAAGTCCCTATTTCAACTGGCTCATTCCTTTAATTTCTGCCGAACATCTTTTTCATATTTCCTGGCAACCACAGCTTTGAATTCTGCGAAAAATAAAACACAGATTAAATGGGCAATCATAGTCAATTTTATAATCTCTTTTGGTATCAAAAACCATTTCAATGGAGCAAAATGAATTAAGTTTACAGATTGAAAAAAGACATCATATCAAAATTTTTTAATCATATACTAAAAAAGGTTCCTAAATACGAACTTTCTAATACTACCTTTAAATGCTATTCATCGTGACTATATATCAATAAGGTACATTAGACAGAGGTTCTTTCAAGACAATTCATTGCTGTTTGAATGAATTAAAAATATATACAATAACATAAACTGAAATGTCATATAATTATTAATATATGCATAAGGTTTGAAGGAAAATGTCTGTTTAACCGGTCTGTCATAAAGTGCTTGCTATCGTACAGGCCGAGCTGTAAATTCTTTGTTGCGAAATGCAGGACGATTCTGGGTTGCAGCGCCGATTCTTACGCTTAATTAAAAACCACGTAACTGTATAATGCAATCATACGGTCTGGTGACCGCATTTAGCCTGAAACTCAGAGTTCTCCTGCTTCATCCCCCAAATAAAGGTTTGAATGAAATGATAAAATTAATAAAATAATGACTTTCACTTGACAAATTTCACGAAACAACAAAAGCAACTTACCTTCTTGATTATCCCACAGTGATGCCGCATAAGTGTTTAATGGACTCTCGTTATTTGGTTCTGTTTAAAAGACATGAAGCATAGCACATGAGACTTGTGAGTTTCAAAAAAACATTGGAAAGATCGTAAAAAACGTTCACTTGCTTTGATTTGGCTTTTCATTGAACTTTTGAAGAAAAAAACAATTTTTTTGGAAAAAAGTAGCAATGGAATCTTGCATCCAGCTGTCTTCCGTTATGTCATGTAATATTGCAAAGCTAATTGCAAAATTTTAAAAAGCAAAGCAAAAGCATAAATTGGTTCTGATACCCAGCAGATTCGCAATTGGATATATGGAAATGTCAAATCCTTATTTTTCTGAAGAAATGACTAATTCGAGCTTGGTAAAATGCAAGCTTGGTAGACAATTTTCATTAAAACAAAAAACTCTGACTTGATTGCCGATGAGCCTCTGGCAAAAAATACTATTTATGTGAAACTTTCAGAAAATGACAAAAGATCTTTTCAAGTAACATATTTTATACGTGATAAAGGTAGAACACTAATAACCTTTTATTCATCTATACATTAGCTGTTATGCATTGCGTGCATTCACTGCCAAGATCACATTCTTCAATTTTGTAATAAAATATGTAAGTAGAGACATTATTTTTTGTTACTGTTGACAATCGCTTCCAACTGCCTTACACTGCCGTACGCCCATTTTCAGTTTGAAAGGACTTTCTACTTCGTTATCTTTTTGTTTCTGAACTTTAATCCCAACTCGGTTTTGATGTCAACACACAGTTTTGGTCTGGCCTTGATTTGATGTTGACGCACTTACTCTACAGCACTGTTAGGGGCCCATCGCCCTGTGACACGACATTGTGTGGTAGGGATGCCATTTCCTTTCCACGCTGCTTTGTACCTCCCTAGTTTGTTTCAATTAGGTACTCGTTTTCAGCTTAGTGAATTGCGGGACGCCGGGATCAAACGCCGAAGCAATGGCATGGCAGTTGAGCGCGTTAACCACTCGACTAGCTATAAAAACATTGCAAACGTTCCTAGAAAGCGAATTTCCACCTGATATCTAAACCAGTTCATCCTTAACCATCGCTATTCAACCTATATTTGTTCCACTGTCAGATCTTCAGGGGCAAAGAAGCCGGAATAAATTTAAAAAAAATCCGATCAAATTGGCTTGAGAAGGCGGAAAATTGATGAATGCTGCCATGCTATCGGCGTAGACAGGAAAAACATCAAAAAATGATGATTCAGTGTGTTGAACCTCAGGTATTTCTGGTATAGCTCACGTCTACCGATCAACCAAATTGAATCATATATAGATTGACATCTTATCAAGGACTATCAAAGTAAATCTAGTCCACCAATACAGAGCCTTTAAAAACTTTCTTCATCCAATTTATTTATAAAACTAACGAAGGAACTTGCTGATAATATTGGTAATGTTATCTCTAAGCCCTGAGCTAAGTCGATGATGAAATTAGGTACTCATCTTTTAAAAGGATTTGTGAACTATTCACCCCTTCATGGCGTAGAACTGACTTATTCTAAAATAATTATGTATGTTTTACTCTCAATAAGTGAATGGACATTCTCTGCATCAAGCAAGGGCTTCCTCCCAATAGCTGACCTCTCAATCAGCTGAACTCTAAATCAGCTGACTTCTCAATCAGCCAATCTCTTAATCAGCTGACCTTCCAATCAGCAGACCTCTAAAGCAGCTGACCTCCAAGTGAGAAATTAGGAGGCCAAATATCCTTATGCTTGTTGTGGTAATGTTTTCTATGTGAGATCATTAGTAAGTGCATTAGGGTTTAGGGTTTAGCAAGAAAATGTCCTTTTTGTAAATAGCAGATACAGTGAGCAACAATATGGAAATTGAACTTGGGAAGTTTCCATAAGTGTAACTGTGTATGATGTTAAACATAAGATTCAACAGATCTTTCAATGGCTTTTTATTCTTGTTATCATAAACAATTTGGCAATGTTGATAATTTACCTCCAAGAAGACTTTGTATTGATATAAGTATAGTCTTTACTTCATATGACGGTGCCCATTGTTCCTAAACAAGAAAATTATTCAACAGTTGAAGTTTTACATATATTTGAAAACATAACTTAGAATAAAAAACAGTACGTCACAAGATTCACTGAATAAACCATCAATCAAAGCTTAAATATTTCAGAATTTTTTCAACAAAATTACAATGATGAGCATCTTCAGTTTCAAATTTCAGTATCATGTTTAAATAAACATTATATATTTATACAGAATTAATGATAACTAACTGCTGATTGTGAATTAGACTATGGCAGGTGCAAAATATTTAAAATTGTTTCGAACAAAAATATAAAAAAACACATCACAAGCAGAGCAACATGTAAGAATTTCAGCTTCTTCAATGATACTTGAAAATCACTGTGATACGTAAAACTTATGCAAAATGTAAGACTTGGCAGGGAAATAAAAGATGGCTTTGTTTGATGAAATTTTACCCTTCTTGAAAACAACTTACTGTCATTCTGTAAGGTTTGAAGGGAATCATTGCTATTTACACTTTATCATGCACCTGCCATAAATTTATTCTCAAATAATTGCATTAAGTTTTTGTTTTTGAAAAAAAAGAATGTGAGCAGAATATTTATTTTTTTAAGACTTGTTGCATTCATACTAAATGTGGTGTTCATACTAAGCTCTGTGTTTAAAAATAGACTGTATTTTTTACTTTGTTTATTATATATGTTTTTGTTTTGAAATAACTAAATAACTAAAGGACAAAGAATATAGTTTTCTGACCGTTTCATTATATAGTGCAGAAATATTTGGTTTTATAGGTAAAATCTTACGGCAGAACACCATAGTAACTTACCATGTATATATCTATAAATTGCTCAATAGGTAGAGGACAAAGCAGGATCTTGCAAAAAAGTTAGCAAAAACATACCTTCAATATATCAAGACAAATGTTTCCTTTGTCATCCACATTCGGATGAAAACAGGGTGAGGTGAACTTTACTCTGGGTGCCTCACATGGGTATTTATCTGTGAATTCTAGTGACAATTTGTATGTCAAGTTTTCATATGGCTGAAAAAAAATATGCTTCCTATAATTAGGTTCTCACAAACTATTGCAAACATATTAATTTGTAACTATATCAAAGAATTTTTTTAAAGATTGTAAAATGAGAATAGATGGGCATATTTTGCCTGATTTTACCATTTTTATTCTGTTCAAGTGGAACTAAGTTACTAGGTAAACTACACAACGTTTTATTTGTCAATTTTGTATTTTTAAAGTCTTCTTTTCACATTTTTTCATTTGTTAATTTCATAGTTTCATTGAAATCTTTTTTTGCATCAACATATTTTAATGGCGCATTCTCCTTGTTTATCTAGAAAATTTCTGCAATGAACCAAGGCTTAGTACTGCAAAATATTGCTTCCTCTGTCATTTAGCCAACTCTAAACATGGTTCATGGTATTAAAATTAATTTACAAACAAACATTCTCAAAAATTAACTGAAGCTGAATAGAAATTTTTCCAATTATATATGTTTGCAAAATGATACAGATGTTATATTAGGTGAAAAAACAATAACAGAAACTTACTGTGTCAGCAACACCCACTATTGTTGCATTCCAATGAAATAGGTTGTCTCCAGAGGGAAATGCTGAGATACCTTTCACTGGAAATGTCTGAAAGAAAAATGCAACTATAATAAAAGAATACATCAATTGTGGACATCTAAGCATAACTTCCAATTCCTATTTCCTTTTTTCTGAATTTGACTACAAATGAATACCATTGTTCGAAGATTCAAAATGGTGGATTCTTGGAATTTTACCTCAGAATTTCTGAAAATTTATTTATAGATATCTCAAAAAGTACTACAGGTAATGTGAAAATTAGTTAGTACACAATATGTGAAAATTTGCAAAATCTGAGATGGTGGGTGACATGGCCTTGGCGATTTGACATGGAATGATCCAAACATATTCTAAGGGGGATTTGAAATGCAAAACTGTTTTTTGCTATAATGCAGATAAGAAAGCACGGAATCATAATTTCAAGGTTTCGGTTAATTATTCATGTCCATTTTTATGCAATTCCGCTTTTAATGTCATTAAATTATCGTCAAGTGCTCAACTATTGTCAGCAATTTTATGGCACAAAATGCATGATGTCACAAACACCATGTTTTTGTTCCTTGAATTCAAATCATGCACGAACTGGACAGTTCAGTTCATTTAGTTCAGTTACAAATTGAGAAGATCTATGTAGCCTTTGACCCAAGATGTATGAGAATTTGAAGCTAAGGAAATGTACAAGGGATATGCGCTGGTCGGTACTGCATTTTGATGAGAGGGAATTCAAGTTTGGAGGCAGCCACTTTTAGCTGCCCAAAAAATACACATTTCTGAAGTTAATCATGTGGACGAATGTTAGAATTTTTTCATTTTATCATGAATCTAGTATATTATTTTTGAATAAATGCAAAATATCATTACTTAGATATATCTTTTTTACATCCAAAAAACATGATTGTTACATTGGGTTTGCAACTCATCAGTTCAACCAAGTTGAGATCAAGTTAATTTTACATTTCAGTTCATCTTTAAAATTTACAAAGAGCTCTCTCATTAGGTAAACCTATAGAGTTTTTCAGTGATGATATCACAAAAAATATTTTCCCAATCTCAGAATTTGGAGCACATGGCCTGTAGAGCATCAAAGTGGCTGTAGTATAGTCACACAATGACAGGCATTTCCCTATTCAAATCATGATCTATATAGCAATTTGATATATTTTCTTGAGGTTAAGAACTAAGCCAAATTAAACGTAATCAGTTGGCAAACTTCAAATCTTTCATTAGCCCATATCTTTCTCCTTCCATCTTTTTGGCATTTCAAAATAATTTTGCATATTCAGAGGTGCTTCCCAGTGCTATTCTACACTTCTTTGACATCATACTTATGAGTTCCATCAAGAAGAAAGCATGATTCCATCTTGTATGGTTTGCAAAGGAAATGTGATGTCAGGGATGGAAAAGATTATTTAGTGCCTCCAACCTGTATTGTATCCATCTGTTATGTTCATTTACCCTGTTTTTATAATTTATTTGTGTTCAATTTTAAAGCCTGTGCCATACCCTTGCAACTTTTTAGTCTACAATGCTCAACTGTTTGTATTTGATAGCTCTTGGCCACTCTGTGGAGTATTGTACATATAGTCCTGTATAGACTCTAAATACATGTAAAGTGAATTCTGAGCACAGTTAAAAACGGGGAGCGAAAGTAATCTTTGTCAACTTCACACATGAGCAGTTGCTTCACTAAAAAAATTAACAGGAACAACAAACCCATAGTGCTGCGTCTAGCCTTGTAAGATAAGGATTCATTCCAGCAGAGTGGAGATGTGAGGACTGAAGATACAAATGAAGAAGAATTTGATGTACACAGGCTCTGTCCTGGCACAAAAAAGCTCAATGTACAACTCAATTTCAAGGCCCACAGCTAAGGCTTGCAGCCAGAAGAAACTAAGGTGGACTAATGAAGAGATTTTGAAAATTTTGAATTTTATGAAAGCTGGTCCTTTCATTTGGATGTTTTTGACAAGGAATATCATTTGAAGGATAAAACAGAACGAGCCCTTAGTGATAAGGAGTAGGCCTATGATATAGAAGCACCTTGTTTATCAGCCGTGTTTAGCAACCTTGCTGCCACAAATTTGCAATTGAGGCTAATTGTTCTCTTAAGAGAGGCTTCAATTGCCTTCAATTTTGAAATCAAGTGAATCGTTGGGAGCGATTGAACACCCCTTTTAAAACTGCTTGGCATTTGCTCTGTTTAACAGCAAAATATCAAACTTTTTAAGTGAAAAAACAAGAGCAAACGCGGGGCTTAATTTCAAAACATACAAAGTACAGAAACATTTGCAAGTAAGAAAGTTTTGCGTGTACTCACCATGTCACAAGACTTAGATTTTAAAAAATTTATAAACAGATATGTGGACCTTCTGTGTCATTACCAAGATTTTATCATGCATGCTTATATTAGTGACAAATTCTTAAATAAAACCCAGAAGGTTCTCTTATTTTTACCAAAGAATCCAACATAAATTTGTACGAAACAAGTTGATATAATTTCAAAAAGTGCCTTCATTGTAATATCAAAAATTAAAATTGTGCCTCTGATGGGCGGTCACATGTTTGCATCCTTTTTCCAGCCCTGTGTGCTGTTTTCAATATATAACTGCATCAACAGTCTTGTATGAAAAAGGAGATTCATATTCTGGTTGCCTACTGAAGGACATAGCAGACTTTTATATAAATTGATTTCCTTCACTGTTCTGCAAGTACTCTTTTATCAAACTCTCAGTTGAAAGTTTTCCTTAAGACAGAAAATCACACTTACAGATAGCCTTATCTACATGCAGCTATTCAAGATGAAGTCATCACATTGAACTATTGTGGTGGGTAATACTGAGAAAAATTTTAGCCCTGGCAGCTGCAACTGGTATTGAGAATATCAGCCTAATATAATTTTTGGAAGAAGAGACCCAGTGCTCTAAAATAAGACAAATTCTTTTCTCAACCATAGAGAAAACTGAATGCCAAGCACCAATGATAATATTTATTAATGCAACCATTTATTTGTCAAGTCTACATATATTTGATTTCTTGTTAAAGTAATGAAATTCTTCTAAACCATTATTGCCATCATTTCAATGAGGATATGATTTCAATTCTGTATTCATATATCCTTCAACTTTACTATCTCCCAAGAGCAATATTTCCTACCATGAATTTTTTGGCATCTGCATTTGCATAAAATTCCTCTAGAGAGCCTTGAAATAAAATGGGTGACTGACCATCACTCTCAACCAAAAAAGAGGGCAAAAATTCTTTTTTTGGGCAGATCACTAGTGCATTTTAAAAGTTAGAAAGTGAAATTTATTGATTTTCTAAAAATATGAAGTTTTGCTGGCCATGCTTTGCTTTGATAAAAAATGAATTAGTTTGTGATGAAGATTTTCATTTGAATCAACACTGCTAGCTTAAGATGCACAACATATTCATAACTAGCCCATCACCCTTCTTTGCCACATAAGTATTAATTCTTCCATTTCTATTTTTTACGTTTATTGCGCAATTATTACAGCTAAACCGTTAAAATGCACTTGGTTTATACAGGCGCTGAATAAAAATCCCTAATTTATTTATGGAAGGTTTGAAAATTGTTCACTGCTCTAGTGTTCGACAAAACTGTCTGTCCAACCCGTGATATTTATTTATAGACGTCTCTGTATTTTTTAAAAATAGTGAAAATCTTTCACGTTAAACTTTCCAGTCAGTAATGGACTCACCATAAGCATTGTTAGATCAAGTTGTAACCTGCAACGAAACAAACAAAAAATTACTTATCTCGAATGTAATGTAAGGAAAGCTGATTTCTTAACTTTCAATAATTTAAGCAAATTAATGCATCTGTCTTACAAAAAACGAGAAACAACCAAGAAATTACAAGCCTCAATACAAGAAGCACAAAAGAATAGGGCCTAACAACGTAATAATCCAACCTTCTTGTGACGCTATGCGAGCAAGCAACGGGTTGTGACTTTGACTCGGCTTTTTTCACTGTGGATTCTCGATCCCCAGCAACTGCAGATCTTCTCGATGCTGTTGTAGACATTTTTATGAACTATATTATCAACTTAGGGTAATAAAGTCGAATCTAATGCACTTTCAAACAGCCACGGGCCACAAAAATCAGCTACAAAATGTATGCGTTTTAAAACACCCCGGTAGACCACAGCTGAATTTTGAATAGACCAATCAAAAGCATTCGTCGATACGAGACTGTTGTTGAAAACGAGTCGGTCACGGGGGCAAAGGGAAATAGGTTGGCAGGTGGGCAGGGTAAAATTTTGAATGAAACAATAGCGCCCCTGCTAAATAACCATCCTTTTTAAACAAGCGCCCCAGAGTATGGGTGATTTTTATGCGTATACCTGGCAAATAAGTGGGCCCATGATGAATAGGCACTGCCCCATTCATACAAAACTAACTTCTTTCTCGCCACATTTTTTCTTCAAAAATCAAATTAATTCTTTGTGCCATTAGTTTGAATTGATGAAAAACAAATTTCGAACGAAGTTGCTTTCATTTCATTTCCTTCCAACCTTTTTTAGAAAAGTTTGCCCCTGAGATATTGAAGTCTGATTTACAGCGAACCATGTTAAAAACTAATCTTTTAAATACAGTATTCTCTACAATTAATTGGAAATGTCCGCCTTTTGGAAAGTTTAGCAATGTAAGTCCCAAATTTTAAAATAGACACAAGTTTTGAATTTAAAAGGTGTAATCAGTGGTGGCGCCAGGGGAGGGCTACAGCCCCTCCGTCGGAAGCATCTAGCCCCCCATCGGAGGAAGTTATTGAAAAGAGGTTGAATCGTGGAGGTGGCTATGGTCTGGAGATTCCAGTAATTTACCACTTTCATGGACGAGAAAGGTTGGTAAACTGGGCTTTAATGAAGCTCAAAGTTGTAAAAACCAACTAGATTGTCAAAAGTCAAAGTGTTTGAAATAGATATTTGAGCAAATATTCATTCGTCTAAGTTTTTTGTTTGCTGGCTCCTAACTTTTTGTAATGTCCGCTAATTGGGAAAAAAAGCCAAATTGACTATATTGTGCAAAAAATATTGTCCGTTAATTAGAGTGTCCGCTAATTAAGTGTCTGCTTTAGTTAATCATTCCCACTGAACAAGAAACCTTGGACGACATTAGGTTGAAATCAAGACTTGTGTTGTCTGCATACTTCGTGAACCTTCTTGTCTAAATTTTAAAGCAAAAACAAGGACCTGAACGGATCCTTGTGGTAACCAATGACTGATATTCTTAGTTCATGACAAATCTCCGTTTACTTTATAGCATTGTTATCTTTTGCGTGGATATGATTTTAACAAAGATGTCGACATATATTTTCCTACCTCAATGGATTCAAACTACTAAAGTTCAGTTTCTCGCACATCACAGTAAAAAAGCTTCTGCAGATGTAGTCAACAATTTCCTGTAGTCGAAAGGGTTTCCTTAAGTATTTGAAGGTATTCTATGCCAGTATATCTTTTTCACTTTAGGATCAATATAACACTCATTGGATGCCGAAAGAATGTTTTTATTACAGAAAGGCAATGGAATTTACTCTATCAGTCCATTTATTTTCTCTTCTTTTCGATTTTCGTAGAGTCTTTGCAGTCACATCTGATGTTGCAGATTTTTTTAAAGAATGGCGTTCTAAGGCAAAAAGTGTTACAATTTGACATGAAAAGCTTAAAAACTAAAGCTTTAATCAAATCAATAAAGGATAAAATAATTACACTTTAAAATTTTTGTGTTACAGGAGAGCTTCATCGGCTGTGGACCTAGGGCCTTAATAGTTACCCAAGTTACTCAGGTTTGAGACTAGGGATGATTAACTGTTTAGGGGCGATGACTAGGGGCGATGAACATCTAAAGTGAGATGGGCAATACAAAGTTGTTAGGAGCAAAATTTGTAGAGGACTTAGGTCAATGGAATGTTGAAAAATATAACTCTCCAAAATGTTTGAAACGTCTGCTTACTACTGTGGAAAGTCACCTAGGCTATTCTATTTGAGACACTCTTCCAAAACCACACTTCTTGCCTTCCAACGTCTACAAGACCGGGCTCGGTCAATCATCGAAAACGCAAGGTTTCAGAATAACTGGTCATGTAAAGGTGGAGCGTTGAAAATCTCTCCGACTCGATCGATCTGTCAGGATATTAAAAATCATGACCAGATTGAGCCCAGAAAGCCTTTGGAGATTATTCCTGCAATTATTCTCGCAATCTAACTATGCAACAATGTGTTATATAGATCTTCAGACACCTAGAATAAATTCTGAGCATTTTCGATTGCAGTTAATTTTTTTCGAATTCAACTAAAGGATTTATACTTACTTGAGATTGTAAAGGGCAACTCAAGAGTTGAATCGTATTTAAATAATTTTTATCATTTTCATATAATCACTAACCTCGCATATTAACTAAAAAAGAAACAGCAATTAAATATGTTAACATGTCTTCGTACCATATACGTCTTGATGGGACGGTAGATTGACGTAGCATGAAGGTAAAAAAGCTTACTGCAGTTGCATGATGGTAACTTTGAATTAAATGTTTTGGAAATGTTATGAGATGATAAGGTAAGGAAGATTTTAATTATTACAAACTTTATGCAAAAACCGTATGCATTCTAAAAGTGCAACTTCTATTTTGTTAACAAACAAAAAGTAAATGGATGCTGCATTGATTTTTAAATTCAAATTATAATGAAATTTTGTAATAAAAATAAAGTAGAGTAGTTGATCAAAGTGACAAACCGAAAAAGGTGGGGGAGATATCGTATTGATACAATCAAACTTATTTTTCTTTTATTAAGATATTTACGAAGAGAAACCCTTTTGGTTTTAAGTTGCTTTTTAAGCACTTCAACAAGGCAAACAAATATAATTGCACCTTAAAATGCCTTAATTCCTAAATAAAGAATTTTCTCTTACAATGTGAATAATCGTCTTTTTATTGTGAAAAAGCCAGTTTAACAGGTTTTATTTGTTCAGTTGATGTGTTTTCACAGTTTTATTTGTTCACTCTGCAAATAGCTGGTTTCATGCATGTTGTCCAAAAGCTTTTGGTTTAGACAATATAAAATTGATTAGTTGATTCTCATCAGAACTGCGTGAAAATATTGGGCGGCCGGCAGATTTAAAGTTTAATTATGGGCCTAATAATACGAGCTGGATGAATAAATGAATCAATTAATTAAATCTGCCATCGCCCATCATTGGGCTGTTCGAGGGGTGTGTCACTCTTTCCAAACATCCTGTTAGATTTTTAAGAGCAGTAGGATTTTTAAGGATTCTTCGAGGATTTCTCTCGAAAATAAAAGGATTTTTGCCGAAAATGTAATGGACTTCGTGGAGTGGTATGCCCCTTTGCACCGCTGGCTTCCTTTCATAAGAATCTCTCGCCATGTAATGATGTTCGCCATCCCTTCCTCACGACGTCTTCCTCCTTTAGCTTTACCGTCTGTCTTTCCATTGATGGAAACAAACACCAAGCTCTCACTCTTCTCTTCCAGTCTTATTTTTTCTCATGATCTTTCGCTTTAGGATTTCGTGCAATATTCCATGCTCTTCGTCTTCCCCAACTTGTTCTCACAACGCTTAGTACTTTAGTACATTCAAGGTTACGGTAAACGTTTTCTGGATGAAAATATCCATTTTTTTTTATTTTTCACATTCAAGTAGCCAAACTTTAAAGGCACAAAATGATACCACATTTGAAACTAACAGAAATTTTGAAATTGGAAAAAATCTCATGTAAAAGAAGGTTTCCAAAATTTTTTTCTCAAAACTTTTACTTGAGGTCTGAAAATCTCTTGACCTGTTAAAGGGCCTCTCCAGCCAAATTTTGCACTTGCATTTTACCGGCCAATCTAAAGGAGTTGAACCTGCTGATCACGAATTCGTTATTTGTTTTTGATACTTTATACAGTTTGTGAGATATAAGCTCTTGCATTTCGATAATTGAATTGAATTAACCGACAAACATTTTTCGGTTTGGTGACACTGTGACGCAATTTTGACGTCACAGTGTATTTCGTTAGTCTCGCCTCAAACCGAATCGAACGTCGGCGATTCGCAAATTGAACACTGCAAATGATGGTACTCTCAGGTCTGTTCCACCGGCATTTGGTTTGAGCATTTCAGATATCAATTCTGAAGCCTGTAGTTGTTCATCGTTTCTGGAGAACAACTGAAGTGTCAATTTCGATTAATTATACGCGAGGGAAGAGCTGGAACAGGAAACCGTAGGTTTGTGGGCCTACACAGGTGATCAAAACAAAGTCGTGACACAGCATGGACACATTCCGACCTGCAAACTTAGAATGATTGTAAACATTTAATATTTTTTTCGATCCTAAAAAGCTCCTGCTCTAGATTTAGATGCAGTTATCAACGCATGACCATGACTCCTTCACGATTCGGTGGAAGATATACGAAATTCATGACGAACGAGAGCCGCGCACTGTGACGTCAGAATGTACAAAACTGATTCGGCTTTTGTCGTTCTTTTCTCGGAAAGATGCTACTTTACAGCCTTATAACTTCTAAACTAATTGGAATTTTGCAAAAACAACGACTTTGCCATAATACACGCACCAGATGCTAACTTTTTAGTCAATAAAAAAAATATTTTTTGGCTGGAGAGGCCCTTTAATACCTCAAAACAAAAATGGCCATAGAGTAGAAACGCAATGTTCAGGACCATTGCTAGACCTGAACAGGGGTTGCAAGATGAATGTGCCGAGTAATAGGCGTGGCATGAGTGTAAAATGACTGTTGCTTGGGTGCATTAATTCATGGCTAGGAGCAGCTGTTATCTTCAAAGTATTTCAATAAAATACCAACTCTGTAAAATGTTTCTCGACAGACTTTCGGAACTTCCCATTTTTTATCTTTTGGCATTATCATTCTGTATCAGCGATGCGGAAGCGGGGAGGGGGGAGGGGGGGCTGTGGGTGTTTTAACCTCTCCAATAATTTTCAAAATGTACTTAAAGCCATATAAAAAACGTCTCGGTTTTTAGAATGTTAAGCCCCCTTCAAACATTTTAGCCCCCTCAATCTGTAATATGATCTACGGTCCTTGCTCTGTACCATCATTAATTTGTCAGCTTTGTCGACTAAGTATCGATTTTGTTAAATTTGCCGAATGACTTAGTTCTAGGAAGTGCCTTACCCCCGCAATCTCCTTTCGTGATAGACCTTGAGACGTTCTACCAGCTTTCTTCTTAGCAAAGGCCCAGCGAGGAAAATATTTCAAGCTTGTTTCTTTCAAGTTTTCATTAGATCCACATATCATTTCATTTGCAATTTCATTTCCATGAAATCTTTAGCAGCTATTGTTATGCTAATCCTGTGCCTATTTTTCTTCGTCGCCTTCTTTGAGACGTCAATATTGTCTTAGATTTTATTGTCGATCGTCAATAATAAAATAGAGAAAATTGAAATTACAAAGTGAGTTGTTTTTCGTGTAATTGCAAAATACTAAAGAGAAATTTAGTTTTTTGTGAATTTAAATCGGAATGGAATCTAAAGAAGAGAATTTGATGCAGAATCAAAGAAGAGACGGGCGCTGATGAGAATGGACTAATTAATTTTGCATTGCTTATCACGATATCGATCCATATTTCCTTTTATCCTCTTTGACAAATGTAAACTGTTTTCTTTTGATATTTCAGTATATATGCACAGGTGCATCCTTGGGTATTCATTTTCTTGAACTCGTTTGCTTTTGTAATAGGGTTATTTGCCAAATAAATGTATCCACCCTATGGTTATCGTCGAGACTAAATGGTCCTTCCATCCATGAGAAAAGAAACAAATAGACACAACGATAATTTTCAAACGTCCATCTTCAGATCAAACGATCTTTCCGCGATAAAAGGTTCTATAACTATAATGTTTCTCTACGGTTGTCCCGTAACGTCGATTCGTTCTCTTAATGTCAGGCACAGTCTTTCTCAAGCACTGTCCTCTCAAATATGTCAAATAATCCACAATAATCGTCACGCGCGATGTCTTAAATAGCTATACGTATCCTATAAATCCATAATTTATGCCGACAAGATCTTTCACAAGCATCTTGCCACATAAGTGAAACGTCGAGAACCTAGATATAGAAAATATCAAAACTTAACCCTATCGCTCTTAACCGAATTCCATTTCCAACTTCAACTCCAACTCAAACTCCAACTCCAACGAACTTAAAAAATAACTCTAAATGTAACACGCCCAAAATATAACTGAACAAGAACTTATTGTGATGCTACATAGCTACGTAAATTTATATAATAATAGTGAATACAAAATATATTACTCCCAAGATTAATTACATAAACTGAATAATGATACTAAAAATCCCAAAAAAGTTAATGAATCTAAAGGTGCAATTAGATAACAAAAGGAATTATAAACAATCGAATGTGCGAATGGTGATAAAATTACTAAGGTTACAGGATGCAAAACAAACGAAATCCAAACTAGCACTATTACACTTTGAATAAGTTAAAGGGCCTCTCCAGCCAAAAAAAAAATTTTTATTGACTAAAAGTTAGCATCTGGTGCGTGTATTATGGCAAAGTCGTTGTTTTTGCAAAATTCCAATTAGCTTAGAAGTTATAAGGCTTTAAAGTTGCACCTTTCCGAGATTAAAAGCGACAAAAGCCGAATCAGATTGGTGACATTCTGACGTCACAGTGTGCGGCTCTCGTTCGCCATGAATTTCGTATATCTTCCACCGAATCGTGAAGGAGTCATGGTCATGCGTTGATAACTGCATCTAAATCTAGAGCAGGAGCTTTTTGGGATCGAAAAAAATATTAAATGTTTACAATCATTCTAAGTTTGCGGGTCGGAATGTGTCCATGCTGTTTCACGACAGACCTGAGAGTACCGTCATTTGCTGTGTTCAATTTGCGAATCGCCGTCGTTCGATTCGGTTTGAGGCGAGACTAACGAAATACACTGTGACGTCAAAATTGCGTCACAGTGTCACCAAACCGAAAAATGTTTGTCGGTTAATTTATTTCAATTATCGAAATGCAAGAGCTTATATCTCACAAACTGTAAAAAGTATCAAAAACAAATAACGAATTCGTGATCAGCAAGTTCAACTCCTTTAGATTGGCCAATAAAATGCAAGTGCAAAATTTGGCTGGAGAGGCCCTTTAAGGATCCTAGCGCCCGTTTATACTTTAGAAATCGTTATATATATAAATATATGTTTGTTATGGTTCTTGCTCGAGTTTGCCCACCCTAGCCGACATCTACAGCTACGTGGTTGCCTGTCAAGCTACTGTGGTGTTCTGCCGTAAGCTTTTTCGTATAAAGCCACAAGTTTGTGTATAAGGCAGTAAAAAACGTAATGAAAATAGCAAAAACAAATGACTCAGCTTGAATTCCACACAAGCGTATCTTGCAGTTTCGAGTTACAATATTTTGTCAAAATATACAGAACTAACTCGCCTGAAAGCCAGCAGGCTCATTTGAATTTGAATATGGCGCGTCTGAAAGCCGTAAGAATTGACAAGTAAGCAAATGGTCCCGTTTGCCACTTATTTATTAAGTATTATGCTGAATATTCTGGAAAATGCAAACAGAAGCAGCAAATTACAGTACAACTTTCTGATAACCATCCTTGATCAAGGATCTCTCAGGATGAGTTTTACAAAATTTCAATGTCATTTGAAACTAAGTTTTGCGACAAACTTTCCTTATCAACAGAAGTTTGTTACTGTGTATCGGTTTACCAAGCAAAATAAAGTATGCAAAATGAAGTACACTGCCCAAAATATTTCCACCGACTTAGGAAAAATGATTTGAATCGAGAGGAGCCTGGAGCTTGTTGGCTTTTGGCGACTTTGTTTAAGAAAGGGTGATCTTTTCTTGACATGACATTTTGAAAATGAAATTTTCCTGATGACTGATCGCTTATGAAAGAAGAAAGCGGCTTTCTTGTAATATGTTCTTTATATTGAGTGATCGCTCTTATTTTTGCTAGAATGGTCTATTGTGGTCTTTTAGTAAACCTTTTCGTTAGCCTATGTGAAGAATGAAGGCATATCTACGCAAAAGAGAAATACACAAGAGAATACTGCTTCTTGATTTTAGCATATAAGTAGACGTTTAATAGAATTATAGTCAATTGACTTTAAAACAGAAATCATGCAGGGAAAGCAAAACACAACATATAGCTGTAATCCTAACATAGCATTAGACAATATCTTACAACAGTCTTCTCGTATTAAGACTGAATCAGGGTCAGTAAGATTAAATACATAGATATATCTTAATACATTTATGTGAAGTCTGAGTTTCTTATTCAGTTCTGAGTGTAATCTTGCGTTGCGTTCCAATCTATCTTCTTATAGAGCCGTTGCAAAAGGAGATCTTCTTACATTGTCAGTTACTACGTCAAGCAGGTTACAAAAGCTGTGAATAAAATGGATACAAATAAATTGCATTTAGTACCCTCATGGCATTTTTTCGATTTTCAATAGTTATATATGAATAGAGCTTAACTAAAATATTTTCAGACCCAAGCTGGTGTTTAAAGGTATTTGATCTCAACGAAAATCTGTTTTAATTGATTTCAAACTTTATGCCATACCATAGAATTCCCTGAAACCCCGATATGCAGAGAACCCTTGGTTTAGACGTTCTCTTTAAAATTGTTTACCCACCCATCTTTTCTGATCCCCTCCTGGTGTTTTTTATAGAAATTAGACGTGGTTCTCTCTTGCATCGATGGGCAAGAATATTCCAGTGGAATCAATGAAAGCAACTAGCAACCAGCTCTTGTGCTATGACGCAGAAGTAGAAAGTATGAGACAGTAGAAATAAACCAACCAATGAAAGAGTGGGGGGGGGGGGGATGGACTACAGAAAACACGTGTCGTTTCATATCACAAGCTATTATTAATTCAAACATCTCTTGGTAGTAGACATACCTCCATCCATTGTGTGCTTTATTGCTGCGACTGACAAAGCCTTCGACCAGTAGCAAAAGTCATCTATGTGTACAGCGTAGTGCTCACCACTCAAGGGATAAACTTCCTCATCAACCCCAAATCCTACGCTGTGACTTTTATTCGTCAATGGCACAAGAATCCGTTCTGTAGCGGCTTCACTAACCAACAAAATACCATTCAAGTACAAACTCACATCGAGACCTAATGAATTCAAGCAATAACAAAGTATAATTCTCTATAATCTATTTATCATTAGCGTAACCGTATAATCTCTTCTTTCATTTAATAGTTCAAAGCCTTAATAATAATACCTTTAAATGCTAAACAGTTGCCAGTTGAATTAAGTGATATTTTTCATTAGGCATATTCATTAGGAAGATTGAAAAATAAAATTTAAAATTGGTCGAGAAAAATGAAAATTTTACAAGCACAAAAGTATTGTGTTTCCGAAAATAGCTGGGAAAACGGAAAATGTTTCCGAAATATCTTTTTTATGTAAACACATAGAATTCAATTCATAATTTCTTTAGGCCAGTTCCAAAGTCCTTGAAAGGAAAGGGGGAGACTTGAGTATGTGTCCAAGAGCCAGGGCCCTGAAGGTGGCCCCAAGACTACTGTCGGAAAGGACGACATACAATGTACAGTGGGGCATCACCTGATTTCTGAGGGTCCTGACTAGCACCTCCATACTGTTTTTATTAGATCAAGAGACACATGGACCATTTGAATACTTACACAAATGTTTTTGATTACTACCACAGAAATTATTTAATTAATATAGCAAAATATTAGGTTATGTACACAGTAGAGTCTGGGACGAATCTTTAGAAAAAATTCTCAGAGGTCTGTCTTATGGCAGAGAAAAAACGCGCCTGTTAGGCCAAAGATGCCTTAAGTAAACATTCGAAATCTTACCTCCGTGATTTACCATTGCAAAATGCGTCCAATTTTTCAAAACATTTCCTATGGCTAATGACGTATTTTTGTACTGATTGTTGGTGATGAATTCAGCGTAGATAGTTCGTCCGTAGTTTTTTAGCTCCACAAGAAATCCAGAATTACTGCCTGACATGCCAGAAACAAAAACAGTCTGTTTGCCTTCCGTGGGATTCAAAAGTTTGATCCAAAATGAAATTGTACAAATTCCATTGTTGGGATTGCTAGAAAAGACATCGAAGAAAAATGCTTAAACAGATATTTATTTACTCATGTCAAATAAAAGGACAATGGATCAAATAATCATCAATCAGCCAATCACTTCAATCAATTGATCAATCAACCAATCACTTATCAGAATGACTCCAATCAGTTAATTCCATTTTAAAACATCAACCAGATAACTTTATAAGTCCTTTACTTAGAAGAATACATTATTCAACCATTCAAAAGCATGCATTTCCTAAAAGATTGCATTCTTTGAAAAAGTTATTGCTCAAAGCAGGGCCTCCTTGACAGAAATAAAATCTGAATTCATGATGTGAGCATTTCAACGTTTTTCCAGGCATCTACTTTTCTGACAACGTTTTGTTTCATAGACTATTTCATCCAACACCTAGTGACGATTATATTACATAAAATAAATAGTTGATCAAATATTTGACAAAGATCTTAATATTTGCGACATTTTGACGGGTCTTCTGTATCTAAACTAAACCTACTTTAAAGGGTGACCTCCAAATTTTCCAATAATAGCTGCAGGGTCGATGCCAACCAGACGAAGAACATTGCCAATCTTTCCTTCTGATGGTCCTACACTGGCATTTCTCAGTATTGCAATCGAATTTCCTTTACTATCTGCACCCCTGTCGTATGCTACTGTTTGGTCAGACAGTGTGCTTTCAAATGAAATTAATATGTCAGGGAGAGCCAGGTTTTCTGTAAGGAAAAATGCGATTAAAAAGTTTGCTGCGCATGTATATTTGATACTCCTTGAGTAATGCAGGTATCTATTTTACCAATTGATGGTATCTATTTTGACAAGGCTACTTGATCCCTGCATTTACTTCTCCAGATTGTTAACAGTTTAGTCTGCTAGATAGTTAAGACCTACTTACCTTCAGTGCACTTGCAAAATGATGTTTCATTACTTGTGCAACTTTTTTGGCCGCAGTAACAAGGAAAACAATAATTGTATTTGTGATGCCGACATCTTTCTTTGTCCTGAAAATCGAAAGATATTTAATACCGTAACTACTACAAGATTATTCAGGAAAGCGGTTTTACGCATACTATTCAGACTAGTTGCTGCTCCAAACCCAAGTTACCTTGCTTTGGTTATTTGAAAAGCATTACAGTTTCAGTTTAAATACACTGAAAGATAAAACAAAGCATTATGACATTACGTCTTCCTTAGAATAAGTTTACACATCTGCAACTGAAGTAAAATTACACAATCATAAATTGACTTGCCTTGAAGATGGCAGCTTTCCATCCCTTCATATTCGGTGCTGTTTTGCAAGAACTGTCATACCTTGAAAGCATGTAAATCTCGCAATTTTCTTCAATTCCTTTCTCCTTCCATTGATAATTGTAATTCAATAGCTCGCATTTTTCATTTTTTGCACATCTTTGGACGCACTGGATCTCACTTGAAGCTTTCATGCTCAATCGATGCGACGCTTTGCATTCAAATTTGGAGTCAATGTGAACCTCTTGGACGAATCCTTTTACACTGTAAGTGATGTGAGCATTTAGAAAATTCAAAGCAACGAATGTCAGAAGATTTCTCCAACTTTTAATCAAATGCTTCATTTGCATGTTATCAACTGTTTCTGTACTGAAACCTCTGTCTGGGCTTTGATGAGACTATCTTTGCTCGCGTAGCAAGTTGAATTGTATAACAAGCACTCAGCTTGATATTGCATCGATTTGTAACTTTATTTCCTGTTACATTACCCCCGGCCATTTGTTCTTTTTAAGTGTGCTAAAATGAGGGATCTCGCAACCAAAAGATAAAACAAAGGTTGGATAAAAATGTGGGGTTTTCCCAGCGATGCCCTTTATTTTTTAGAAAGATGGTAAACACCCCTTTTAGCACTTTTATCTAGTTTAAAATCTCAATAAACAGTGTATCTTGTAATGGAGGACGGAGGTTTTTCACATACAGATTAATGTAAACAAAAACGTACAACATATACCTGTTTAAAAATTAGAATATATAGTAGTGCATGCATAGTGCTACCCCATTCGTATATGTTTTAAATGTTTTTGTTGGTATTTTTATTATTACTATTAGAAATTAGATTATCATAAATAAATCTTAGAATAATCCTGAACTTCTTCAATTCTAACGATCTCTGCCCCTGACGACTTCTAAAACAAACAATGACGAACACACTTTTCCCTTTGTTTTGTTAATTTGTTTTGTTTGTGCTTGTAAAAGTCTTTTTCTTTGTAAACCCAGGCTAGCCAATTGCAAATTACCTTTGTAATAGTGAAATTTGTAATTGTAGTTTTAATTGAATTGAAAATGGAAAGTTTCCAATATTACAATTTTGGCTATTCTAATGAAGACAAGCTGAATTCACACTAGAAGCGGCGCGTCGCGGCGCGTCACACAGCGTTTTTCAAGAATGGAATTCAAGCGTTCAGATCTGGTGCGTCACTTTGCGTTTTCTTCAAAAAGGTACAATGGCAGTGATATTGGACTTAATTTCAGTTTATGTCTCAAGAATTTGAAAATGCAAGCTAAAGCAGCTCCTTTAAGATAAAACTTGGATTAGCTCTCTGTACATTTATTTCATTTAACACAGCCTGGCTCGTTCTACGTTCTATCTTTATTGGGTCAGCGAAAATCTGTTTCAAAGATTCATTGGTAAAGGCATTGAGGGAAGCATTCTGTGTGCCCATTCTCTGCAGTTCGAGAATATTTGTACGAAATAGTGTTTCTTTAGCGATATTGGCTCAGGCACCAATTTAATAGAACGTCATTTGAGTGTTTTCAAAAGCCCAGTCATGCCTCTTGTCCTGCTATTGTTTACAAAGAAAGAAGAACAGCTTGCTTACAAAACTCTTCTATTGTTCTGATGCGGCACATTGCGGAAAAGTTGGATAAATCCAACTTTGCCGCATCGTGACGCATTGCCCAAAAAACGCGATGCGCACGCAATTCGTCAAAAAACGCGAACCTTATTTGGGCAGCGGCAAAAAAACGCGTCTAGTGTGTTTAGGGTTATTTGATGCTATTAGGTAATAGGTAGGACTGGTGCATCGGCTATTTTTGGAGAAACGAGGCTTTTCCTGTCCATTCCCTCCCAATTATCAATCAGTTTTGTGGTTATTGTGTAACTTCCCTTAGCAACCCCTTTCTGTTAGAGATTTTTGGTAGGTTGAGCGATTTGCGCCGATGCAAAAAAGGCCCAACTTGCTCTCGATGATGTGGGAACGTAGCCTCATGATTGACCTTCTAATGTCTATGCATAGTCTATGGAATGATTTTCTGAGTAAAGCTTTATGTCCTTCGTCTTGTGTTGGTATTTCATTCCCGAGTTAGAAAATTGATAAGATTGTGCAATAGGCCGTCCGCTCCGTTCTTTTCTCGTACCGAGTCTACATACAGCCTTGAACTTATTTTCTCTTCTTAATCATAAAACAAGTTTATTATTGAGAACCATAAAACGACATTGAATCCGAAGTAAGCAGAAATAGTATTCCTGTCTTTTCAATTTTTGAACAGTTTTTTGTCAATGTTTTCATTAATGCCCGTCTATGTCTTTAATGGGAATTAATCGTTTAATTCGAGTTAATACCCGCGGGGAAAGTGCGCAGATTCCCCTTTTCTAGAATCGGGTGGTCCCACATGTATATCCTTAGTAGGCTGTGGATATCATTGTACCTTAGCTATTTGCTAATCACCTTGTGGTATTTTCTAGGTGGTTTTGCCGTAGCATATTTGTTTAAGTACAGTGATGCAGCTCGAGTCACGCCATATTTTGCAGCACGACTCACTCACGCGTTGTTGTATGCGTTTTCCCCTCCCATCCCTGTCCCCTTGTACTCACTTCTCCACCTGCTTATATCCCGTTACATACTTCCTTCTGCCTTCTCCTGTCTCACTTCTTCTCACACAGTCATTCGATTGCGTGACAGGTGTATCAGTCTGATTATCGGGGTAAAAAACTGAGGCAGTTTTTTCCCTGGAATCAAACACCGACCATAAAATTGCGTCATTGCTCAGGCAAGACAAGGGCTGATGCACCAAAAGCCCAAAATGTTTTTCCTGAGATTAGGGTGTGGTTTATCATAACTAAGGGGCCCCCGCGATGGAATTAAATGCTAAACGCAAAAGAGAGAATTTGCTTCAGCAAGTGTCGTGCCATTTGCTCAAGTAAATTTCTCCGGTGTGACTGATTTACTCATAAAGATTTTCAACTTTTCAATCCGAAATCAAAACATCTATCACGTTTGTTATTTTTCACACTCGTGTCATTTTGCTTATCGTGTGCTCTGGCGAAAGCAATTTTCTTGTGATTGAAGGTTGTAAGACGCAAGCGCTACCTCTCAGTAATCAAGGCTGCATTTTTGCTACTGGGTGATAATTGGAAGATCAACAAAAGTCGCCAGACTGAATAGTGTCATACCAAAATAAATGTAATTTGGAAGTGTATCTCCTCTAAACATAAGGCAGTGATCTGAGTCAGTTCTCCGTCCATAGAAATTGCAGCCAATAATTTTCATTGGATAAAGAGTATATCCAACATCTAACATGGATTTGATGCGATAGTTTCAAATTCTTTAAATTGTTCATAATCCCACCACTTTGTATGAATATTATCATAGTTTGGGGAAAAAGAGCTTTGATTGCTTTGTGAGAATCGTGAGATTTTCATCTATTTCCACTTTGATTTTGAAGATAATGGGGCTATCCAATCATTGGGGCTAGCCTATTTAAGGACTGCCTTGTTTCCCCGTAACTTGCGCTAAGCAAACGTAATGTTTTTCGTAACATGCAGGAAACAAACGTTGGGATGCACAATTCTTCCTACTACAATCACTGCAAAAAATTACTTGGAACACCCACAACACTTTGCACTGTGCTTTTCTATTTTTCATTTGTTTTCCTGAATACAACTACTTCCGTCCCCCTTTCCTCCGAAACAATGTTGAAATAATAGAAAAATATCAACCAATCCGCAAGAAAAAGCGTACTCCATAACCCCTTTCTTTTTTCTATAGTATATCAACATTGTTCCTTGGGGGAGAGAGGGTGGACGAATTTGCGTTTGAAAACTGATGTAGTGTTCCAAGACTTTTGGCAGTGATTGTAGGGATGTCTCTGGCTTGGAATTTCATGTGCTTTTGGGCTCAGCTTCAAAATAAGCTCCTTGTTCTGACTCTTTTCTTTTTATATAATTCACAAATCTCTTCTCTTTCCTTTTAGTTTCTTTCGCATCTTTTTTTGTTTTGCTTTATTTGACTTATAATATTTTTTACTATTTTTCCAACCATTCCTTTTTGTTGCCTCTTTTCAATTATTTCATTGTTTCTCTCCGTATCTTTATTTCTTTCTTTCTTTCGCTTCTTGTTGTCTTTTGTCTTGTTCTATCTATCAATATCTTTTTATAATTTTTGTTTTTCTTTGCACATCATATTTCTTCTCAATTTCTTCACATTCTTTCGTTACTTTTTGTTTTTGCTCTTTTTGTGTCCTTTTATTGCGTCTTATGCGCCCCGTTTCAATTATTTTGTTGCATTTTTTCTACATACTTTGGAAAAAGAAATTTGCAATCAAAAACGGATAAGCTAAACCAATCTAACTTTTCGACAGGCATACATAATGTCTTCTAGCTTGAACTGCAAGCTTGTTCAATAATGGCATGGCAAATTACGGCAGCAGCAGCGCATAAAACAACAACGAAATCTAAAAAAGCAAGGTTTGTTATTATAATTCATCTTGTTTTACTGAGTCCTTGCCAATGCATACATTGGTCTTAATGTACAATGCTTAAACTTAATAGTACATCAAAAATGATTAATTATAAGTAGGGATTCTTTACAATGGGTTACAATCATAAATTATGATTTTCAAACACAAGTGCAGAAAAGACCTGAGAATCATGGGAAATATTTTTACAAGCAACAGATGACAAAACTCGAGTTTTTTTCATTATGTTTGAAAAAACAATTTTAATGAGATCACCTTGAGTAAAGTCATAGCAGATAAAGTACATCTTAATATTATAGTTGCCACTGCTCGCTGAAAACATGCAATCGCAACTCACAGAAAGATCTCAGAGAATTCTTCTGACATATGTTGCTTTGAATATTCTAAATGCTCAAATCACTTACAGTGCAAAAGGAACTGTACAAGAGGTTCACATTGATTCCAAATTTGAATGCAAAGCGTCGCATCGATTGAGCATGAAAGCTTCAAGTGAGATCCAGTGCGTCCAAAGATGTGCAAAAAATGAAAAATGCGAGCTATTGAATTACAATTATCAATGGAAGGAGAAAGGAATTGAAGAAAATTGCGAGATTTACATGCTTTCAAGGTATGACAGTTCTTGCAAAACAGCACCGAATATGAAGGGATGGAAAGCTGCTATCTATAATGTAAGTCCATTTATGGCTGTATAAATGAACTGCCGTTTCCGTATTTTTCGGCTTTTCTCGGCTTTAAACATTTTGGTCTCCATAAATGATCGTGAAATTGATACGTTTGCCAGCTATTCACATCCTCAGAGTAGAAATGTTCTATAAAAGACTTGTTTCAAGAATTCTACAATTGACTTTCATTTGCTGACTACAGATTATCGTCTGGCTGGCTTTTTTCATTTTCGTATTTTATTCAATTGCATTTTAGCCGTTTAATATGTTGGAAAAAACATTTACTCACTCGCAAACAAAAACAAGCATGTGAAATCTCAGAAAATTCTTATCGGCTGACATGAAGAATTTAGATAGGGAACCATCAGTGGCGAATCTAGCCTTAAAAATTCTGGGGGGGGGGGCTAGCCGGGGGCCAAACTTTCAGTTATAGAGGCCAACGCTAGCCATGACTCTGCGAACTAGTAGAATGTAAAGCAGTGGCGTGGTGGCTCAAAATTAGCTACAAGACACCGATTTTTAGCGCCCTCTATATAAGTATGTGTTTGGTACAGCTCTATCAAGGCTGTTATCATTATGCCAAATAGTTTTTATTAGTGGTGTAAGGAGCAGCTGCGTCCTCTAGGAAAACAACAAAGAAAAATTGTTGCTTGAGGCCCCTAAAGGTTGGGGACCCTTTTTTATTTAACTAAAGGTAATTTTTGTCTGTTTCCCCATGAGCACTAGGACCCCGTTTACACTGCACCGGATATATTTCATCCGCATAAAATTTGTTCGGATTGATTTGCGTTTACACTGTGCCGCACAAATTTTGTCCACTTTGCCCTCCCGTTTACACTGTGCCGGATAACTGCCGTCACGTGACCTAAATCATGCGCAGAACGCCCAAAACGAAGTCATCTCTGGGCAACAAAGTAACAAAAATATTCCCGCCAACGTAAAAAGACTTTTGACTCTCTCTTCAGAATCACCTGCTTCTCTTTTAGACGAAGTTCGAAGATTTTGTCAAAACAAATTAGACAAAGTTAGTATTAATAATTCGTTCTTTGAAACTGAAATAGCGAAGAAAGTAGGGAAAGCTGACAAGGATGCCAATTTTACGTGGACCGACGAAGATACTGCACTTTTAACACGAGTATTTATCGACTACAAGGCAGCAAAGATAGTGGAAGGTCTTGATTGGGAGACAGTGTAAACTAAATAGGAAGAAATAGCCAATCGCTTTCGACCAAGATACGATGTGGATAAAATTTATCCGGATAAAACCGTTTACACTGTGCCACATAGCTATCTGAACTATTTTAATCCACATTCCTAGGTGAACTAATTTTGTTCGTATAGCCGCTCTCAAATTTGTGCGGATAGCGTGGGTCTAGTGTGAACGCGACGCCTATCTGGACTAATTTTGATGCAGATAAAATTTATTCGGCACAGTGTAAACGGGATCTAGAAATTCAACAGAAGAAATACACTTCTAAAAATAAAAGTCTAATAGCTTTGTAAAGTTAATTGGTAAAATGTTTATGTCTAGTTATGTCTTATATCCAACCTCCATGAGATGAAGCAATTCATTCTGTTACACAGAATTTTAAAGCTATAGTAGCTTGACAAAGTATACTGGGATGGTATTGGCATCTCTCTGCGCTCGGCTCCAGACGAAAAGGGTTTTCAATGGGATGCGGAGAATTTTGGTTTGGGCTTACCCTGCGCATCCTACCCCAAGAAAGTTAATCTTCGTGATAGTATATAACAAATATAGAATTTAAATGATTGTCAGAATGAACTTTTCTTGATAATTACAAAAAGGAGCCAAAATTTCATCTATTTTAACCTCGGTTACAAACCAAAACGCTTATCAGGACTCCTAGCTTGTTAAATAAAAGCAGTCTCTTTTCATATAGTTTTGTATGCCTACTTCTCATCTTTCATTGTATTTTTTTTATATTCTCATAAAATTTACAACGACAATCAATTACAATACAAAAGCCTAGGGAGCATGGGAATGCATAACAACCCTAAGACTAACACTTAACATAGAAACACAAATATTACAATAATAAGCTACAAAAGTGATTGGAGTGGTGTCGCCCATCGTTCCAATAGCGTTGCAGATATGACAAATAATCACAAAAAGCTATTTTAAAAGAAGATATCAAGTCTACCTATGTTCTTTACTAATCAAACAAATTTGCGCCCAGACATGATGAGCGACACCACTCCAATCGTAAAAGAAATAGAATCTACACAAAAAAGAAAATAATTTACGCGAGAGAGGTTTTCACAAGAAAGTTGATAACTTATTGGAACCGTTCTGAGGCCTGAATGTATTTTAATGTTGCATCGAGAATGTTTATATTTGAATCAAAATATAACTTTTCATGGCCATAAAGGAGTATTTGCAACAGTTCTTTGTTTGGAGGGTTAGATAGGCCATGAGGACGCAATATAGTATTAACGCTGTCGAGAAGATCACGTCTGTGTATGTCATAGGCACTGCAGAGCAGCAAAAAGTGCTCTGTATTCTCAATACCACCATTTATCAGGCACAGGGGATTAAAAGTATCCCTAAAATTATGTTTAAATTTGTGGCAATTTAGCTTACTTAGTCCAACGCGTAGCTGCGTTAAAACAGATAAGAGTTTTGGATCATGAATTCCGTAGACCGATTTAGAGGGTGGACGATATTAGTTATATTTAGATACATGTCATATCCCGGGGGGCAGTCATGTTATACTATTGCTCCTCCTGGGTTCCGTCCTTGTATTGTAGTTTAGTAGTTCGTACGTACTGTTTTAGGTAATTTGTTGTTGCAAGTTTTATACCGAATATATATATATATATATATATAAAAATGCAGTAAAGATCGCATTGAGCAAAATAAAGAAAACAACTCTAACAAAGTCAAAGAACGAATGAACAACTTTCGAAGAAATCATTGAATTTTTAATAGAAACTTTTTGAAAAAACTGGGGGGCCAAACAAGGGGCAAAGAAATTTTTTTTGGGAGGGAAGTGGCCCCCTGGTCCCCTGGCCCCCTGGCCCCCCGTAGAAACGCCACTGGGAACCATGTTTGCTGGATGTCTTATTTGTCGGAGAGCGTTTTCTTATCCTAGGCACTCCTCGAGGGGTTAAATCGGGTTCTGTCCCGTGGTATCCTCAGTTTCGCAATTTTGGCCCTATTCGCAATGTTTTATTTCTTGGGTGGCTTTCAGGAGATACTTTTAAAAGTTGAAGTCAGGGGAAGCTTTTGATGGTTGACCGTTAATGGAAATTTCTGTGATTTGCTGCCCGAAAGGGATCCTCGCTGGTACCCCCTGGCAGATAGTAAACGCGAGGGAACGTAGAAAATCGATGTTTGTTTACGTTAGAAGGTCCTTTTGCACTCTAGAAGCTTAATTTCATTTTAACTTGACTGAGCCTGTTCCTTTCCCGTCTCTGACCTCAAAAATGGTGATACTTACAGTTTAAGGCCTTTCTTAGCGTCCCGCGATATTTTCTTTCGACCTCTTTTTAACACACTCCTTTTTCGCTAGCTATTCGCCTACTACACATAGATAATTATGAAAGTATAATTAATACCAACTATTTATAAACAAATAAGGAAAATGTACAATATTAATCTACCTATTTACTTATGCTACAGCTACATTTATTCTCCATTCCAGGTTTGTATGTCTTGTGTGTATCAAGCAATTTTCCAAGCTAAACTTCTTTTCTTTAAAATATTTAAATTTTCCCCATCTGTAGAAGTGAATTTTTCCCTTTCTGTACACTTAAAATATTTCCCTTTCTTATTTCTTTATCCAAACAATTTTATCAGAAATATCAACAGAAACACTAATTTTTCAAGGACACAGAACGCTGTCGATATCTCAAGTTCAACTTTTGCTTTCCATGCAACTGCAAAGAAAGACGTTGTGCAAAAGGAAGAGCGTCAAACTGCACATGTTTTGAACGTAAGTAAAATCCAAACGATCAGGGTCATTGTTGTAAATTTGAAGGCTCCTTTGCCAGAGTCGTAAGACAAGAGCTTTTGCTACAGGCTATGACTAAGAGAAACAGCCAATTGATTTAACACTCAAAGAATCGACAATCAACACAAATAGATGCAGCTAGTAACCAACAGCTACGCCACCCCGGTCGCCGGCTCTTTCTATTTCGTTGAGGAAAGGACTTAGGCCCTAACGTGACTGATTTACGAACTCACGATGTGATCAGAATCATTGATCGTAAAGTTCAAGCAGACTGTAAACATATGAGTGTGAATAAATGACAAAAGGCAACAGATTAGCAACAATGACACTTACGCTATATACTCAAAATCCCTTTGCAATGGCAAGTTGAATACAAAATGTTGGATTTACAGATTCGAACTGTAGAGGGTTATTTTCAAAGACCTGATAATTTTTGAGAATTAGTAAAAGCTCAAGTTGCACAAGTTCGATTTAGACAGAGTTGTCCGTATCACTTTCATGCGGAATTGTATTTTCCTTAAAAAAGAATTAAGGCTCGAATAAAGAAGTGTTACAGTAAGAGCGAATCTAATTCATATGTGAAAATTAGAGTAATAAGACTTTAAAAGCCATTGAAAATTTGTATGCATTTAAGACAGAGCCCAACATTTTCTTATATCTAGCAAGCAGGGTAACCGGGTTTTTTCTTTGGATATGTGATTCTGGTGGGTCTATAACTCAAAATCCGTCAGACCTGAATGTTTGTTCAAACACAAAACAAGGATCCATAACGTGGTCTTTTAAGGTAGTGCTTCACAAGGCTTTGGCTTAGAAATCAGACAGAAGTTCTAAATTGCTCTATCTTGCGTGATTTGTAATTTATTCTTGATCTAAAGTTAAGAATAGAATATACTTTTAGAAATTTATTGCTCGTTTTATTACTTTACTGAAGATGACTCTAAATTGAGTCCAAACGTTTTAATTAATTTACGTCTACTGAGTACATCCAACTGATTTTGTCAAATCTGGAGTTGTAACTGGAATGTCTCTCTATGTTTAGCAATCATATAATGGGTTAGTCATTCAATTAAATTGGATTAAATATGTTAAAAAATTCATTCAAAAATGTCCCTCTTTGTCACCATACTCGTTATCCTAAATATAAGATAAGTTGTTTATCAACTTACCAACCGCCATTGCCTTACAGATAGTCCAGTTTTCCCTGAGATATTTATTTCGTTTGAAAATGTACTTACCAACAAGACCGTAGCATACGAGAGAGGGGCAGATAAGCAAGGAAATTCAACTGTCACGCTGAAAGGAAGTGCCAGTATAGGACCATCAAAGGGAAGGATTGGCAATGCTCTTCGTATGGTTGGCATCGATCCTGGAGCTGTAATTGGAGAATTTAAAAATCATCCTTTAAAGTATGTTTTGAAATTTTCATAAACATGAAAAAAGTAGGGATTTATTATTTTGATATGAGTTTTCTCTTTCAATTGTTTTTGACTCACAGAACCAGTCGTTTGAAGGAGAAGCATCAAATGACTTCTTAACTGGAATTATTAACTTTAATAAAAAACCTTGAATTGAATTTTGCGCAACAAAGTCAGTAGTTGTCTTTTGTATACGGTCATTTCAAAGGTAGACCCTTGATAAAAAAGCCCAGGCAGATGAAAGCCAAGTAATAAAATCCACTATGAATTGAATAATATCTACTTAATTTAGGGACTTTTAATACTACCGATTAACTTTTTTAATGCCTTTTCTAGCAACCCCAAGGGAAAAACATTCACTTTTGCTTTTTGGATTAAAGTTACATCCGCCTCAAATTCTTCTCAAATTGTGGTTCGTTCCGGCAAGAATGGCACTAATAGTGACACTGGATTTGCTGTGAGGCTGCACAACTATGCCAGAGTTGTTAAAGTTAGATGCATAGATGCTGGAAAAGTTGTGCTTCTGCATCAGGACATTGGAGATACTTTAGCAAAGTGGACGCACATTGCGATAACAAAGCATCAGGGTATGTAGGCAGTTTGTTCTTTCAAACTGAAACCTGGTATTGAAAATGAGAATTAAAATACGTAGCTCTTCTCATGTGGTTGACTCAGTTATGATGTGAGATATTAATATAAATGGCTTACAGATTTGTAAGTTTTGGAAACTTTATACTTTGGAGAAATGCTACAATACCCTCAAAACACTAATTTTCTGAACTGGTCACTTCTAGCCTTTAATTCTGTACAATTAGACTGAAAATATGTTTTTATGCTTGGGTCTTTTTAGCAGGTCACTGGTTAAGAGGAGTAGATCTACAGAATCATTCTTCTTTAACAAAACAATGCTTGATAAAAAATACTTGGCACGGCGTGCTGTGACATGATGGTCCACTGATTGCAGGCAGTATTCAGTCTAAAATTTGGATATAAAATCGTTGTTTGTTTTGCCCAAGAATAAAAGCTTATCCTCGATTAAAGAATAAGACAAAAACATTTAACATCTTTTTGACCAGCATTATATTTGAGATTTTACTCCTAATAGAAAAGAATCCTAAGATCCAATGATTTGCAGTAAGAGAATTTCGTATGGTTATTAAAGCCGCAAGGTTTGATAAAGTTATTTATGGACAGTCTAATAGGTGTTTTACGTATCCTATTAGTAATTTTATTCAATCTTTAGTTTAAATAAAAAATTTTACCAGTAATGGTTGAAATCTTCTTCTTCTTGTGTCATGGCATCGAATGGTGTAGACGGATCATGGTAGTTCTTCCTCCTTCCATCTTCTTCTATTTCGCGCAATCTCGCCTAGCTGTTTTTCATCTCTAACAGCCAACTTCTTCATCATCCTATCTAACATCTTCAATCTTTGCCTTCCTCTCGCTCGCTTCTCGGCCATCTCAGCCTCTATAATCTTCCTTTCCATTCCCCCTCTTCTCTTCTCAACTCATGTCCAATGAAATCCCATTGACTCTTCCTAATAGTTTCCAACAGCTGTCTTTTCATTCCAATCATGGCCAAAACGTCTTCATTTGTCATCTTTTCAATTCATGGGATCCTCATCATTCCTCTCCAAAACCACATTTCTCGCTCTTCAAGCTTGTTCACTGTATTCTTATTTACTGTCCACTACTGGCATCCAGACAGTAGAACGGACCATATATGACACTTTAATAAACACTTTATCACCCAACCCTATCTTCCTTGTTCACAAACATTCCTCATACCCATAAATGCCTTTTTCGTCTGACCAATTCTGCAATTAATATCACGCATTTCATCAGAAAAGTCTTCAGAATCATATAAATGATTAGGAATCTCAGTGATCTTGTCAAACCTGATATCTTCTAAAGCTTCTATCAGCTCAGGTGCTATCTTGCCATTTCCTACTGCTTTGTCTTTCTTCATTTTTTTCATGTCATCTCTATTTTCGTCTTTTGCTATTGGTTGCCCAGACGTCTTTTTTCAAATTGCTTGTCTTTTTTTTCTATCTATATCTGAGTATAGACTTTTGATATACTCCGTGCACCTTCTCTTAACTTGATCTAGCTCCATCAATACATTGTCATTCATCTCTTATACAACTAAACACGTTAAGTTTCTTCTTGTTTGTCACCCCTTTCGTTTTGTTGTGCATCATTTGAACATCCTTTTTCTTCAGGTCTCTATCTCTACACACTGTTGCTTAAGATATTTTTTCTTTGCTGTTCTACTCATTGACTGTCTGAACAGTTTTATTCAGCCTTTTATACGCATCCGTATGTTTTTTCTCTCTGTGTCTCAGCTTCATATGATCCAGAATCTCTGATGTCATCCATTTCTCCTTAAATGTTATCAGAATACACTGTTCTCTGTTTTTGATTAAAAGCTCTTTGTAGATTTTTCCATTTCTCGTTATCATTTCCACATGTTTATACATTTCTTCTACTCTTTTACGAAACTCGGCCTTCACATTTGCATCTCTTTTTAGTATTTTCCATTGTAGCTTCAGCTATCTTGTTTGATCACTATCTTGTTGGTTGAAATAAACATTGTAAATCTATTTATGCAGTAGGGCCATCGATTTTTTAGCAAATTGACAAAGATCGTTGCTTTCACTTTTTCTAAATATTTTTCTTGTTACGCATTATAACTAGGATCTTCAAAACGTATAAGCACTAAAATAGATCCCCAGCTATCAACTAGTGTTCTCATCATCACAGCTAGTCTCAACCTTTCCGAAATTTCCTGTTGAATGAAGTTTGAAAAATTTGCTGCATATACAGAAACGGCTTTTGAAAATGAGCCTATACAGATTTTTTTCATCTAGAAAAAATTTCTCATCTAGACAAATTAATCTCTTTAGATCAATGGCTCAGCTTGTATGTAAATGGTATTCATGCAAATAACGCTACCCAAGAGGTAACAAGCAGAAAATCATCGGCAACAGGATACACAAAGTTGGCGTTTGGAGTGGAGAAACAGTGTTTCACTTTGAATGGTGAACACTGCGGTTTGTACATCGACGACGTTGCTTATTGGTCAGTTGTTTTGTCAGATGCAGAAATCAAGCACGTTATGAAAGAAGGTATGTCTGTGCTGTGTTGCTTTGTTCAAAATAGAGAATGCCGGACCGTGAACTATTTAACCCTATCTGGAACAAGGGAGAAATTAGATCAACGAAATATTGTTAAGCCTTGATGACTTTCTCTAAAATTTATCCTTTGATATCATGGTGCAAGTTTTAACATAATATCTTGTTGACAATTGTCTTGGCAACCACCTTTTGAAAGAGCACCTTTTAGAAAATATTAAATGCTCTTTAGATTAGATCTCAATTGTAATTATTTAATCAAACTTCTTCCATATATCATGAGAATTTTAAGATACATTGGCCTGGGGATGCTCAAAAAAACTTGGTCCACATAGGGTTAATTTCCACCCATCAGGCAATTTTCATTTTTCCAGTCGTGCTCTGCTCAGATGATAAATGTTTTTCCTCTCATACACTGCATCCGAGTCCCAGTTTTATCGATAAGCACTATAATATGCAGGGACCGTGGAAGCGGGGGCTTGTAGCCTACGCCGTAGACCCCCCCCCCCCTCTTCCAAACGAAGATAGGGTCTACGAATTAATGAGGCAAAGCTTGCTACAGGCCGTTCTCAAATTCTTGAACTTAATTTATGCGAGAGCTTTAATACTTGCACAATTAAGGGCATGCAAAACAAATCAATATGACGGTACGATCAGGTGTGGCGGAGTTTTATGAAACGAAATTCGCGGAGGCATTGGGTATTTCATTTCATTTTCATTTTATCATATTTTTACACAAAAACCCTATCAGCTATTAAGTTAAAAATAAAAAAGTAAAGATTAATTTATATATGATGCTGGTCTTCCTAGGGATCGTGCTTCGGGAAAGGATGCTAATTTTGGAGGAATTCCTTTAATTTCTTTTTGAACGTGGTAATCGTGGAGCTCATTCTTATCTGTAATGGAATCTCGTTAGATATTCGGGATCTTGTGACAAGTTTACCTTTCAAATTGTCAGGGCAGAGACCATTTATTATTTTGTAGATCATTACTGCCCTGTCAAATTTTATCAAATTTGAGACCGAAAGCCAATTGCAGCTCCACCCGTCCTTTAATCTTGAGCCTTCTATTAGCGTGCGCGCTCTGTTTTCTAAACGCTGAAGATGATCGAGCTTCGTGTTTGACAATTTGCCCCATAGCTCATCACTGTATCTCAAATGGCTCTCGAGCAGCGCCTTATAGACCTGATCCAGTTGCGATTGCGGGAGTATGTTCTTTAGTTACCACAGAGACGAGAGTGCATTTTTTATTTTACCTTTAAGCTTTTTATATTGCTCATTCCATGTCTTTACCTTTTGAGCTCGTTTGATTGGCTCTCCATTTACATTTACCTCTAGTGGGCCAAGGATACGGTTTTTTGTATATCTTTGCAAGTTGCGTTTCAAGACACTAGATACATCGATCAACATCTGCATTCGCCAACATTAGTTCATTCATAGAAAGGAGGCCTTTCAATTGACTATGGTTCATTAAACATCTCATTGAGCTTGACAAAGAAAGCCCCAATGGGGTCTGGGAATGGTCAATTATTAAAGATATTTACGCGTAAGTTAATGACAGCCTGTAGCAAGCTCTTAGACCCTATCTTCATTGGGAAGGAAGGGAGGGTCTACGGCGTAGGCAAGGGGCTTGGCGCTCCCAATAGCTTTGAAAATGTTTTCAATACAGTAGAAAAACATTCTTAATAATGATAATAATAATAATATTCTGCTTCCATTTCTAAGCAGCTTCTATAACATTAACACAGAATTGCCAGAAAATAAATCATGTACAGTATAATATCGTGGGCGAATCTCTTATTAAGTTTGAAAAAGTTCAACAAATTTCTCAAATTTATACTAAGTCTTTTGTCCAATTTAAACAATTTTGGAAGCTGTCCTTTGAATTTTTTGCATTATCATAAATTTCTATGCTTTCTTTTTGTAATTCACACCCTCGGCAACTTATATGCACATATTTTCTTTTGCGATTAGCTCTTAAATCAGTCATGTTTGCATTCAATTTTAGCATTGTTTGTTCCTTTGTATGTTCCATATACTTTTTATTTCAAAGTTGTCATTTTTAATGAACCTCACTTTCATTTTATCGCTATTTTTAACTTGATTCTCTATCCTCTTATACTTCTTAAAATAAATACTTCTTCTTATCTTGATACACTTGTTTTTTAATCTTGTTTCTTTCATATTCATTAGTGTATGTAGGTACAGAATTCTTCTTAATTCTATTCGATAAACCATAGGCATAAATTCACATTCATAAAGTAAGCCTTGATAAGGTGTTGATTTTGGTATTGAAGTAGTTAAGGATTACTGGATCTTTTTGTTTGTTTTCAAGGGCCAATTGTAATATTTGTTTGTTCATATTAGTCCATGTTTCACATCCATATAAGATTTTAGGAATAAATACTCTCCCTCAATCCGCAACATGACCTACATCAAGTCACACATTAAACAGGAAACTTGCACCATTTTCAAAATGTCATTTTTCTAGCTGATTTAACCTTTCACATAAAATTAGCTTTGAAAATGGCTTTGAAAAAAGCAAACATTTTACGACATACTAAAAGCTTTTTCGTCTGACACTCCTCAGAGCTCAGAGCATAAAACGTCAGAATAAGGTTTCGAAAGAACACGATAGAAAATATATACCCAGTTGTGGATCGAAATAGGCCAATCAGGAAAACGCAAGCACAAGACGTTTTATGCTCTGAGGAGTGTCAGACCACGAAAAAGCTTTTAGTATGTCGTAAAATGTTTGCTTTTTTCAAAGCCATTTTCAAATTCTGTACCGCAAAAAAATTGTTCAAAATTAGCTTTGTGGACTTTGATTAATAATCATATTAAATCTTTTATAGATTTTGCGAGCTGTTTAGTATAAGAAGAGTCAAGTAAGAAGAGGCTATGTTTCTGCACACAATTATTGACGATGGATGTAACAGCGACTATTTTCGATTAGAAAAATACATTGTTGCATGAACAAATGAATTTACCCATAGTTTTTGGACATTGTACCTCTTATATATAGTATTTTATTATCTTCTCACAGTCGTATAATTTTTAAGTTTTCTGCAGTCAAATCAGGGGCAAGCGGTAAACGCGGGAGGGGGCAGGTTGTGCAGTACCCATTGCTAGAAAAGTTTCAAGATATTTGAGCAGCCAATGCTAACAATGCAAGTGAAAATGACTTTACAAAATATGTAAAATAATTATAAAAAGTTATCATAGAATGCATTGAAAAATGGCGTTTAAACAGGTGCTAATACAGGTTTAGAAAATACGTTTTCAAATATGAGGATATGATAACTAAATCTTCAAATTTATTGATCAGTTAGAGAAATTTAATATTCAGATATACGGAAAAGCTCTGTTAATTGGATTTATGGCCAAATGACTCAAAGGCAGACTCAGAGAGATAAGAAAAAAACCAAGAAATTTTATGAGGACATCTTCTTTAGCTGTATAATGTAAAAGTCGTTAAGACTTGTTTAAGCAATGTTTGCATATTTTACGAAAACAATTTTTTCCATTTTAAATTTCTCAATATAACTTGAATATCACTACAGATATAACAAGCAAACTGTTGTTAAAATGATAAACAAATATCTTAACCAAGGTATGATATCGCACTTTTCTGTAAAAAGAAAATATCTTACATATGCTGGATATTTCATGGAATACGTTAATTTGTTTAAATGTAAAGAAACTATCAAATTCTATGATTTATAGCATTACAGTTGATGCTTCTTGTTATTTTCAATTATGCTTTTTTCATTATGCTTCTTATCAAAGCTGTTGACTTCTTGTTCTTCAAAATCGAGTTGGCAGTGGTAACTGTAAAAGAAGCGAGGTAATAAAAGACCTACGATAAACGATACTGTCAACCGTCAACACATGGTACGATACTGTCAATACATGCTACAAATGTAACCACGATACCGTTAATAATTACACCCCCTACTTTTATCAAAATCGGTGTTTCGGAACTCTTCTAGAAATTGATAAATCTACTTTGTTTAGGTCACATTTTAGTTACTTTTGGAAAATAACAATATTCTTAAAGAGTATAGCACTGAAGCTGTACATAAATGCGGTGTTTATCCAACAAGAAACTGATATGGTATCGAGGTTTGTCGAGAGTGACTACCTGACCCTGCTCAGTGCACTAAAACTGTTTATAGGGAAAATTCAATAATTGCAGACAGGGCCAACATTCAAGCACGCAATACTGCGCCTACTGAGTGTGGACATGCAAGATTTTGATACCTTAAAGGAGAACTGACACGCAAAAATAAGTTTGGCTAAAACGGTAGTTTGTGACAAGCAAATTCCGGGATCGAAAATTTTTTTTAAATCACAGTTACCGTTTTTGAAATACAGGCGTTTCAAGTTGAGAAACCTTTAACTGTTACGCTTAAACGATAAACTAAAAAATTCCTAGAAACTGCCTTTAGAATCAGCTTTTCCTTTATCTCTCGTGTCAAATGAATTTATTCAATTGCTTTGAAACACCGATAATTTCATTCAATAGACTTTTATGATGAATTAAATCGTTAGCTATTAAATTAAGTAAAAGCTGCTTCTACTGCTTTTTAACATCTACATAAATGACTTACTTCTTCTCTTAATGGATACGGATATCTGCAATTACGCGGATGATACAACTCTATATGCGTGCGATAAAAATCTCAATAATGTAATTGCAAGGCTAGAGAATGACTCAAGTATAACTATCCAATGGTTCGCTGATAACTTGATGAAGTTGAATACAAACAAATGTCATTTACTTATTCTTGGCAAAAGTTCTAATCAACAGATTAAAGTTAATGTAGGAGATTCTATCATGGAAAACTCGGAAGAGGAAAAGCTACTAGGTGTTGTGATAGACAAAAAACTCAGTTTTGAGACACATATCAGTAAGTTATGTAAGAAGGCTGGTAGCAAACTCACTGCCCTCGCTCGCATATCTGGATACATGGACGCTAATAAACTTAAAATCTTAATGAGAGCATTTGTAATTAGCCAATTCGAATACTGTCCACTAGTCTGGATGTTCCACAGTAGGCACTTGAATATTAAAATTAATAGAATACACGAAAGAGCTCTGAGAATTGCATACAAAGACTATGATTCTAGCTTCAACACTCTGCTGGAAAATGATGGCTCGGTAAATATTTATGTAAAACACCTGCGCAATCTTATGATTGAAATGTTTAAAACAAAGGGAAATATCAACCCTCCTTTTATGAGGGAGATTTTCTGCGAGCGTCATGCTGTTTATAATTTGAGAAATAATAATGAATTTATGGTACCAAGAGTAAGAACAACCATTTATGGAACCGAAACAATCAAATATAGAGGGCAGCGTCTTTGGCTCTCTTTACCTCAGCACATAAGGAATGCTCAATCTATAATGAGTTTAAGAAAGAAATTAAAAGCTGGAATGGCACAGACTGTACATGCAAACTATGTAGGACGTTCGTGTCACAGCTTGGTTTTTTGTAATTCTATCTTTTAAATAGCTCAAATTTTTATAGCTTTTTAATGGATCATTTTGTACTTAAAATTTTATGTATTTAATCTCGTATGTATTTAGTTGATGTAGTAGCTTTAACAGTTGGCTTGGATTAGCTTCATTTCTTTGTAAATAGCTATGTAGCGCCAACTTTAAATAAATTGATTATTATTATTATTATTATTATTATTATTATTATTAAACCAGCCAATGAACTTGTCACTTTGTTGTTGTTTTGTTGATATTTGATAATAAAAAGCATTTTCAATAGGAAGAAAGGGGCTTCCGTGTGGATCTAAATCTTTAGTTGGAGGATGCGGCTACGTACCAACTCGTCGTTTCTATCGTTCTTTGGTTTAGCAATGGCGACCGCGAACCAAGGCTTTCTTGGACTCTGAACTTTTTCTGGATGAAAACATCAATTTTTTCGATTTTTTCACTTTCAAGTAACCGAACTTTCAAGGTACACAATTTTGAAAATAGAAAAAATCCAATGTAAAGGAAGGTTTCCATAATTTCTTTATCAGGACTTTTAGTTGAGGTCTGAAAATCTCTTGACCTATTAATAGGCAGGGCATTCCTCTCAACCATCGACCGCATTGCCTAACCTTTGTTTTCTCGGCTGATTATGGAACAATATGGTATAACAAATAATTTAAGCCCTTACAACATTTTCAAAAATTCATCAAAGTCACGTTACCGATGACGTCAAAAAGCTCTGTTTCCTAGACTGAAAATCATTGTAACTTCTTAAGTATACGTCTGACTTTAATAAAAATGCTAGATTCGGGCTCGCCAGAACGAAAGCTTTCTAATGATATATACACATCACTATTTTAACGATGTCAGCAATTTTCAATGATGACGTCATCACTTTCAAAATGGCCGTCGACCAGCGAGCTGACTCTGATTTTGCTAGGCACAATTTGGCATTATCGCAATTTGACATCATGCATGGTTTTGCTTGACACTTTCTTATAACCGAGAAAAAGCTGCTCCTTCCCCATCCACAGTTTTTCATTATTATTCCTTTAATTTTATTAATTAAATCTAAAATAATTGTTTCCGAAGACCGGACCTGAAGCCGTCGGTACGAAACCGAGCTTTGCACAAAGGCCACGGGCTTATATTATTGGCATTGCCAGGAGACAGGAGGAAACAGTTATTATATGATTTATTACTTTAAAGCCTTTATTTAATACCCCTGACAGGGCTAGATACCTTGCCAATCACTCATAAGGTGCCTGTCTATCCAGTATGCAAGGAATATATCTTGATTCTTTCTTAGATATGATCTTGACATATTTCATGTTTTTGTTCATGCGGATGAAATGGGGAAGGCAAAGATGAACCAAATTATGTGAACGAATGCTGACTTGTATAGTCAGATCAAGGTGCTGATGGGTTGCTTTCATCAACTCATGGGTTCGCCAACGTCTTTTCCAAAAAAACACATACAGTCAATGCCCATAAGCAATGGCAGATTGATGCAAAAACTGTTGATTCTTGAAAATCGTCAAAAAACTGAAAAGTCGCTTGAAATCACTAAGCTGGAGGATTTGTCTGCTTTGTTGAGCATGGTAGCAGCTTTGCAGAAAAGCAACACTAAGCTACTTTTGCAAGCAGTGCGTAATATGATTCTGCTTACATTTGCATTGAATCACATCAACTATGCCCGCTACTGGACATACCAACACATCTGCTTCTCCATTTCACTTCAATCATTACAGGGTGAGGGTGAACAAACTACAGCATTCCAAGATTGGAACAAATAAGAATTTAGAGGAAATTTATTGCGATTCAAAAAGCTAAAGGGACTGCAGGTCCATACTGGTCTGGCTTCAGCAAACGTTAATGCGGTTAACACTTGGATTGCTACGTCCCACATTCATAGCAAGTTTAGAGAGGCTCTAAAAAAATACTTTTTCGTAAAGTCATCATCAATTCACAAGTACAGCATTCCAGGTAGGACAAAGCTCCTTCAGAAGCATAATGGTAGCCTTAGAGAACTCTTCGAAGCTATGGCACCAATCGGTTTTCTGTTACACCTGCGAAATCGACTTTAACTGGTGAAGAACTAGAACAATAAAGTTCTACTGACCTCCTTGCAGCGTCGATCATAGGAGAAGGGAATATGCATCGCTTCACAAATGATCGCCTGATTATTGGCAGCGTTTAATTCTTCACGCCGATCAAAAAAACCAAAGCTGAAGGCAGATCTGGAAAAGATCAAGGGGACACCTACCGTGGCCAAAGAGCACAAAAATAGGCCTTTAACTACTCATTTTGAAGACAGGAAGTCTGCAAGAGGCATTTACTCATCCCATGACAAGCGTTCCTCTTTCAATTGCTATCGCTACAGCTGGTTTAACTTTGTGTCAGTCAGACAAAGTAACTTTGCAACGACTCTTGCTCGAAGAGTGGCAATGGATCAAAGACATGCCTCCGAAGTCTGCCGTTTGGATAGTAGACGGAGTGGTAGCAGTTCGCTCCATCAAGCCGATGCCAACGTACCGAGCGCGGACGGGCAACCTTATCAAATTTGTTGCTCCTGAAGCTGGGTATAAGTTGGTGAACCAGGGCCAAGAGGTCATTTAGAAGTGTACTACCAAAACATGTTGCAAGGATATAAATGCCACGAGCTCCGATATCAAAATTAGAAGCAAATTTATATCATAAGACTGATTTCTGAAGGAAGACACATTGGGCTTTTGCTTTTCTCCATGTAAAACGCAAATGGTTCCCATTTCGGAAGAGATGTTTGCCTTAATCTACAGGCTTTACATGCTTTATCTAGGTGTAATTCTAAATCCTATTTCCGCAACGTAGGAAAGGTAAGGTTGCTGAAGACAGTCATCAAGAGCCCGCGATACTTTGAACTGCTTGACAGCCTTGGAGAAGGAAAAGTGGTTAGTGATAGCGATATAGAAGATTTTCAGAAGTTTGTTCACATGGTAATGTATTCTGACAAGGTCAAGAGAAGCTATGTGGAAACAAAACTAAAAATGTATAACAAAATGAAAGTAACATTTAACTCCCTTCTGATTCACATTCCTAGAAGATAGCCTACTGCTGATTGCGTTGCGTAGAACCATCCGTCAAGACTTTCTTTCAAAAGTTGTGGCTGGAAGGGTCTTCTGAAGAGTCTTCCTTAAAATCTTGCTGCCTCCTTCTTTGAAGTCAAGACGGAAAAACAAGAGCCGACTTTCAGAAAACGTTGGGGCAGATGTCGAAAGTGGCAGTAAAAT